ACTTAATAATTTTATAATATAATATTTTTAATTTTTAATTTTTTAAATATAAACTTTTTAATATCTTTTAAAAACGTTTTATTTTATTTAAAATAATTTTAAAAAAATAAAATAAAATATTAATTTTAATTTAATTTATTTATTTAACTTTTATAATTATTTATTTAATAATTTTTATAAATTTATTTAATATTAATTTTTATATATAAATTTTATATAAAATTATATATTTAATTAAAATAAACTTTTAATATTTTAAATATAAATTTTTAAAACTTTTAATATTTTATATTTACTTTTAATATATCTTTTAATATACTTTTAAATTATATATATTTAAATTCCATTTATATGTAAAATTAAAATTTATAATTATAATTTTTAATTAATTTTTATTTAATTATTTCATTGTATTATAATTTAATTTAATTTTTAACTTTATTTAATTTTTTAAAACTTTTTAATATTTTTTAAAAAATTAAATTTAAAAGAAAGTTTTAAAATTTAAGTTTAAAATTTTATAAATTTAAATTCCTTTAAATTAAATTTATAATTTTAATTTTTAAAATATATTAATTATTTTAAATATTAATAACTTTTTTAAAATAAAATCTATTTTATATAATTATAAATTTAATTATTAATAATTTTTATAAATTATTAAAATTATAAATTTAAATAATAAAGTATAATTACTTTATTTAAAGATTATTTTAATTTAATAAGTTAATTAAATAACTACTTTTAAATAATTTTATTTATAAAATTAATAAATAAATATTTATTTATAAAATAAAATTAAAACCTTTAAAAATAATAATTTTATTTTTATTTATTTTAATTAATTTATATTTATATTTTAATTATATAATAATTTTATATAAAATATTGAATACTATTTATTAATTAACTTAACTTATATATTTAAAAATAATTAAGTAATATAAATTATATTAATAATAATTAAAAGTTTATTTAATTAAATAATAAAATATTTAATTAAATTAACTAAATTTATTAATTAAATCTAATTTATATATATATATATATAAATATATTAACTTTATACTAATTAATTTATTATAATCTATTATTTTATATTAATAACTTTTAATTTTTAAAATTAAAATCCTTTATTTATTTTTCTAATTAATTAAAAGCTTTATTTACTAATAAAATAAGTTTTAATTAAATTATTAAATTATTTAAAATTATTATTAAATATATAATTATAATTTACTTAAAATTACTATTAAATATATAATTATAATTTACTTAATTTAAATACTATAAAATACTTTAAATTAATATTTTTATAAATTACTTAAATTACTTAAATTTAAATTACTTTAATAAATAAAATTAAATCTAAATTATTAATTAACTAATTACTTATTAAACTATTATTAAATAATATTAATTATTAATTAATCCTTTTAATAAATTTTTCTTTTATAATAAATTATTACTTATTTTATTAATTTTATTTTTTATTTAATTAAGGGTTTTATTTTATATTTAATTAGTTATATAAATAGTTATAATATCTTTTATTATTTAAATAAAGTATTTAAATAAAGTTAAATAAAGCTTAAAATATTAATTTAATACTTATATAAATATTATTTAAGTAGAGATTATTATAAAAATCTTTAAAAGTTCTAACTTAATTTATTTAAAATACTTTTTAATTTAATTTAAAGATCTTATAAAATACTAAAAATATATATTAAAATTACTTAAAATAAATTACTAATAAAATTACTAATAAATTAATAAACTTTATTATTATTAAACTTAATAATTATATATTCCTCTTTATAAATATTATTAATATATTTTTAATTTATTTTTTAATTTAAATATCTTTTTATTAAAATAATATAAATAAAAATACTAATATATACTTATAATAACTATAAATAATTTTATTTTTAAAAAACTTAAAACTATAATAGCTATAACGTTAAAGTATTCTACTAGTAGTTATAAAAAGAAAGAGAAAGAAAAGTTAAGAAAGAAAGTAAAATTACTTACTTAATTAATTATTTAAGTAATATAAAATAGGTAGGTAAATAGATTAACTAATAGATAGTTAAATAAATTAATAAATATATAACTAAATATTAATTTAAAGGTCTAATAAATAGGCTTAAATTATTAATTATAATAGAGAGAGAGTTATTATAAAAAAGTTATAAGACTTAACTAATAAAAGGTTATACTTAATTATTAATTATACTTAGATAACTTAAATAAATTACCTTTAAAAGGTTATAATAGCGATAATAGTATCACTAATTTATCTTCTTTAAACTATAATAATAAAATAACTTTATTAATTTATCTTTTTAAATTTAATATTTAAATAGCTTAAATAATTTACTTTACTATTAAAACTAATTAATAAAGCTAGTTAATAATTAATTAATATTAATTAGCTTAATTTATATATAAAAAGTAATTAAGTAAAATAAATTATATTAATAATAATTAAAAGGTCTATCTAATTAAGTGATAAAGTATTTAATTAGGTTAGCTAAACTAATTAACTAAACTTAATCTATATATATATATAGGCCTACTAACTTTATACTAGTTAATCCACTATAGCCTATTATTCCTATATTAGTAACTTTTTAATCTTTTAAAATTAAGGTCCTTTATCTCTTTCTTCTAACTAATTAGAGAGCTCTATTTACTAATAAAGTAAGTTCTAATTAAATTACTAAATTATTTAAAATTACTATTAAATATATAATTATAATTCACTTAGAATTACTACTAAATATATAATTGCAATTCACTCAATTTAAGCGCTATAAAAACGCTCTAAATTAACGTTTTTATAAATCGCCTAAATCGCTTGAATTTAAATTGCTTCAATAGGTGAAATTAAGTCTGAATTGCCAATTGACCAATCGCTTGCCAGGCCGTTGCCAAGTGGCACCAACTGCCAATTGGCCCTTTGTCGGTCGGCTTAGCTTACGCGTAAGAAGTGGTTGGGTGAAGTGGATTGTATTGGTGATAGTTAGAAGGTCTGCCTGGCTGGGTGGCGAAGCGCCCAGTTGGGTTGGCCAGACCTGCTGACTAAACCTGGTCCGTGCGTGCGCACGGGCCCACTAGCCTTGCACTGGCTAATCCACTGTAGCCTACTATCCCTATAATATTAAAATTAACTTATAGTTTATAATAATTTTAACTTTTAATAAATTAAATATAACTTAATATATTAATATAAAAAAATATTTTTTAATAATAAATAATATTATAAATATAAATTATTTCTTTTAAATATAAGATTAAAAGACTTATAATTATAATTTTATAATTAATTTTTTATTTAATTATGTTATATTATTATAATTTTATTTAATTTTACTTTATTTAAACTTTTTTAAGTTTTTTTAATTTTAATATCTTTAAAGAAATTAAAACTTTATATTTTTTTAATTTTAAGTTTAAAATTTTATAAATTTTAATATACTTTAAATTAAGTTTATAACCCTTTAATTTTTAAAAATATATTAACTATTTTAAATATTAATAACTTTTCTTTAAAATAAAGGTCTACTTTTATATAGTTATAAACCTAATTATTAATAGTTATTTCTTCTTCTATTAATAATAAAACTATTAAAATTATAAACTTAAAGTAGTAATAAAGTATAATTACCTTATTTAATTATCTCTTAATTTAATAAATTAGTTAAATAACTATTTTTAAATAATTTTACTTATAAAACTAATAGATAAGTATTTACTTAAATAGAGTTAAAACTTATATATATTCTTTAAAGGAATAATAACTTTTATTTTCACTTATTTTAATTTATTTATTTAAATTATATAATAATATTATATATAATACTTAATAATATTAAAATTAGTTTATAATTTATAATAACTTTAATTCTTAATAGATTAATAATATTAATTTAAATAAATTAAATATAGTTTAATATATTAATATAAAAGTATTTTTAATAATAGATAGTATTATAAATAATTATAAAGTTATTATAAAAGTTTTATATAGTAAATTTAATTAAATTAATTTTTAAAAGATATATTATATTTTATTTTTTAAAACTTTAATTATTTACTTTTAATTTAATAATATAATTAAAATATAAATAATTTATAAATATAAATTATAAAGTTATTATAAAAGTTTTATATATTAAATTTAATTAAATTCATTTTTAAAAATATATTATATTTTATTTTTATAATTTTAATTATTTACTTTTAATTTAATAATAAAATTAAAATTATATAAATAATTTATATATATATTTAAATATTAATTAAATATTTAAATTTTAATTAAATATAAAAATAAAATAATAAAATTTTTATATTTAAATATTTAATTAATATTTAAATATATATAATTTAAAGAATATATTAAAATATATTAAAAGTTTATATTTAAAATATTAAAAGTTAAAAATAATTTTATAAATCTTTTAATATTAATTTAAAACATATTTATAAATATAAAAGATATTTAAAAATAAATATTAAATAAATTTATAAAAATTATTAAATAAATAAATATTAAAATTAAATAAATAAATATTAATTAAATATTAAAAATTAAAAATAAAATAATAAAATTAAATTTTTTTAATTTTATTATTTTAATTTTAATTTTAAAACTTTTAATTTTTAATATTTAATTAATATTTAAATATTTAATTAATATTTAAAAGTTAAAAATAATTAAAAATTATTAAAAATAAAAATAAAAAGTTTTAAAAATAAAAGTAAAAGTTTTAAAAAAAGTATTAAAAAAAGTTTTAAAAAAGTTTATACTTAAAATACTAAAAATTTAAAAATTTTTAATTAAATATATAGTTTTATATAAAGTTTATATTTAAAACTAAGTATTAAGTATATTAATAAAAAATACTAGATATATAAACTAACTTACTAAGTATATAAATACTAGCTCACTTATAGATAGTTAATTTTTTATTAATTGTAGTTAGATATTATTAATAAAATAAGTTTTATTGTATGTGATATGCTATGAGAAGGCCCAGAGCTTCATCTGGAGGTAATTCTCGGCTTGCGAGCCCTCATGCAGAGGGAGGAAGATCCCCTTTGGAATCTGAAACTCTACCACAGGGGCTTTCCTGATTTTCTTCGCCATTTCCGCCTCAAGTAGGCTAGCGTACGAGTGATCGAGAAAGTCTTCCATGTTGTAAAACTGCTTAGTGAACTGTTCAGACACAATCTTGGCAATAGTGGCAACATTCGGGTGGTAGTGTGTCTGGAGTTGCACAACCTCCCAGATGCAGCTGTCAATGGCGTGTGTCTCCATGGGATCCTGCACGTCGGGTTGGAAAGGGTCATTCATGCCCTCGGTGGCGAGCCTTTCTATCTTCTCCTGCGTCCGGGGCGCCCGGTGCATCATGAAGGTGGTGGTCGGGTGCTTCTTGAAGAGATTGTACATCCATGGAATGATTGTGACTATTGCGCTTGGTGGGGCATTCAGACTGAGCCGTGCCAAACGTTTGATGAAGCTTGCCACGATGGCGGCGGGTAGATGGGAGGAAGCGAGAAATATGTCGAGGAGACGGAAGAAGCGAGAGCGGTGCTTGGAGTGGAGTATGTCTGCGTCCAGCAGGGAATAAAGCTTCGTATAGAACGCGGGATAGTCGAGGTTCCGCTCCTGAATTAGGTAGAAGACACCGGAGAGCGCCAGTAGGGACATGGAGCCTCCTGAGTCGTAGCAGTCGGTGAGAAAATCCATCAGCAACTCTGGCCTTGTGAACCACGGCGCGATAATCCCGGACATGTTGTCAAGCAGGCGTTTCCTCTGGTCCCTCGTCATGTCCCGTCCCATCAGAGCCAGCCATGCGTCCTGGGCCGCTTTCTTGTGTTTCGAGACCGAGAAGAGCTCGTGGCGCTTGTGATCCTGAGGGGGGTCAACGTAGAAGTCGACAAGCTCCTCGCGGGATTGTGGCACGCCCTCGATAGACGAGAGCAGCTCAAAGACGGCCTCGAACGGGCTGTCGTGCTCAGGCCCTGGTTCGCATGGCCCCCGCAGATTTTGCTCTGTGAGGTTGTCCTGGATGGCCTTGAATGTGTACAGCCTGACGTCATCATACTCGTCGACGAACTTCTCAACATACTCGCGCCGCACTTGTTCAGCCCCCGGACGGCACACGGCGGCCACGATATCTCTCAGAAGCACCCTCGGGAAGCTATGCTGATCCCCCTCGCGGTATGGGTACTGGCCGTGAGCCTTGAGCAGGCGCATGGACAAGGTCAGGGCGGTCAGAGCGTTGTCGTCGTTGGCGAGGAACGACAGCAGGATGCCGTTGTATTCAGCCAAGCGGTCCCTGAGCCAGTGCACCAGAATGACATCCTTCTCGGCCGAGCTTTTCCTCCTCAGGAGCCTGCCGGCAGCAAGGAGCCTGATAAAGATGCGGCAGAGGGCCACCGTGGCGAGCAATGCCTCATGATGGTTCTTGTCCTGGTCTCGGGCGATGTGGAGCAGGGTGGTGATGTTGTTGTAGTGTCGTTTGGACTCGAGTATTTCCGTCTCGAGGAGTAGGATCTTTGCCCCGGGGTCGCCGTGGTGGCTGTCATGGTCGTCACTGTCGGCCAAGGCACGGTTATTACTGCTCGTGCTCGTGCTCTGGGATCGTGCTCGTTTCTTTGGCGGCTCTGTTGAGTCTTGTCCCTTCCGCTTCGACGGCTGACGCATTCCCGCCGCAGACGGCATTGTGTGCAGCGATACTGACGGCTCAGAGTGCTCTCGGCTCCTTGCCAGAGGGCGTGCAGCAGGTGTCTCGAGAAAGATGGTGAAAAACGTACTTGGGCTGGGGAGGGAAAAAAACGGGCCCACCTGTTTTTGGCGACTAGAAGGGCACATTACATGGGCGGGCAGGCACACAGACTGCAGCACCGGGTAACCAGTTGCCAGGTACCTGGGCTAACAGACATGGCACGCCAGACTAACAGCACGGGGCTCTGGCCCAGCTTGAACGTGTTAGCGGGTACGGAGGCACCTGGGCCGGGCCAGGATGGGGCTGGCCGGCCCTGCAAGCAAACCTCTGTCGGAGCAAAGAGAGCAAGCAACTCCGTCAGCGCCCGAAAGCAAAAGGTCCTGCGAGAAAGTGTCTCAACCTCGCACCAACATCCAATCCGTCCCAGGCCCGACACGGCAAAACCCACACCACCCCGTCGTCTTCCACCACATCACAATGGCGTCCCGCTTGGCTAGAAGCGCTGTCGGTGAGTCCATCACTCCAACCCGCCCAATTGGCCCCGGTGCAAGGGACCGCGCACGAGGCTCGAGGATGCGTCGGTCGCCCGGGTCTGCAATTGAGACAGGCTGCCATCGAGACTGCCATCGAGACTGCCATCGAGACTGCCATCGAGACTGACGCGCTGTGCCCGCCTCGCGCCTCGCAGGGTCTGCCCGTCTGCGGCCCTCGATCCTGCCCCGATCTTTGCCCGCCCTGGCGTCGTCCCCGTCCGCCATCAACGCCGCCAGCGCCCGCTACTCGTCCAACGTCCCGGCCGAGGACCCCAAGAAGAAGGCCCAGTCCATCCTCGACGCCCTGCCTGGCAACTCGCTCGTCTCCAAGACCGCCATCCTGTCCTCTGCCGCCGGCCTGTCCGTCTACGCCCTCAGCAACGAGTACTATGTTGTCAACGAGGAGACCATCGTCGCATTCTGTCTGCTGAGCGTCTGGGGTGCCGTCATCAAGTACGCAGGCCCCTCCTACAGCGAGTGGGCCCAGGGCCAGAGCAAGAAGATTGCCGGCATCCTCAATGCTGCCCGCTCCGACCACACCCAGGCCGTCAAGGACCGCATCGAGAACGTCAAGCAGATGGAGGGCGTCGTCGACGTGACCAAGAGCCTGTTCGAGGTCTCCAAGGTATGCGCATCCCTTTGCCGCCCCACCCGCACCCTACCGCAGCGTGGCCTGTATCTGTCTGACCATGCCGCCACAGGAGACCGCAAGGCTCGAGGCTGAGGCCTACGAGCTGGAGCAGAAGACAGCCCTGGCCGCCGAGGCCAAGGCTGTCCTGGACTCGTGGGTCCGTTACGAGGGACAAGTCAAGCAGCGCCAGCAGAAGGAGCTGGCTGATTCGATCATTGCCAAGGTCCAGAAGGAGCTGGAGAACCCAAAGGTCCTGCAGCAGATCCTGGCCCAGAGCGTGGCTGATGTCGAGAGTAAGTTCTTCACTGGCGGTTTGTCCGCTGGCCCCTTAGACTTGTCTCTGCACTGCTGACATTCTCGCAGAGATCGTCTCCTCCAAGGCTCAATAATCGCTCTCGACATAGACGACGCGGATACAGTACTTGGGTTTTTTTTTCTTTGTGCCACCCCTGTGTCTAGAAAGACCGGACACCCGTGCAATAGCCCCCCAAAAAAGAGAAGAAGATGCCAAGATTTGAGAGGCCAAATCCAGTGCCCTCGCTCTCCGCGCTCCCAAGTGAAGTCTGTATCAATCTAGCTCACCAATTGAATGTTCCCGGCCAGTAAGAGCGTGGACGGACAGGCGATCGAGGCCACAAAGCCTCTCTGTTCCGCGCGAGCTCCTAGGCACCCAGGACCATTGCACCTAGCGTGCACGCTTTGAAGACGTCAACCGCGCTCAAGCCTCCCTATTCATCAACAAACTACCTTGACCTTGGGAGGCGAGATGGATGCTATCTCATCACGTGTTTTCCCAAAGGGTGCGGTCCTAAGCGTTTCTACACTGGGGGTGGTCTATAGGAGCTCGGCCAAGAAGAAGCCTAAGGCCGGCACACAGGTGCAAGCATCCCAGTACGGTTGGTCATCCGGGATGTCGCCCGAGACATGGGAATGCCCTCTGGCAAAACCATCTAAGGGGCCAGCAAGAGGGACAATGTCGTGACGAGTTGGGCACAAATTATTTGGACGAAGCTGAGGGGTGGTCATTTGAAGGTTATTCGGACCCGACAGGACCGAGGTTGAGGTACAGGAGGAGACTAATAAATATGCTACAAGGGGTCGGGCAGTGAGGTGACTGTGCAAGCCCTCTTCAGCAGTGCGCCCGAAGCCATGGAACAATGTCATGCCTAGCGAGCTGCCCACGAAGGGTCGAGGTGCTCTTTGCCGATGCAGCAACATCTCCGCAGCTTCCCCGCGCCGGCCCTCGGTTATAGGCGTCATGGGACCAGCATGCCCGGGTCGGAGGGAATCCTGAGACCAGGGGTGACCATTCAACCCGGCTTAGTGAGCGAGTGGTCATGTTTTAAAGCGAGCTTCGGTCGCGATGAGTGCCGCTCGGGAGTGGCCAGCGGATGGCGCACAGCAGATCTGGGCCCGCGCCTGAGTGAGGATACAAACTACGGGCCTCAAATCACCCGCCTCAAGACAGCCAGCATATGTACATAGCTACAATAAGTATAACCGGTCCAACCCCCCAGCCCACCCCCCCCAAACATACAAGCACACACACCCCACCCTTTCCCCTGCCCGAAAGCCGTGGCACACGCGCACACTGCGTCGCAGCAAGGTCATCTATCCGGGAATATCAGAGACAACGGGAGGTCTCTGAGATGGCTCGTCCAGCTGGCTCTGACGCAACCACCATCAATGGCGGCAGCCCCTTCACCCTAAAAGACGAGCCCGTCGAGAACTCGAGGCGGCTTAAAATCCGAGTAATCGGCGCCGGGTTCTCTGGAATCTGTGCGGCAATCAGGATACCCGAGCGGCTCAGGAATGTCGATCTTGTCGTCTATGAAAAAAATGAGGGCGTTGGGGGTGTCTGGTGGCTGAACAGGTATCCTGGCCTGGCTTGCGATATCCCGTCACACTCATACCAGTACACATTTGCGCCAAACCCACACTGGTCATCCCTGTATGCACCCGGGCGAGAGATCCAGGCCTATCTCCAGGGTGTCGCGGAAAGGTTTGGCGCAGTACGTTTCATCAAGACGCAGCACAAGGTCACCCGATGCGCGTGGGACGGCGAGGCCAAGAAGTGGGCTGTCCGCGTGCAGAAGGTCGATACCGGCGACGTCTTTGAGGAGAACGATGTGGACTTTGTCGTCACGGCTCGCGGGCAGCTGAATGAGGTTGCCTGGCCACAAGTGCCCGGGCTTGAGAGGTTTCGGGGAAAGCTTTTGCACTCGGCTGAGTGGGACGACAAGTAAGTGACACGCCATCCGTCAACTTCACACGCCGCGTCGGCATGGGGAGCGGTGTACAATCTGCTTCGCTGGGCAGTGAAAGCTGACGAGTCCAAGCTATGACTTCCGGAACAAGCGAGTTGGTGTGATTGGAAATGGATCCAGTTCAATCCAGATTGTACCAAGCCTCCAACCCGTGGAGGGCATCAATATGACCGTTTTCATGCGCTCGCCCACCTGGATATCCTCAAACGCGTTCGGTGACGCTGCCATGGCTGCACTTGGTCTTGACCCGGATGGGCGTGGGCGTGAGTTTGTTCTCCCCTCCGCACCCCGTCTTCGAACATGTGTCTTTCATCCTCCGTATATGGAACTGACCGAGTGGGCCTGCCCTCGTGTATAGTGACGTCGGAAACGCGGGAATCTCTCGCCTCGGACCCAGAGGAGTACCTCAGATTCCGCAAGGTCATCGAGGATGGAGGTAACGTTATCCACGAGGGGACCATTCACGGATCAGATATGCAGAAGGAGCTTATCAAGACCTTCACCGCGTCGATGAGGGAGAAGCTCGCCAAGAAGCCTGAACTGTTTGACGTTATCATCCCGACGTTTGCCCCTGGATGTCGACGCCTGACCCCCGGCAAAGGCTATCTAGAGGCCCTGTGTCAGGATAATGTGCAGGTCACCAATGAAGCCATCGCCGAGGTGACCGAGACGGGGGTTAGGCTTGTCAGCGGTCGCGAGGTCCAGGTTGATGCCCTGGCGTGTGCCACGGGCTTCAGGACCAGCGCGCCGCCCAATTTCGAAGTTGTAGGCTCCAACGGGCTGACTCTCGCTCAACGCTGGAGTCCGCATCCGGAGAGCTACCTAAGCGTTATGGTCGACGGTTTCCCAAACTATCTCATGATGTTTGGGCCGAACAGCGCCATTGGGTTCGGATCGCTGACGAAAATCCTCGAGAGCGAGTGCGACTACTGTGTCAAGATACTGCGCAAGATGCAGAAAGAGGACTACTCCACCATAGAGCCCAAGCCAGAGAGGGTCAGGGACTTCCAGCAGTATGTTGGGTCCTATTTCAAAGACACGGTGTACTTGGATAAGGTAAGTGCCGAGCAGTCTGCTTCCCAGGAGAGGCGTCGGCTAATATGTCCGCCCCCGCGCCAAGTGCAAGTCATGGTATCGGAGCGACGGCGGCAAGGGCAACTGGATCATCGGCCTCTGGCCAGGTTCGACACTTCACGCTCTGGACGCTCTAGCTTCCGTGCGATGGGAGGACTTCGACTTTGAAAGCGCAGATTCCACAGGTAACAGACTGAGGTGGCTGGGCAACGGGTGGAGTGTGACTGAAACGGACGGCGACCCGTCATGGTACCTCAACCCTGACGAGGTCAATTGGCCAAAAGAGGGCAAGCCGGAAGAGGCGCCACGCTTCAGAGCGAAGCCTTGGTCTTATTGACCAGGGTCCTCTGCCTCGGCCTGAACCCGTAGTGGACCATAAGAAAGACGATACCTCCTAGCTCTCACCATCCCACGTTCTAACATCCTACCACTGTAAACGTACCTAGGTAGTAAGCCAGGCGACAAATGCGTGGAACTCGATGTTGTGTTTATAAATGTCTCTCGAGGCCAAGGGGTGTCTCTGTATGACCAGGTGTAGGGCATCAACCTTCGTCAACTGCCACCATCAACCATGTTGCGTTGCCTGGCCTGCCGTACAATGTTTTTAAACGTAAACATTACAATGTGGTATCTTGCTTGGCACCTTTCTAGCCCAGCCCCAACTGTCCCGAAACGATGAACAAGAATATGGAGGATCTCGAAGAGAAGCAATAAGCAGAGGTGAAAAGAACCGTCTCAAACAGTGCCGACGCGGCACCGCTCCGACCCTTGAAAACTGTCGTCCCCTGGCAGACCCCGCGGTTTACCTACCTAGGTAACCAGCAGCTCGGTCCTCGCCACTAAGCACCATGCAGACTGGGTGGTTCTGCAGAATAGTGAGCTTCAGACCTTGCGGAGACATGCTATAAATGCCTAACCCGTAACGCCGTTGCTAACTGCATAAATCCCGCGCAGTATCAAGTAACTAGATCCCATATCAAACGCCGACACAATGCCTCTTTTCGTTGGTCTCTCCACGAGCACGCTCCCCTGGCTCCCCTGGGGGTATAACGGCCACCTTCCCGTCGCCCTTTCTGCACACCTCACACATGCGGCGCCCCAGGCCGCCCCTTGCCTAGCGACTCGAGCAGTTCATGGGGAGGGATTCTTTGCATGCCGCTGCCGCGGTCGAACATGGACGTCGGTGCTGGTTGGTATCCCTCCCGCTTCTTCCTCAGTCGCTCCATGGCCATACCGGCAACAACGATCAGAAGAGTCAGCCCGAGGGCGATTGCTAGCCCAATGAGCACGATGGCGTAAATCGGTAGGCTGCCATCTTGCTGGCCACTGAAGAAGTTCTTCTTCTCGACGAAGACCCGGGAGATGGTACCTGCAGTATTCCCTGCCTTGGTGGTAAGGGCAAATGGCGTCAACGCAGTCCCGTTGAACAAGGCAGCACTCGCGCTCCCGAAACCGGGAATCATAATGCGCCCGGTCAACATCAGGGACATTTTACCGTCGAGTAGGTCCGAGGAACCTTTCGCGTCGGTGAGGGAAAAGATTTGCAGTGATCGGATGTCAGTTCCATCTTCGAACGGCTGGCCAGCGGATTTCCAAATGGCCCCGTCGTATTTCATCAGGAAGAGAGAACCATTCGCCGCCTTGCCGGTTACCCACACTTGCTCGCCCTTGGCAGAACCAGAGACGACAAAATCCACCGGTCCAGGAAGGTCGGTGCCGCCCGGATAATTTTCCCACGACTGAGCGCCTGAGGTGTACGCGACCAGGAAGCTCGTCGACCCATTGACTGTGAAGTTACCCCCTGCGACAAGGTTCTTATCAGTTACCCATGCCATGGTTCGGGTTTCGCCCATCAAGTTGTTACCCGGACGACTCCACTGGGACGAGGATGGGCTAAAGGAGCAGACTGCTGGGCAGCCCAGAGAGCCGGCCGAAGTGAACGACCCGCCAACAAACACATCGTCGCTGTGCGGGCGAATGGCAACGGCGCTGACCGTGGCGCTGCCGCCTTCCAGCGCTGGAGGTTGTGGGCCGTAGTCATTGGCGCTCAAATCAAACGATACCAAGCCACTGACATTGGCCCCACTGACGAGACCGGTGACGTTGCCACCGGCAAATAGTTGGGAACCTTGGATGGCGACCGCAACAAAAGTCGAGTCCCGGGAGACGCCGGAGGCGAAGCCTGTAACGGTGGCGTTGTCGTCACTGTTGTTCACGATGGCCACATTGTGAATAGTAGAACCATTGCTTCCCGCAAGAGTGAACCTCCCTGCGAGAACAGTGATGTTGAGGTCATCTGTGTTCAAGAAAGCTGCGTCTACAACCCCAGACGCGCTACCATTGAGGATGTCGCGCGGCATCGCAGGGGGGTTGGAGGGTGTCGAGCCAGGCTGGATGCGAGCACCAACGTCTTCGAGTGTGAAGTCAGGCCCCGATCCGCTAAGACCAGCCGCCCCCACGGCCCCAAGCGTCGACGATACGACCGTGCCGGCATAGAGCGGGTTACTTCCGATCACGTCGAGAACGGAGGTGGTGAGCATGCCATCCAGATACTCCGCAGGCACGTCCAGGTTTGGCAGCCAATTCCCCCGGGTTGGTACCCAGACCCCGAAGCCGTTGGCCCCCACAGCCTCATTGCCTTGGAAGGCGTTGAGCTGGCTGAAGTTCCCGGTGAAGCTGACGACCTCCACGGTGGCGTCAGAGATGTTCATCGTCAGGGGTACCACCGTCGACACTGGTCCGTTGACACCAGAGCCCAGGGCACTCCAAGTATTGGTTGAGGTATCGAAGACAGCGACGTTGGAAAGGCCGGTCGCGTCATTGCTCTGCGTATTGTTGAAAGACCCCCCCACGAAGAGTTTGGTGCCATTGGCGTGCATAGAGGCGACGTACCCGTTGAGACCGCCGTCGAGGGGCCGCACCGAGGAGTCCTGACGATCAACGGAAACAATGTTGTTGGAACCTGACGAGGTGAAATTACCCCCAATGAAAGTAACAGTGCCCGAGGTTGCCAGAGCATTGACGGCGGACCCTGTTGAGAAGTTCATGCCGAGCTTGTCGAATACCGATTCCTGGAAGTCGGAGGAATTGAAGCTCGTGACAGCTGGGTCGTATTCGAACAATCCATTCAGCCCCCCCGTGGTGTTATACATGACGAAGCCGACTCTTTGGGCTACAATGGTCTGCTGGGATAGGGTCTGACCCCCGGCCGGGGTCAAGGTTACGGCGGGCCGAAACGAGTCCGAGGTCGCGTCCACGTATCCATAATAGATGGGGTCGTACTTGTCGAAGTTGTTCGTTTGAAAAAGGGAGGTGCTGATCGTGCCGTTGGTGTTGGTGGGTGACATGGTGCCACTGAGGCGGACTTGTCCACGAGAGTCGCACGTGTTGTCCTGCAGGCAGCCTGGTGTGTACATGTTGACTGTATAGTAGCCAGACTCCCTTATGTCCGGCAGGAAAACGACAGAAGCCGAGTCCACGGTGATGGGACTGGAGAGTTGGGCAGCCAGGTACCGGGAGCTGTTGGAGAACGAGGATGAAACCGCCCAGGGGCCGGTCTGGGTAGAGCCAGACGCGGTGGAAATGGCCGCGCAGGCGGGTTCGTTGAAGTCACCGACGGCGAACGCAAAGATGTCGTCTTGAAACAGCTCGATGCCGTTCAGGCCGCCACCACCTCCGTACCAGTCCGAGATGTCGATTCGGAACCCGTTCATTCCTATGACGTCCACGAAATGGAACTCCTGAAAGGTAAGGCCGGCATTGCTGCTCAGTGGACACTCGCTGGTGCAGGTGAGGTTCTGCTTCGATTCGGGATCTATGTAGGTGAAGTTCATGATGCCGTTGATGGGCAGGGCGGTGAAGCGCCACGTCTTGGTGCCGCGGCCATCTTGATGTGTGTTGTACAGACGCAGCTTTGTCGGCCGGTAGCCGAAGCCCATGTTCGCCTGCCAGAACCCAGGTGTGTTGTCGGCGAGCAGCCACGTGTCACCCGCTCCATCGTCGCCACTGGTCTTGCAGACGACGTTGCTGGGTTCGCTGAAGCCCTGGGTCGCGGTGGAACCCCCGGAAGAGAGTTCTGCGGTGGAGAGGTTGATAACCTGCTCGTCCGGCGTACTAGGCGTGCTCGCATTCCCCAGCCCGGTGAAGCTCCCGCCAAAAATGATGTGACCGTTTGAGGCCTTGGTGATTGATAAGACGGGGCCGTTAAAGCCAGCAAAGGGTAAGGCTGAAAAGCCGGCTTCAGTGCCCCTCCACGAGACCGCGTTTGTGGAGTTTTCGATGCCCATGAAGTTACCGCCGACATAGACCGTGTCATCGTCGCATAGGACAGCGTTGACGGAGCCCTGTATGCCGGGTAGCTGCTTGACCTCGGTCGTGTTCGGGTTGAAGAGGGCGATGCCGGTGGATTCCCGGTCGCCGAGGCTGGTGAAATTCCCAGCTATCACGACGCCGTGGGCGACGCCACCGGGGGCATAGGAACACATAGACTGAATGGAAGCATCGGCCTGGACGACGGTGGTGAGGACCCCATTGGGTAGTCGAGCCAGTAGCCCCTCGCTGCCATTTGTTCTAAAGGGGTCCTCGTCCTGGCCCTCGAACTGGTAAAGTGATATTCCTGCGAAGTCACCAGCAAAACCAACCCTGCCTAGTGCTGAGATGTCCAGATCGAGCAAGGCATCCGGCACGGAGGTAAAATTAATGGCGCGAGATGTCGGTATGGACGCAAACAAGGAGACTGTGATGAAGGATTTGAGTAATGTGTAAACACCCGTCCTCGGTTGCCGGGCGACACGGCGCCGCGAGGGGAGGGACCCCATGGCGCGAGTCACTCAGGTGAAAGATGGGCGACCCGTTCGGGTTCTGGAGTTGATGGGTGCCAGTATTGGAAGCCGCGGATTTGACGTGCTACGCGTAATCCATCTCAAGAACAGAACGACTGGGAGTAGGGTCGTGAGGGCTCGGGGGCGGGCGGCTCGGGCTCGGGGGCTCGGATTGCGTGGTTTTGCGGGGCGCGAGGCAGCCGGAGAAATGGGGCGAGGCGGTGGCGATGAAACGAGCGTGTGTTGAAATATTAATATCGAAGGAGGGACAAAGATAAGAAAATAGTCAAGAGACTGATGCCGATTGGGGGGGGGGGCGCGGTGTTGCGGTCCTCGCCTCGGTGTACACCACAGTGGACCGAAATTATTGTCGAAAAACTGTAGTTGCCCAGCCGAATGGGATGAGACGGGAGAGAGGGGGATGTGGCCGGGGGGGGGGGGTCAAGAACAATGGCCCTGTCAGGCCAGGGGAAGAAAAAGAAAGAAGAGGAAGGAAGGAGGGTGAGAGGGTGCGGTTGAGCACCGTGTTGCTTGCGTTGGTTGTCGCGGTGGTGGTGGTGGTGACTGTGGTGGTAGTGAGCAGTCGGGGCGTGATGGCCAGGAGAATGAAGACCTGGGTCGCACGGGTACGAAGTATGTACGGGCGGGCCGCTTCAGGTCAGGGACATTGGAAGGGACCAATGTACGGGTAGGGTACCTAGGGGGGCAGGAACGAAAGCAGCCGGGCAAAGCCACACTACTAAAGGCAGGCCTGAAAGCGGTGGGAGCAGCTGCAGGAGGATGGTAATTGGGGGGGGGCCTTGTAGGGAAAGGGGCAATCCGCGAGTGGGAGGATAAGGACTCTCGCCAGAACCTCTGTCTGCAACTTTTGTCACTGTTGATGTGTCAAGCAAGAGTCAAGAGGAAGACGGTATTGGGGCTGTGGCTTGGTGCAGGGAACCAGGGAACCCGGGGTTGCTGTAGTACCACAAGCCCATGTTTTAATTTGCCAAGGGGCCACAGTACGGGGGTGGTAGGGGATGGTAGGGACCGTAGCGGAATGGTTGAATTGGACACGGCGAATGGCAGCAGTTGCTCTGTTCCTGCAGATGTGGGCCCGCGGACCGGGCTGACTGGGGGGAAGGGGCCATTGGCAAAGCGAAAGCATGAGGAACATCCTGCATGAACCATACCTACTTGGCTACTCTACAGACTAGTAGTACTACCTACCCACCCAGGTACCTAGGTACCTAGATAGATGTCTATATCTACAACAGCAAATCAAACCGTTGACTCCCCGTCTCTTCACCTGATCTGTTGCCCGGGCCCACCTCGTAGCCCCTCGCCTGGTCGCCGTCCCATCTCTTCTACTGTGTATCTGATGATCAATTATTCATTGGCCTAGGAATTGCCAGAGACTAGAATATCCCCCGGCGGTCCGGGACGATCAGGCGACCGAGCCAGAGCAGCGACGCTGGTCCGGCTACCAAGCCGTAGCGTCGCGTACGCAGCACGGCATGGGCCTGGATCTTTGGGCATTCAATGCCGTGACTCGTGGGCTGCTCTTTCCATTCATACCTAGTGTACCTTGCGGACAGCTTCCACCTAGGTGAACACCTAGGTGTTTGCCCCGCAGGGTTACTGTCCCGTCAGTTTTATGGGTGTCTGCGGCGATTGCATCGTGAGCACCTTCCCGACGCTGGGCATGGAGCTGCAAGTCGACGGCGATGACGCGCCGCAGGATCATGCGGAGCCTTCCGAGGGGGAAATATATGTGAAAATTATATATTTCTCAACAAAGCCGGCAAGGGCAACGTGCTTGAAACCTGTTGTCGGCGGGCGGCCCTCACCGACAGCTCCGAGGCGTGAGGCTCGGCCCTAGCTGAGCCCATTTCGCCGAGAGCTCACTTGAATTTGCCATTCTCAGCCTTTTCAGAGTCCCTCATCCTCTCCTTGAACTGCCTCGGCGTCTCAAACGGCTGCCCACCCTTTCCCTCAGCCTTGCCCAGCCCAAACCAGCCCTTGCTCTTGCCTCCCAGGGCGCTCCACAGCCCCAGGTTCTTTTTCTTGGCCTCGGCCTCTGCCTCTCTGTACTTCTTCTCGATAGCCTCACCGCCGAACTCGACTCCGGTCTTGGCCTCATAAGTGGTCGCGAGCCCGCGGCGGAGCATTTCCAAGCCTATGTCACGGCGGAAGAACAGGAAGCGGCGAAGGTAGATGGTGGCAACGACGCGCTCGTACTGGTCGCGCTTGTAGACGCGCGCGCGCACGTAGCGATTCAGTATGGACGATTGGAGCCATTGGAGTGCCTCGGAAGCGTATGGTTGCGCGGGTCGACCAAAGTGCGCGCCTTCTGGTGCGTCAATGCCGGCGAGTCGGATGGGAATCTAGGTTGGGAGATGCAGGTCAGCAACAGGTGGGCATGTGGGAGGGTCGAGTCCCGGCCAAACATACGGTCTGTCCCCTCAACTGTCTCTTGTCCGTAGGAACAGTTCTCAGCCAACCCCAGCCCGCCGGTCGTCCTCCAGGTGTGTGATACAAATGGAAGCCGTCGCCGTCGCCCACGCTCGTCACCCGTCCGAATAGCGTCCTCCTGTTGTAATGATGCGGGAGCACATAGTTGACGCTGGGGATCCGTCGCAAGTACGTCCTGTATATCTTGAGTCCGCCGAGGAGCACCGTCGTGATCACAAAAGCTGGAATCCATGTCCTTGGGTCTTTGTAGTGATCCCAGTCCTTGACATCCAGCGAGTCGTTCCAGCTCACGGTACTCACGCCTGCCCCAGGCGGTTTGTCCTCCTTCTCCCTGTCGGCAGGGGAGGAAGACCAAGGCCATGGCATTTTGCTGTCATGTGTTGGATGGACGCAGGCCAATCCCCGGGGCGAGAGACCTGGAGTCGGCTCCTAGTACGATGCTGTTTGCCCACTTCTAGCTTCAGGGTTTCCGTCATAGGATGACATACTGGGAGGGCCGTGCGCGGGGGAGGCGTGGTTCCAGGGTCGGGGCCCAGCCAAGGTGGAGTTGAGTCTTCGAGTAGTTGCATATATCATTACAGGAACATGGCCGCACCTCTAGCAAAAAGCGATATAATGTCACACTAGAGCTGAGGATATTTGCCCCTACAGTATTGTTCCATAGCAGGTTATCCTATGGGAGGGCGGCTTGAAGTTTTTGTGGAGGGGGGTTGGGGCGAAAGATGCCGTGGCCAGGTAGCAGAAGCCCGAGCAGGGCCCTCTTATTAAACAAATGACAGTCAGCTACTCTTTTACCACGGGGTATCTACTGGTTTGCAGGTTCTGGATAATTTTATTGGTCTTATTTTTTCTCTTCAAAACCCATGTCACCCATACCCTTGTCTGCGGGCTTCGTAATATGGAGTAGTCACGAGCGCCCCTATGCCCTGCTTCTTTCTGTGTCTCGGCCGCCCAAGAATGAATTAGCAACTTGATGAAGAATGACAAATGAATGCTGACTCTCTTCTAGTAGTTGGGATTGCAAACTGCTACTCTTCAAGTTGTCCCAAAAAGGCTACCGCATCAAGCGCCCTGGACTTTGAAAGTCCGCCCACTAGCCGTTTTGCGTTCCTTCTCCTCGCTGTCGGGCCTGGCCCTCCGGAGCACTGTGTATCAAGTTAGTGTCGTTGCAGGTCTCATCGCCAAGTGGAGAGGGTCTTGCCTTGGAGGAAGTCTGCCGTACGTCGTCGCATCCTCGAGTGAATGTATGCCTGTGTCGCGTCAGTCGTTGCCTCACGGCCCACAGGGACGATGCTTGCTGACCTTTGAGGCTTTGATATGATAGTGGAAGTAATCGCGGAACGTCTGGATATGCGAGATCACCTCCGGCATGCGCTGCGGGGTCAGGTGTCGAGGAAATAGGACTTGGCCGGGTCAGCTGGTTCTTGCAAGAGATATGCGGGAAAGCCTCGCCTACCGAAAGTGACATAGCCTATTTCACCAGTGCTGGAGTTTTGGACCCCCGGAACACCCTGAAGCTCCAGGGGCGGGTCTGTACGGAACAAAACCTGTGGTGCATTCTGGATGGCTCGCCGTCTGGCATCCACAAACTCTTGGATGAACACCTTCCCAAACACGCGGTCTGTCTCCTCCCTGAAGACGGTGCTGAAGATGACAGTGACTCTGTCATGGCTCGCTTTGACGTAAATAGCCTCCTCCTCGCGATAATGGATCGACATGACCTCTCCGCCCTCTCGTACGCCTTGCGGGGCCTCCTCGGACGTGAACTTGGACGCTTCCTCTTTCAGCTTGTAATGCTCCGCGTAGGCGTGCTCGAATGGCGCAGCCATGGCGTTTCGCTTGAGCAAAGATATCTTCCTGACCAGCTCGTCTTTCGCCTCTGCGACCTAGCTGTCAGACCCATGTGAGGTGCTCCACAGACATTCAACATACCCTTTTCAGCTGGAAGATTGTCTAAATCGACCGTGACGGAGAAGTCATAGCCTGGCTCGGGAGGCACGACATACTCGCCATACTCGCGGTTGAGGACCTGCTCGGCACCATACTTGACGAGGTCGCGCCAGCATTTTATCTGGATGGAGACTTGGATTTTAGTTTTGGCCTCGGGAGTCGAGATGTGGAAGATGACGCCGTCGAAATCGGACACAGTCTGATCGATGTTGACAGGGGCGGCCCTAGAGGGAGAAGGTCAGTAATGGGTGGGAAGGGGGGCGACAATCGACCATGATACAGGGCAGTGGCACGTCTTACCCTGAGAACCGCTCCGTCAGGACCGACTGAATCAGCACATTCTGGTAGTCGAGAAGAAGCATCGCGACAGTTGCTGCCCGTCGCCGTTTGCCTGCGACGTAATGGCTTATGGATAGGTAATGTCGAGGTAAGGACCGTTTGACTGTGTTGTTAATCACCCCAGCTGTAGCTGCCTCCTGTCCGAGTCAGTGGGGCATGTAGGTCGGAAGGCGACCTTGCGGTATGATGTACTTGGTGCCCGCCCCCCCTGACCGCAGAATGAGTTATGTAATTGAGTCCGACCACGCTGGGGTGGGTGGGGTTATCGATAAGAAGACCCCTGCAAAAAAGTACCGACCTCTTTTGGTGGTGGTCAATAAGAAGGGCTTTGAACTTTTTGCCCAACGAGATCAAGCACCGTCGCAAGAGAGCAAGCGAGGTAGAGCAAGACCACCTGCGCTCCTGCAAATATGGTCAAGTCTTATTTGTATGATGGCTCTGTTCAAACATTCCGTCCCATGGCCCTGCTGACGATAACCGCAGAAAATACGAGCACTCCGAGTCGTTCGGCCTGATCACGTCGAGCTCGTCCAACATCCTCTGGACCAACAACCGCGGGACAGCGACCGGGGCAGGCCAGGCTGTCGTTTCTGCCAACGAGGATGTGATATGCTGGGACATCAAGAAAGGCGAGCTACTGTCTCGGTGGCGCGATGAAAGTTGCAAGGCACAGGTCACAGCCCTATCGCAGAGCAAGACAGACAGCGATGTATTTGCCGTCGGATATGAAGACGGTAGCATTCGCCTCTGGGACAGCAAGATATCCACCGTCATCCTCAACTTCAACGGCCACAAATCCGCCATTACCATGCTGGCATTCGACAAGTCCGGTATTCGCTTGGCCAGCGGCTCCAAAGACACAGACGTGATTGTGTGGGACTTGGTCGCGGAGGTCGGGCAATACAAGCTTCGGGGCCATAAAGATCAAGTCACGGGACTGCAATTCATCGAGCCGGCCGTCCATGCGCAAGATGAAGACACGCAAGAGAGCTTGCAGCTGGACCTTGAGGAACAAAGCGAGGGCTTCCTCCTCACTTCGGGCAAGGACTCTCTGATCAAGCTCTGGGACCTATCATCGCGGCATTGTGTCGAGACGCATGTTGCACAGACAAATGGGGAGTGTTGGGCTCTCGGGGTGTTTCCCGATTCAGATGGATGCATCACGGCCGGTAATGACGGCGAGCTTAAGGTGTGGTCATTGGACACGGCGGGCATGTCCGCGGCAGCGCGTCAAGTGGACGTGCAGAATAGGCATTTCATCCAGGAGCGCGGGACCCTTTTCAGGAACAACAAAGACAGGGCCATCGAGGTGTCGTTCCACCCGCGACGTGACTATTTCGCCGTGCACGGCGTCGAGAAATCAGTTGAGATATGGCGGCTCAGATCTGATGCTGAGGTGAAGAAGAGTCTGGCTAGAAAAAGGAGGAGACGACGCGAGAAACTTGCTTCTGGTAAGAAAAGCAAAGGTGTCGCAGATGTTGACCTGGAAGACGCAGAAGACCAGGAAGGTGAGACTGCCCAGCCAGAGCTGTCCGATTTGTTTGGTCAGCATGTTGTCATCAGGACAACAGGCAAGGTGCGGTCAGTGGACTGGGCGACAAATCATGGGCACAAGCAGTTACAGCTGCTAGTCTCCACGACGAACAACCAACTTGAACTATACGACATCACGGCGAAAGAAAAACGGGGCAAGGCCAAGAACGACGAGGAGCCAGATTACGCGAGATCCCTTGCCGTGGACCTCCCTGGTCACAGGGCTGATATACGGGCTGTATCGCTGAGCTCTGACGACAAGATGCTTGCATCTGCGGCCAATGGGAGCCTGAAAATCTGGAACGTCAAAACGCAGGCATGCATCCGGACCTTTGAATGCGGTTATGCCCTCTGCTGTTCTTTCTTGCCGGGAGATAAGGTCGTGGTGGTGGGTACCAAGAGTGGCGAGATCGAGCTTTTCGATATAGTGTCGGCATCCCTTGTCGACAGCGTATCGGCCCACGATGGTGCGATTTGGTCCCTGCACGTACACCCGGACGGTCGTTCTGTCGTCACTGGGAGTGCGGACAAGACGATCAAGTTTTGGGACTTCAAGATCGTGCAGGAGCAGGTCCTGGGGACCGCCAGAACAACCCCAAAGCTGAAGCTGGTGCAGTCCAGGATGCTCAAGGTTGCAGATGATGTTTTGAGCTCGAGGTTCTCCCCCGATGCCAAGCTTCTTGCTGTCGCTCTACTGGACAACACGGTGAAAGTGTTTTTTACGGACTCGTTAAAGCTGTACCTGAATCTCTACGGCCACAAGCTCCCTGTCTTGAGCATGGATATCTCGTACGACAGCAAGCTGATCGTCACTAGCTCAGCGGACAAGAATGTTAGGATATGGGGCCTGGACTTCGGAGACTGTCACAAGGCACTCTTTGCGCACCAGGATAGTATCCTGCAGGTGGCTTTCGTGCCACACAACTCGGACGGAAACGGCCACCACTTCTTCAGCACTAGCAAGGACCGTAGTATCAAGTACTGGGATGCGGATAAATTCGAGCAGATCCAGAGGATAGATGGCCACCACGGAGAGATCTGGGCCCTTGCTGTCAGCCATGGCGGTAACTCCATCGTCAGTGCCAGTCACGACAAGAGCATACGCGTCTGGCAGGAGACGGACGAGCAGATATTCCTGGAAGAAGAGCGGGAAAAGGAGATCGAGGAGCTGTACGAGGGCACGCTGACGACATCTCTCGGAAACGATGCGGACCCGGACCAACAAAACAACGAAGTGGCTGCTGCAAGCAAGCAGACAGTTGAGACGCTCATGGCGGGCGAAAGGATTGTGGAGGCACTTGAGCTTGGGATGGAAGATCTCCATGTGGTGAAAGAGTGGGAGGAAGCGAAGGCCGGTAACCCAAATGTTGCCCCACCGCAGCGAAACCCAGTCTTCATGGCACTTGGCGGCATCAGTGCGGAAGCCTACGTTATGAATACGCTGCAGCGGATCAAGGCTTCTGCACTGCACGACGCCCTGCTTGTTCTGCCATTCTCGACCGTCCCTTTGCTATTCACATTCATCAACCTCTTCGCGGCGCGGTCCATGAACATCCCCCTGACCTGTCGGATACTGTTCTTCATGCTCAAGACCCACCACAGGCAAATTGTGGCCAGCAAGACGATGAGGGTCATGCTAGACGGTATAAGGATGAACTTGAGACGGGCGTTGAAGAGGCAGAAGGATGAGTTGGGCTACAACATTGCCGCTTTGAAGGTTGTTGGGATGCAGATCCAGGAGAAGAACATCAAGAACTACGTCGACGATGCCTGGGAAGCAGACGAGGAAGGGCGCAGTGCCAGGAAACGTACCTTCCTTCACGTCTCATAAGGGAGAGCAAGCACCACCCGCACAGATGGGAAGCGGGCGGGGCGGGTGGCGTACGGCTGCAGACGGGACGGGTGTTCGCTCGGTGATGAGGGCTTTAGAAATTCAACGGCGGATGGGCGGGCGTGCTGTCCGGCGTGTGTCTTGGCGATCGGACCTGGTAGATTGAGCAATTCCAGTAGGGAGAGTTTTCCCTTCCCAAAGACACATAGCAAAAGCCTTGGTACCTGCCTACCTAGGTACCTAGGTACTTAAGAAGGTAGTCTAGAGGTAGTAAGCTACTAGGCAGCCTCGGGCAGAATCATACAAAGGATGTAAAGGGCTTCTTGAAACAACTGGTCTCACCGTAGAAGGGTGTCCCCAAAGACTCAAAAGGCAGGGCCAGCAGTTGTGGACCAGCGGCAGGGGTCTGGGGGATGCAGGGATTCCTGCAGGCCTGTGACGGGAAGGGGGAGGGAGTGTGGGGGCTCGCTTTGAGGCTGTTCGACTTGTTGCACTCACAAACCAACACCAAGGCGGCGGGACAGTACGCAATTGATTCTGGCTGGTTGCCAAAACCAGAGGTTCTCGTCGGCCAAACCCCACGCCCAAGACTAGACTGGTTTCCCCGAATGCCGGCAGGCCGGGTGCATTGGGCAGGATACCTGATTGACCTTGTTACCGCCCTTTGCTACACCTTTGCCACACCGGCCACCAGCTCCCTCGGGTCTGTTGGACGGATACTACTTCCTGGTATCCCAGTACTGGCCTCGTTCCACCCAACATGTCGGCTCAAGGCCACAACGGCCAAGAACCACATCAAGACCACGACCGGCCCTCCAATTCCCGCAGCACCCGCCACCTGCAGATTCAGGAGCCAGAACGGAGGCCGCTGCTCCCAAGACACATGAGCCATGAGCCCGACAGTGAGCCTGTCTTCTCGTGCGTGCCTAATCCACACTCTCACCTGCCTGTCTACACCAACATCCACCGCATCAGGAGGGATGTTGTCTCCATCGTCGAGGACTACATGAGCCTGGAGCAGCTGAGGGACGTGAGGATAAACATCTCCGTCATACGGCCCTTGGTCGACAAACTGTATGACCTTGACGACATCTCCATTGGTGAGCCTGTCCCGATCCCCTGTACCCACCACCACACCCCCAGGCACTGCTAGGCTAGCTCGCCATGCTGATGCCCTCTCCTCTAGTCTACTGTCTCCTCGTGAACCGCACTCAGTTCCTGCACGAGCAGTCTCATCTGCACAACAGGCAGAATGTAAACTACACCCGTGCCACCCTGTGTGAGCTTGTTGCCACCCGCATCCTCCGCCGCTTCAACGAGGACAACGAGGGGACCGAGGGGCTGCTTGTCCTCGCTCATATCCTCGTCGCCGGCTTCTCGCCCTTCCAGAATGCCCCGGGCGACATCCGCCGCGAGGCTGCCACATCCTCCTCATCCAGCTACCACACCACGTTGCCAGCCCTTGAGGTTGCCATCCTCAGCGAGAGCAAGCTATTCCTCAGCTCCACCTCCTGCCAAAAGGTCATTGATGCCATCTACGAAGGGCGCGTCATATACACGCCCAGTAGCTTCATCAACATCATCCCCGATCGGTACAAGCAGAAGCCAATAAGCCTGTATGACCCCAGGGCCTCATCGCTGTTGAACCAGTACCGCCTGATCGTCCCGAGGACGAGGAACATACTCGAGATCATGCAGTTCGTCATATTACTGGTTCTTTACGTCCTGTTCATGGCCGAGAGGGACCCCACGACCTTCTCCATCCTCGAGGTCATGTTCTCTGTCTACTCATTCGGATGGGTTCTCGACAACTTCGCCACGATACTGGAGCACGGGTGGTGGGTTGCCCCCCCATTTCCTCTCTTTGCCCCCCATTTGCCCCATCCACCCTTTCCCTTCGCACTGGTTCCCGACTGACGAGCTCCTCGCAGGCAGGTCTACACTCAGAACCTGTGGAGCTTCCTGGACGTCACTTTTGCCGTCATCTTCTGGGTATACCTAGTGCTGCGCATTCAGGGCTGGCGCACCAACAGCCAAGACACCGACCAGCAGGCCCTTGATGTCCTCGCGATGGGTGCTCCCGTGCTTATTCCCCGCCTCGCCTTCAACCTTCTCTCAAACAACCTGCTCTTCGTCTCCCTGAGGGCTATGATGGCCGACTTCACGACCCTAACAGCCCTTGCCGCCTGGTGTTTTGCCGGATTCCTCATGTCACTCATCTGGCTGGGTGAGGGGGACCACTCGACCATCACGGTGAGCAAGTGGTTGCTGTGGATATGGTTTGGACTCGACGGAACCGGCATCCAAAGGGCACCCGAGTTCCACCAGATACTGGGGCCGTGCCTCATGGTTACCTTTGCCTTCCTGGGCAACACCCTGTTCCTCACAATCCTCGTCTCCATGCTCTCAAACACCTTCAGCACCATCGTGTCCAACGCCACGGCTGAGATCCAGTACCGCCACGCCGTCCAGACCTTAGAGGGTGTCAAGAGCGACGCCATCTTCGCTTACCAGCCACCCTTTAACATTCTCGCTCTCTTTATCCTGGCCCCTCTCAAGTTTGTTGTGAGCCCCCGATGGTTCCACAAGATCCATGTTGCGGCAGTCCGACTCCTGAATCTCCCCCTCCTCCTCATCATCGCGGCCGTTGAACGTCGTGTCTTATGGCCTGTTTCGGCATCCACACAGCAACCTGTTGCAGACACCGGGGTCGATAAGAGGTATCACTGGTTCTGGGAGAAGTGGCGCATCACGACACACGGGGACATTCATGCTGTGTTCGGCCGTTCGCCTCCGGATGAGGTCGAAGATGCCATCTCCGTCGATGACGACCTGACGCGCCACATGATTCGCCGGCAATTCCAGAGAAACAGCACCGCGGACTCGACCAACCTGCACAACATGATCAAGCATTTCAGGACCAAACAATCACATGAGAGGGACGGCAACGCCGGCACCAAAGACGCGGGTGACCAGCTTGGGGCAACCCCGGCCGCCTCCGACGGCAGGCAGACGCCAAAGTCGCCTGCCCCTGGAAAAGTGTTGAGCAGAAGGGACAGCATGGCGCCGTTCCCGGGGCTGCGGCAGGAGCTGCAGGGCATCTTTAACGACAGCGAGGAGATTAGTGACCTGACGACACGGCTGGAGGCGTTGGAAGACAGCAATGCGCGTATAGAAGCAATGCTTGTCAGGCTGGTCGAGGACGTTGAAGATACCCCCAGTATTGTGGAGGAGTCGCAGGCTGGCAAGCTGGGCACGCTGGACGATTTTGACCGCACTGCAGATGAGCAGTAGCACCGACTGCTCTCCTTTGGTTAGTGTCCAGATGGGAGCCGGTCTGCTTGGTCATGCAATGGGGTCGAGACCTCAAGACAGACTGCGTTTCAAGCAAGTTCCTGTGGGCCGAGGGTATCGTATCAAGTTGAAATAGTAGCCTCTCCATGCAAGTAAAGCCCATCTTATACCAGAAACGCCCGCAAGTGAAAAGAGTCGACCAAAATTCACGCCCCATTGCCCCCCTCGAAAGTAACACCGGTAAGCATATTTCGACGTGGTTCACTGAATCTGGACGTCCTCCATCTCCTCGTCCTCGGAATCCTCTCCGAAGTTCATGGTGGGCGCTGTTTCCGCCATGGCCTGTGCGCCGATGTCCTGGTGCTCTGCCTTTAAGCTCCAGTTGTTAGCGAACCGCCCGCTTTTGTGCAAGTCGGCCACCTTCTCCAGGGTCGATCGAAGATAAACCTCGGGTTGAGGAATCGCAGATCGAAGAGCCTTGAGCGACCAGTAGTTGTACTGTCGGAAACACTGGAAGATCTTGTCCAGAAGCTCGTTCTCCGGCATGCGTGCGGTCTTGGCCTCGGCCTTGGCCTTCTTGGTCTGCGTGCGCGTGTCTTTGATGAAGGTCTCGAAGGCCTTGGTGGCTTGCGTGGTGCCAACCTGGACCACGTTGTTGGTGACGGTGAAACGGTCGATGATCTGGGTTGTGTTCTTTGGTGTTACTTGCTCCTGCGCGCGGACGGCCATAAGGTACGCGGTCTCTGGGTTGTCTGAGTGTGGGGTTAGATCCTGCTTATCTCGTGCCAGCGGCCAGTACGTACCTATTGGGTTCATGTTGACTTCCTGAGAGATGCGGCCATAGATGGCGGTTTTTTCTGCCATGGTATTAGCCTAGTCCGCTTCTATAGAGGCTGTCTGGTGTATTTCATGTCGCAGAGGCTTGGGGTCATACTGGGAATGACTTGTCTAAAAGTATCCCTTCCTCGCCGTCCTCGTCCGCCACGGGAGTTCTGCTGAGCCGGTTTCTCCACCTTGGCTCGCAGGAGATAGGAGGGGATGTTCTGGTCGGCAGCGTCCTTGCGCAGTTTGTTCTTGTTTTTGAAGCCGTCGATGTCGGACTCGGTGAAGATGAAGGTGTTTTTGACTTCCAGGTTGGTCTCGTCCAGGTCATACTCGCGTGGCAGACCCTGGTGGGCGGAGACATTGCTCTTAAGCAGAAGCCTCATCTTCCTCTATAGTGTGGGCCGTAACAGACTCTGGTCAGCGGCCAATGTGCGCAGGCGCGGGGAGAAGTGGTGCAAAACGGACCTTGGACATGCCCCTTTTGTCTGGCTCGCTCCAGAGGCGCAGCTTTCCGATCTCGATTGGGGTATCGTCGTCAATCTTGTCCCAGGCAGCCCAGACGTAAGTGGGCACGCGAGCCATGAAAAGGCTGTCCTGGGCAGTCTGGTTGCCGCCGGGGTCTTTTGGCGCGTAGAAGTCCAGATCGAGGTCGCCGACGTCGTCTTCATATGCATCGATGGCCATCGGGGATCCGCCTTGGAGGGTGTCGGGGTCGGGCTTGACAGCCGGGTCGGGCTTAACAACTGGGTCCGCCATGTTGGGTGATGCCTATGGTCTTGCCTTTGCCTGTGACTGAACCACCCCGAAACTGAGCTTGTGGTCCGCAACGGCAAGGTATCAGTGGTTTGGGAAGTCGAACTTAGGTCTGCGGCGAGCGCAGTGCGGTCCCAAGGCCGGCTAGCTTATGTAAGAACCGGGGGTGAATATGTACCTAGGTACCTAGGCGGCACCTATCGCCGCGCATGAGTACCTGCCGGAGCCTTCCGCTTTCAGGTGTCCTGTTGCCCAATCCGTCGTCGAAGAGTCTGTCTGCTTCGCTGGCTGTGGCTTGGCAAGGTGAGTCCTCTCAAAGTATGACAATTTTGACTTCCAGGCTTCCTTCCAATAGCCCTTCCAACCCACGTCCGTGTCTCTGCTCGTTGACCTGGAGTGCTTCTTGCTAGGCACCTAGGTACTTGGGTACCGAGGTGCACAGCACGCTGGCCGAGCCTTGTCAGACAGCTTCTTTTGCCTGCCGCCGACTCCGCTAATGATGTAATGCGGGAGACTGTTATCTTATCCTGACTCATTTCAGCGTGCGAGCCATGCGACACGTCCTGCGCGAGTCCACCTGTAAAGTCTGATCGCGACCTCGTCTATTTACTGACCTTTCTCTCTCAACACCTTCTTGTGACGACCAACCCAACTTAGACGCGCTCTTTCACCCATAGACCACACGTTGACTCACCACCGGCTCGCCACAACCTATTGGCGCCTCACCCCCAGACACTACTCCATAGTCGAGTCTGGGGTCCCATTCGTCATGTCTAATGAGGACCAGAAGCTGATGGAGCAGATCAGCCTCCTGGCAGGTAAGTCTTCACCAGCTGGCGCGTCGCGGTGGGCGACTGAGCGAATGCTCTGCCCACTTGCAAGACTCGGATGTTTCTGATGATTGGTCACAGGCCAGATCAACCGCGCCAAGAACCAACAGGCTGGTCTCGCCCAGGCAACAAGTGCCACCCCTTCTCCTCCTTTCCCATGTATGTTGAGCTGCCAGACTGAATTCTTGCCTGATAAGCGACTTTCTAACCAGCCGAAAAAAATCCAGCCCCGGGTCGTGGCGGCTACCACCGCGGTCGCCACCAGTATACAGCGACCGGGCGTGCTGGCTACCGCGTCGCGAAGCCCGTCCACCGACACAGGTCCCTTGTCCTCAACGGCCCCAGTGCCACGAATAACGCGAATCAGGCGGCAGGTTCTGTGGCCGATGACTCTTCCGCTTCCTCCTCATGGGTCACGAGGAATGACCGCCACCTTCAACTGATCAACTCCAGTGTTTTCCAAGAGCATTCCGAAGCACGAGCCAGGGCCATGCAGCAGACAAGACTCCACAAGCAGCAGGAAAAGGAGCATCGCGAGCGGGTCAAATTGATGAGCCACCTCAAGCATATTGCGCAACCCTCCACCGCATCTGTGAATCCCGCATCCCTCACGTCCTATGAAATAGTCGTGGAGGGCATCCGCTTCAGAGTCGCAAACAACGGTAGCAAGCTGGTCAAGCTTCCCGGTGCGTCCCGACTCCCTTTGCGTGCGAATCCTGGCTCACCGGCGTCAGGAGACCCCAATGGCCCCAAGGCCACGCCCAAGATGGCCCTGGTCGGAGGCGTCAAGTTCCATCGGTCCAAGAACGGCAACATGTACCGCCAGGCTATCGTCAAGGCCCATCGGTATGTCACTCTTCCAGGCTTGGTGTGTTCGCTTACTGACAACCCTTCAGACAATCCGTCGCAATCAAAAAAATCAACGTCGTTTGCAGAAATTTTTCCAATACTGGTACCCCTTTGTTCCTTCCCATCGCTCCTCTGCTACTAGGAGTGTGCGCCGTACCGCAAACCACGGGCGGATGTTACTGACGCCGACAAAACTTGTGCAGGTTCTTGTCCAAAGGGCCCCATGTGCCGCTACATACACGATCCGTCCCGAGTTGCTGCATGCAAGGATTTTCTCCAGAAGGGTACTTGTCCGGCCGGCGACCAGTGTGACCTATCGCACGAGCTGGTTCCAGAGCGCACGCCTCATTGTGTGCATCATGCCAAGGGCAACTGCAGGGCCAGTGAATGTCCGTATACTCACCGTATATTGCCGCTCGGTGCTCTAGTGTGCCAGTCGTTTGGAATTTACGGCTACTGCGATAAGGGCATCAGCTGTTCCGATCGCCACGTCTTCGAATGCCCCGACTTCAGCAACACGGGGGTCTGTAAGACAAAGGGTTGTAAGCTCACCCATAGAGAGAGGGCAAGCGTCCTCAGAAAGGCAAATGCTGCTCTCGAACAGAACGCGAGCGAAGATTGTGAGGGTGACTTGTCGAGCGATGACGACAATAATTCGGTCAGCAGCGACGATGTTGACTCTGACGAGGTTGAGGAGTTCATCGGTGAAGAAGACCCTACGGATTTTGACAAGGACTTCATTTCCTTGAGTTGATCTATTTGATCTATCTGGTCCCTGGCGAGGAGGCTGACGGTCTCGTGCGCTTCATTCGCGCTGGCTGACTTGTCCTTTAGCATTGACAGACCAAGTCGATGCTCTATCAGGAGAACCACAAGCGAGTGCAAAAAGAGGCCGATAGTGATTGAACTCAGAGAAGAGGAAGAAGAAAGAAGACGTGTATGCCAGTTAGAAGAATCACAATGTATACGGTATCGCATTAAAAGCACGTGGTATTTCCCGCACCATGATTGAACGTCGAAAGCATCGAAACTGCCCACAGTCCGCATATGTGTGTCTGAAATAACAGATCTGCAGACACAAGCCGTCCAAGAGGCATTGCGTGTACCTGGAGCGGGGGCGTACGTCAGACTATGTTCCGTAGCGATTAACTCTCGTGTATCTGACCTTGAAGGAGGTAGCGTAGACATGCAAGGCGGCCAGGTAGATGGCTATCCTATCAGCTGTGGCCCACGGTGGTCGACCTGGCAAGGCCCATCATACAATCGAGATCCGAGTGTCCCGCGGGTACTGTGTAGCTCGCCGTGGGAGTTCCCCGTCTTTACGCGCGCAGCAGCGCGACGTGCCTGGGGAAATCCGGTATCATGGGAGGCACTCGCACAGGCTAAGGTTAGAAATGGCGCTGGGTTGAACCCAGCCTTTCTCACCGCCAAAGTGGGACGTCCCGATTTTCCCGGTGTCTCGGCTGTCGACCTCTGGGCCCCGGGTGTTGGATCATTAAACCTAGTCCTCGAGGAAATTCATGCGTGCGTATCTGTTTACATGACCACACAGCCCACAGGTGTGCGAGGGAAAGACTGGTGTTGAGGAGCAGTCGCTCAGTCGCCGTGTTCCGACTCGGCCAAGATCAGCCTGAGGATAAGCTTTCGTGCTAGTCCTAGCCCACACGGCTATCAACCATGCCCTCGCCTCACTGACTGCGATGACGTCGTACAATTTGAAAGTTCCGCTCTTGGTTACACACTGGGAGATGTGATTGTAAACAACCTTGGAAGATGGTTGCCATTGCCCGGGCAGGCAGGCAGGGAAGGCTTTACTGCGACCGCAGGCAGAGCCCTGGCAGCTGCCCGGCCGGGAGAGGGTAGCAGGCGCGCCAACAACAGACCGGCGTCTTGCAGGTCTCCCCTGCGCGAATGAATGGTTGAACCTGATGACAATTCTGGTGATATGTATGCCCGAGAGCCTACTCGTGCGTCAACAGGCAGATGTTGGAGGAGCACAGACACTCTCACAAGGGCCCTGGGAAATTGTTGACAGGCCTGCAGGCCTGACGGCTGGGCTGCTGGGGAAGTAGGGACGGAGTGGCTGGTAGGGTCTACAAGGGTCACAAGGGTTCCCCTGGCATAGGCCACAGCTTGTTCCGACGTCCGTAGACCAACTCGGTAGTACATTAAGTAGGTAGTAAACTTGGACCACACGGCTGCATGGCCAGTAAGAACATTACTGTTCATGCTTACAGAAGCAACACATTCGCTGCGAAGCCCCTGTGACTTGAACAAAAAAGCAAACAAACAAACAAAACAAACATTTGTCCAGTCCTGACAGTGAGGAAATGCCGTGGCCCAGTGGCCGAACGCCCGAGTCAAGCTCGCACCGAATGACAGGCCGAGAGCTGGCGTGACGATTGACCGTTCACCATGCCGACGATGGCGGGAGGCAGTCAGTCTGTTCCAGCAATGCTACAAGCACGACCGAAACCAGCGTGCCGAAACGGCAGAGGCGTGAGCCACCGTCACGGCCCACAGCCCCAGGACTGCAGCACACCCGACGCGCCGTTTCACCAGCCCGCTGCGAAGGTGACGACCAGGCGGCGGGCCCAGGCCGGCTCGTCCCCTCGACAGACCCGGAGCGAGCATGGGGCAGACACATGGCGCGCATTCATCCACGGTCCACGGCATTCGGCTCGCGCTGGAGGCCTCTCCCGTACATAAAAGCAGGGCTCGAGGGAGCGGCAGGCGCGGCAAGGCGATATTCCGCCCATGCTGAAGGATGAGCTGACGCCCGAGTACAGCATAATCATCCCGCCGCCCCGGAATGGAGACGCAAGGGCGACTCCTCTCCGCGGGAACGAGATACAGTCGGCCACGGACGCCAAATGTGGGTGTAGGAGGAACGGCCAGCCAGGTTTGGCAAGCGTCAAGTCAGCAGAGCCTCCTCCAAGAGGCTTCCTACCTGGGTCGTCAGGGTCGTCGACACCCCACGCCCCGATGCTGGCCACTGAAGCCCCGGCGAGCGCGCTTGGAGTCAGCAGCGTAGCTATGCGCCCTGTTGGTTTCTTTGACCGCCGAGTGGGCCTTGGCCCAAGATGCCGCTTCTTGGCTATCTACTACATAGTACGGACTACCTGTTCCCGACACGGCGGGCAGCCGGATGGAGAGCATGGTGGCATGATACTGGCGAGCGCGATGGCGCCCGGCGTGTCGCTGCTGCCCCGGACGCATCCTCAGAGGTCGACCGGCAGCGGGGGATCAGGTTGGGTGCGGCAAGAGGCCGGGGCCGTGAGGGGAGATGGGAGAGGGGAGGACGACATGCCATTCCGAGTGGCGCAGGGCTGTCTGTGATCGGCCGCGGGAGACGACGGCAAACGGGTAGACCAGGGTTGGTTGAAAGCAGGCGAGCGACTGCCTCGACGGCTGTGCTGGCCATGCTGCCATGCCATGCCGGCTTGTAGTCGCTCGTCAGCCAGCCGGCCGGCCAGCCAGCCCTGCAGCTGCCCTTCACGGTTGGTCGGTCGGGCAGAAAAGCGATGAGGCGACGGGCAGCCAGGCGCCAGGTGCCAGGCGCCAGCTGCAGGGGTGAGGATCTGACGATGGGTCTCGAGGATCAGTCGCGAGTAGCACGCGTCGACATTGTTCGGGAGTGCTGACCGGACTGGATCCGCCGGGCCCTGGATCGGCCGGGGGAGGTTTTGCAAAGGGCAGGATCGAGCGGTGATTGGCAGGCCGGTCGTGGGCAGACGACACACCGACTTTACGACGGGCCATGTTGGGAGGTTTCTATCGGTCGTGTGTGGTGGACAGGCGTAGCGGGATGGGTTTTGGGACTCCACGACGGGCCGCATGATATGCGGCCGCAGTCTCGCTGGGATGTTTAAGATTCGCTCCATCAGCCAAACACGACGCGCCCTCCCCTGCGACCTCCCCCTGTGGTCTTGTGTATCCCAGCGGGCCTTGCATGCTTGCCCAGCCACCGCCTTTTTTTTTTTTTTTACCCCCTTCCCCTTCTCCTTCCCCCCCCCCCTTCTTCCTTCTTTGTGCGCAGCGTGCACGGAGGACCTGCCAGGCAAAAAGGCCCCCAGATAGCGTGGTAGCATGCGAAGCAGGTGCCACCCACTGCCAGGTGCTAAGTGCGCAGCAGTGGCATGCAGCAGAGGCATGCAGCAGAAGAGGGTCCCGGGTGGCCAGGTCGTTCGGTTATCGCGACAGGCAGGGCGATGGTAGCTCAACAAAAGTTGGGCGGATCGCACCACGACGCGTTGCCAGCGGACGGAGGTAACGCGATCTGTACGTGGTGGAGTCTCGTCAAGGCCCGCGGATGAGAAATTTCTGATTCAACAAAGCTTGCCCGGCTCTGCTGGTCTGATACTACTGTGTACTAAGTATGTATGCGGCTACTTGTAAGTTGCACCACGGGTCCACGACTGGCCGTCGTGCCGTCACGAAGAGTACCCTAACCCCCGACCTCAACGGGGCGGAGGCGGAAAGGTTGGCGCGGGATGCACATGTCCATCGACCTCGCCTATCATGATGCTCGACATGGGCATGACTCGAGCCGAGCATTCTCATGCTGGACTGCATGGGCACGGGCTCTGAGTCAGGGCCCCCTGGGCCCCAGGCCCCAGTCGAAATGCACGACCGGGGCAATTGCGAGCGTTTCGGCCTGGCGGCCTGGCAGCCTGGTGGGTGAGGTGAGTTTGCCGGTAGCATTTCGACGTCTGCACGGTCAGCTGGCTCGACGGCTCGACGGCCGGCCACACATAGGGTGGGTGAGTCGAGCACGCGCGGGTGCCCAGATGGGCACGGCACGGCATGGCATACTATTTAGGCCTGGGCTTTGGTTGGTGTACCCAGATGGGCAGGCAGGCTCCTTCCTATGTTAGCACTTGAGTAGGTACCTAGGAGTAGGTACCTAGGAGTAGGTACCTAGGAGTAGGTACCTAGGTAGTCTGGTGGTCTTCCCGCGCCCGCCGGCCCGCCGCTGGGTACCTCGGGGCCTAGCAGACGGATCGTGAGATACCTACTGTGTAAGCCGGCCTTGGGCACAAACGTCCACCGTCCCACGGCAATGGCCGTTGATACCCAACCCACCGCAGGGCTGCACGCTTAGGAGCACCTACAGCATGCTCTGGGCCAGTCGTCGTTGACTGACTCTGGACTGGCGTTGCCCGCCCTGTCGCCCTGCCGCCCAGTCGCCCAGTCGCCCAGTCGCCCTCATATTGGGCATCGTCAGTGTCCAAGATCCTGCGGTCATCGCGTGCCCTTGGCCCTGGCAGGCCTGCCTGGTGCTCCTGGAGCCACGGCCGGCCGAAAAGAAGCCGTGCATGATCTTCTAGAAGGTGGTCTAAGAGACTTGAGATTACCCAGGCGGGCAAGTGGGTACCGGCACCCGTTCCCCAGATTTGGATTTTCCGTCAGTGAACGCCGCCGGATCGCCCGAATCGGTTCGGATCGGACGTGTTTTGTGTCTTGTCCTTCTCCCACCCCCTTCCACCCCCTTGGCCTCTCTCTTTCCTCTCTCTTGTGCTTGTGAGGCAGGGCCATGGTCATGCCATGGTCATGGAGAATACTTATAGCAAGCAGAGAGATCAAATCAGGAGGCCAGCGCCATCAGCCGTGGCGCCTCCCGCTCCTGTCCTGTCCTGTCCTGTCACTGCTCGCTGAAACCTGTGACCACATCTGATAAGGTTTGTTAGCTCCCCCATGGTCTGGCCAGCCAGCCAGCCAGCCAGCCAGCCAGCCAGCCAGTACTGGAGTATGTACAGGACACTACCTACCTACCCGTAGGTAGGTAGGCAGGTGCCCTGTACCCGGGCAGCACCTGGGCAGCCAGCCAGTCTGGGAGAGATCAGCCCCGGCGATCGGCTGGGACTGTGACAATCAGCCCGCACCGCACGATTGCACACCTGGCCTGCTGCTGCCAGTTCCAGCCCAGCATCCCACCGCCGTTTTGAGTCGGTGCTGCTATTAGTCGCCTTACCTCTCTGCTCTGCCCGGGAGGCTGGCCTGCCAGCCTGCCAAGGTGATTGAATGCTAGCGTCTTCTGTCGAAACTCTACACTACCTGAGGTCCCGAGGTCCTGAGGTCCTGACTGGCAAGCAAACTGGAAACGGAGGTCCCAATCGGGACTGCACCCTGTCCGCCGCTCCCGCTCAAATCACCCAGGGAGCATCATCCCGTACTCCACATTGGATGGCAGGCCATGTTGTACTATGTATGCAGCGCAGGCGGTACGTACCGTGGTATTGTGGTATTGTGGTATCCATACCCAACGGCCGACCCTGGTCACACACGCTCATGCCCACCTCCAAGCTCTTTTCCCTCTTCATCAAGCCGGCGCCCAGCCTGCGTCTTCGAGGGGGTACAAATCCAAGCTGCCCCTCCGCCGTCCTCTCCCGACCCCGACTGCCACCGTCCAGAAAACATCATCAACAACTACCTGCTCGAGTCACCTGCCCGAGTTCCAAGGTCCTCGACACAACATCATCCTCGCGTCGCCTCCTACCCGGCCCGGCACACCACGCTCTTGCCGCGCACACCACCGTCTGTGTGGCCACTGGTCAGTGCTGCCCCTCCTCTTCCACCTGTCGCCTCCTCCCTCCCACGCCCCTCCCCGCGTCTCAGCAGCACTCCTCGGCCTGGTGTCTGGATGTCCAGTAGTGTTGCCGGGGCTGAGTGCGGGCTCTGTTGACTCTTGAGTGGTCCCAATAGTGGTCCTGCCCGACCACCCGACTGACTGACGGCCCCACACCCTTGACCGGCTCTGTCCCTCGTGCTTACCACCCCCCTCCCATCCCCCCTCCCATCCCCCCTCACCTGCTATGTATCCTATTCCCCAGATTCTTGCACACCCTACCCCCCTCCCTCGCATATTCTTTTCTTTCTGTTCCACATCTCTCTTACATGTCTGTTGCGTGTCTGAGAAAACCTTGAGTTGGGCACTCCCATCAGCTACTTGGCGAGCATTTCAACGGGGCCCCCCGTCGCACAACCCTTCCCACAAGGTCTGGCTTCTCTCTCCCGGGAAATTTCGAACTCGGAACATTCCCACATCTCCTGTCTTCGCTCATAGTACATACATCCCAGGCTTGCCGCCCGGGGAAAGGAACCCAGAAGCCCACCCTGTGGTTCCTCCACCCACAAGCGCGAGCCCCAGTCACTTCCAAAAATAAAACCTGCCCATGAGAACCTGAGCAACATCCTTCTTTCTTTTATACATACATGGCTCACACACACCCTTCCCCTTCTCATCAACCCGTCCCGTCCCATCTAGCCAGCCGGCCTTCTCAAGACTAACCCCGTCTTCCCACCACAGACAGGAAAGCCTTTCGTCTCCGGCACGACCGAGGCACCGTCACCACAGGTCCTAACTGGTGTCCAGAGAGACCATCATGGTCTCGACGCTACAGATGCAAAATTACTACCGGCATTCTGGGTTGACGGTAGACACCGGACACGCACAACAAAAATACTTTGACGACGAGGACTGCATATTAGACGACGGCATTCTCGACCAGAACGCCATGGACTCGGGCCTTGAAATGTCCCCAAACATGGCCGACAGCAGAAGAGAGTCTTTTGCCGTGTCATCCACGCTCTTCTCCCCCAAGAACGAGCCATGGGCCGCTGTTGACATGGAGTCAAACCCGTCCCAGATGTCCAACAACCCGTTCATGGACAACCAGATGGAGCAACAACATTCTCAGCACCAACACCAACACCAGCATCAGTCCCAGCCTCACCCACAGCCACAGCCTCCGCACCTCAACAGCAACAACCCCTTCTATCGCATGGACCAACACCAATACCAGCAGCATCAACCTCAGCCCTTTGCTTCTCAGCCTACCAATCCTTGGTCCATAAGCAACTCTGGTTCCTGTACCCCTATGGCCCAGTTTGATGGCCTTCCAGCAGAGTACGACACCACCAACGGCAACAATCACAACAGCACTGCTGGGATCCCCTTCCAACGCCCTCAGATACAAGGGCAGACTCCATTCAGCAACCCGGCGAACCAGGTCCCGATGTTTCCCCCCGTCAACGGCCATCCCATGCAGCAGTCAGCGTCAAAGGATGGCTGGATGACTGGCCTCAAGGACCACAAGAACGACAGCCCTACCATCAGGTCGCACAACGAGCTGAGGAGAGGGGATGGCATCCGCAAGAAGAATGCGCGTTTTGATATCCCAGCCGAGCGTACGCTCAACAACATCGACACCCTGATAGCCCAGTCGACCGACGAAACTGAGATCAAGGAGCTTAAGCAGCAGAAGCGGTTACTGCGCAACCGGCAGGCAGCGTGAGTTGATTACCCCCGTCGTCCCCCTTCGGACCACCATCCACTAATGTTTGGCACAGCCTCGACTCGAGACAGAGGAAGAAGATGCACACCGAACGGCTCGAAGATGAGAAGAAGCAGTTTACCTCCATCATTGGGGACTTGGAGGCAGAAATGGACCAGCTGCGTCTCCAGCTTGACCAGATGATGCGCGAGAAGCAGCAGGACGTCCAGCTCATCGAACAGCTCAAGTTCGAGAAGGAGGAGATGGTCCGCACGCACACCATCGAGACTGGTGAGCTCCGCAAGAAGGTCAGCGTTCTCAGCAACCATGTTCAGGCACTGGAGGGTGCGGCAATGTCCCAGGCAAGCGGCATGGCCAACCAGGCTTTCACCGGTGCAACCTTCGGCGACATGGAGGGAATGGCAATGGACGGCCCCTGGGATGGCATGGGTTTGTTCGGCGCAGAGTTCCCCTTGGAGCAGCCAGACGTCAAGCAGGAGATGCAGATTGTGTCCACCAAGAAGTCAGACGTCAATGTCTCGGCCGATGTTGAGAAGCCGGCGACTCAAGGCGGCTTGCTCTTCATGCTATTCCTCGTCGGTGCATTCGTGCTCTCCAACCGCCAGTCCAACGTTCCTCGCGTATCCGAGGATGTCCGCGCCGCCTCGGCTTCTATCCTCGAAAACGTGCTCAAGGACGCTGGTGTCGCGCAGTCTGACTCCGGCGGCATGGAGTCGATGGCCCACCAGCCAACGGGCACATCATGGGCTTCAGTACCTACGGCGTCGATGCCTGTCCTTGGCAATGGCCTAGACGGCGTGGCTCCCTCGATGCTTGGCGATTTGTCGGACAGCCTCACCCAGCCGACCCAGGAGCAGCAGAACGAGCAACTCTTTGGCCTCACCCCGTCCCAGTACGAAGGGGTGAACTCGCATGACTTCCTCCAGAATGCCCCCGCCGAGAAGCCTACCAGCCAGGGCAGGAAGAACCTGGCGCAGGCACTCGCCTCCATGAGGACTGAGAGCAAGGCCGAGGTATACACCAGGTCTCTGTTGTGGGATCAGATCCCAAGTGACGTTGTCCGGTCGTTTGCGAAAATGGTGGCCGAGTGCGGCGCTCCGGACAATGGCGGCCATGGCAAGCCTGCCACAGCATGATTGATGAAGATGAAATAACGACGATTTGACGCCAACGATTCGCATATACGTCGAACCACCAACGAAACACCACGATCATAGACCAGAACCATCTCCGCTACATATGGCTTGTTTCACCCCGGGCCAGCCAGCCAGCATTGCAAGCCTGTATTGAAGGTACCGCCGCACATATACACTTCTCCGACGCGCTCCCGCGCAGCGATTACATACTTTTGTGCTCGCGCACACGCAAAGATTGCTATTTTCTGTTCTCGGCTTTGCACTGACTGGGGTCCTCGTTACTCAACAGCGATTTCTTTCCTTGATCTTGTTGCTTGCTTTGTCCCTTCTGACTCTTTTACCTGTTTTTTTCTGATCATATCGTTTGTGTCCTCTCTGCCTTGGGTTGTTTCCTGATTTAAGCGATTTGATTTTTAGCAGGCGAGCGAGCGTTTGAAATTTGACTGCACACCGTCTCCCAACACACACGTTTGCTTGGTGTTATTCTTAGTTGTATTTGTCTTGGCTCACATATCGGGAACGGGAATCATTGGGCGGCTGGTCTTTGGGGCTTCTTATCTTGGATATGGCAGAGCGCCGAACATTTCAACAGTTGCATGGGCTGGTTTGGGACATGGGACGGCCAATTGTCTGTTTAGGACCGCGGCAACGACAGTACAGAGAGCCCTCGAGGAGACGAAATCCGAATCTTCACGGCAAAGACCCCAGAGTTGAGGAGAGCTTGAGTCAACTGCTCTCGGACTACGGAAGAGAAGCGAACACAGCAGCCAACCCGCGCGGGAAGACTGGTTCTCTACGACTCGATACTTTCTTTCCCGACACCAAACAAGGGTGAGAGCTAGTCCTGGCGGGAGGTTGTCCGCATTCTCTCTCACACACACACACACACACACACACACACACACACACACACACACAGACCAAATTATGTCGGCTTCTCACGGCAACGCGCATACAGTCACTCTCTACTGTCAAGCATCTCATTTGTCGGCCACTTTCCTAGCTTGTTTCCCTTTGAGCGGTTGGGTGATCGGAAAGCAATGTGCGAGGGAAGGTGATGGACAGAAAATGACGGTGGAAAGGGTTGGCGGACGATGGTGATGTGGCTTGGGCGGCATTGAAGCGTTCTGAAGATCAGCTGCAACCCCCACGACTATAGACCGTTGTGCTGGGATGTTGAATCGGATGTGCGCTCTGGGACGAATGCATGTCGTGATGATGGCGAAAGTGAGAATATTCGAGCCAAATGTGACACGTGGAGCCCCCTCTCCCCCAGGCATCTGTTGACATAATCTCCCTATATGCGGTGATGTGATATGCGCAGTGGCTGGCAACTGTGAACTGCTCAGCAGGATATACCTCGGCCAGATGCGATCAGTGACCGCACATTTTGGCGCTGGTGACTGTGTCCTCTGGCTGGCTGTGCGTCTGGGGACCAAGGGCTAGGTCGTGGGCTGGGGCTCACTCTGCTGACCTATGGTGCGCCCGAATACTGATGTGAAAGGGTTGCATGAGTCGGAGCCCCATTGATCTTGTCTCAACCAGTCGACACCCCCGTTCCAAAACGCGGGAGGGTGGCGTGGGTGTGCTCTGTGTTCGCTTAGGCGGTGTGGTACGGATGACCTACCTGGAGACTGGTCCTCTCGTGCTTATCGTACCTGGGCAACTGGGGAAAGAAGGTACTCCGTACCAGCCAACCGGCCAACCAGCCAGCCAGCCAGCCAGCCAGCCAACCCCTCCCCCCTTACCAGCGGGGGCTCTTGTTCTCTAGCTCCGAGCGAGAGTAAGACAGGTCGAGTTTGCATTGGGCATCAACTATTCGTCATATGATTGTCCCGCGACGCGGTAATCTGCAGGCGACGAACGACAGGTCAGTCAGAAGATGCCGAGAGGCTGCTGTGGGAAGCACTGGAGGCCCGGATTGAGAATAAGACAGTTGTGCAAGTCACACACAAAGCCTCTCGACCTTCGATACCGGCTCTGGTCAGATCTCGATCCGGCTCCTCCTCTATCAAACTGCCCCGAGCCCCTTCGCAACAAGGTGGCCTCGCCTACACCCCCGCCAAGATTCACGATGTTTCCTGGAGACAGCATTTCGTAACCCCAGGTCGATCACCACGGATTTGGCGATGACCTTCACACGCATTATCCCCCGAGCATCATCAAAACCTGGAAGGAAGAAACAAAAAAAAACAATCACGATATCATTCTAAAGCCGCGGCCGCGTAGCGGACACCCTGAGCTATTTACAATACCTGTCTGTTCCGACGCTGACCCTGAAGGCAAGATGGCGTAATGAATACGGGCCGACGACATACGTACGGCTGCTCGGTGGTTTTGTAAGAAACCTGCAGCTCGCTGGTAGACCACCGGGTTCGATACAGACGCTGAAGGCCCACGTAGAAGCAATCACAGGGTTCTCAAGGTGCAATGTGAGCGCTCTCGCCAAGCCACAAATTGCCAGAGGCTAGCAACCTTGGAAATACATGCCTGAAGCACAGCCCTTCTCAAAAGTCAGCCCCGAAACGAATCCGATTGCTTCAGGGCAGGCCCTCCCAGTCGGTTCTGATGGGAGAGCATCAACAGGCTGGAGATCCAAGCTCTCGAGGTCCTAGTAGGCAGGCCACTGCAAGTGGCCTAGTTTCGTAGCAGGTTCCCAAGGCACATCTGCATTCCACCCCCAGGCAAGCCGCGAAACTTGCCCCAAACAGAGCCCAGCCAGGCTCGGCCTCCTGCCTGCATTTCCCCAGGCCCGCCGTGTAACGCATTGGTACTCCCTTGTGGTACCACGGCATAGCAGACCGGTGGCACGGGAACGCTCGGAAAGTCGGCCGCCCCACCTCGTAGAGTACACCACCAAAGAAAGACCTGCAGCTCGACTTCTATTTCTTGCCCTGCCTCTTATTTTCAGGGTTGTACTTGTCCTTCCAGATCCTAAAAGACCCCATTAGTATAAGCCCGAGGCTGAGTCAATGATCGCGTTAGGTGTGCTAGCTGCCGAGTCGTCTTCGGCTGGCAGGCAGCTTTCATGGTCGCAGGGGACAAGCAGCAGACTGCCGGCTGGGATGGGGCGAAGCGAGCAAGGCTCGACACCTTTGTGGTCGTGCACGTGGTCCACCACGCACGATGGCCATGCAATGCAATAAAGACCAGGCTAGCGACCAATTCAAGACACCCACAGCCTATCGAGGGTTTGGCTGGCCAATCGGCCTTCAAGACTAGGACGTCGACTGATGTGGGCTAAGCAGCGGATTGTGCGTCCTGTCTCGCTCTGCGGATCGAGGCATAAAGCAGACGGTGGTCGGAAGAGAAACGAAGCGACGACTTACCAAGAATTTCCCAACGTCTTATTACCGTTCTTCTCGGCCAACCGGTAGTACTTGGCGGCGGAATACTATAGGGTTGCCAGTGTCAGCCTCGTTCGGGTGTGGGCAGGGCTCAGAGGGTGTGATTTGGGAGCCAACTGGCCGCCGACGGCTGTGGAGGACTTGCCTTGTCCTTCTTACATCCGAATCCCTCCAGGTAGCACCATGCTACCTCGTTCATGGCATCTGTTCGGCGGCGGCGGGTTAGCTTCCTCTCTCCGCAGGGCATCATCGGGGAAAGCCAATGGGGAAGAGCAGGCTTGGACAGGCTTCGACTCACCCGTGTCCCCGAGATTTGCCGCTGTTTCGTAGTACTGCCACGATGAAAAAGTCAGCCATGGCTGTCGGAAACGTCCAGACGCTTGCATGCTAAATTCCGCTGCTGGTTTCCAGACCAGGCACATAAAGAGCCGCGTCTCGACAGTGCCGTCCGGACAAGGCAGTCACGTACCTGCTTAGCAGCGATGGGGTCCTTATCTATGCCCCAGCCCTGACGGAAGCAATTGGCCAGCTCAAAGATGGCCAGGACCAGTTCTCCCTTGGCCGCCCCGCCCTTCTTGAGGCCGGCCTGCAGAGCCAGGCTCTCGACATCAGCGGCATTCTTGGCAGCAGCAGAAAGGTAGAAGACTGCCTTCTCAGGAATCGGCTCGCAGCCCCATCCGTGCCTGGGAGAGTCAGCATGGCTTCGGCAAGGCGCCAAGTTCCACGGGCGGGCGTGGCCGTCGGAAGGCCCAGGTGGGTGGCACGGCAAACCACTCACCTCAATGCGAGACCGTATAGCACCTGGCTGAGTGGGTTGTTTGCCCCTTTCGGATCGGCCAAGATGCCAAACAGCCTGGTGCTCTCCTGGAGCTCTCCCTCCTCGTGCAGGCGTATGGCCTCCTGGATGTCGGCGTCGATGGCGGGCGAGCTTGCCACAGCGTTGCTCTGCCTCTGGTCGTTGCTGATCCGCATGCTCCCCAGCCCGCCCTGGATCCCGGCAGCGACGTAGGGGTCCGTGGTAGGGCTCGCAGGACGGCCCCGTTGCAGCTCGTTCTCGTTGGCTGTTTTGGCGAGGATCGTCGCACGCTTCTCCCACTGCTTCTCGGCGTCGTCTTCCCCCCCGGCGACGACGATCTCGGGCAGGTTCTCAGGCACGTTCTCGGAGCTAGCAGGGGAACGCTTCAGGTGTAGGCGCTGTGAGAGGCGGCGGCTGGGCCCGCCCTTGTCGGGAGCCGGCAGGCTGCTGGGCCTGTCGGAGGCCGACAAGCCTCTGGAGCGAGGCTTGAAGGCGTCCGAGATGCGACGTGGCCGTGACGCGCCCCCCGCGCCCCCCGCGCCCCCAGGATGCTGAGCATCACTTGCGCTGAGAAAGTTCATATTGTCGTGGCTGACATCCGGGCTAGTGGGATCGCTGGGTGGGTGTATGACCTCGTGCGAGTGCGTATCGGAACGGATGAAGGTGAACTCTGGGACCTGTAGGTTGTTGACGGCATCTTCCCTCTTGCTGTCGTCACTGCTGCCCTCGATCTTGTCCTTCTTCTTCAAGATGTCCCTCAGACCCATCTTGGCGGGTATATATGCGCCGACCAGTGCGAGGACAAGTGTGGTGCAGTGCCTCGCGGCCCAGCTCCCGAGTTGTAAGGGCAGTGCGTGGGTTCCCGGCTCTGGCGTCTCGTACGTGCCCACGGTCGAGGACGCTGTCGCTCTCGTTGCCGGTCTCGTTGCCGGTCGTATCCGTTTGGGATTTGAAATGGCGAGGCCTCGACGGCAAAGGCCAGCGCGAGTATCGAAGCCGGCGACGAGGGGTCCGACGATTTATCAAGGAACCAAAGATGAGGGGACCGAGTGATGATCACCCCCCCACACACGCGTGGATCCTCCAATACAGGGGACACTGGTTTGTCTGCTGGGCAACAAGACAGGACGAAACAGCTTTCCGTCCGGCCATGTCAGGGGGAAGCGCGGCGATGATGGCGACGGCGACGGCGACGGCGACGGCGGTGACAGCTGATGGGCGGCACAGTCAGCTCAGCCCAGGCAGGCAGGCAGGCCCGGGAAATGGGGAAATAATAAGGCTGAGTTGGCGGGCGAGGGTGGCGCATTGCACCTGCGTTCCATTCCAGGACATGGTGGCCCTGGCCTGGGCAGCGCCCAGTCAGCCAGACTGCCGGGTCAGCCCCCAGACTACTGTGTACCACAACAGCCCGTGAAGCGACAGCACTCCCTGTACTGTGAAATTGACACACATACATGGTAGTATGCCAAGTACACTTCCCAGAGGAGTCTGGCTGTGCTGGCAGGTCTGGGTGGAGGTGCTGTAAATTACATGGTCTGCCAAGGATGTCTGTTCCCCTGATAAGGGGCCGATCCTAGGGGCCCAGGGATGTCGCTTGCACGTCGATCCCCCGACGACTCGGTCCCAACATCAACCCTACCCCTCTGGCCCCTGATGTCTTGTATTTTATGTTTTATGTTTTGATTTTTTCCTCTCTTTTCTCCCGAGTCCATCCCAACCTCGTCCGGAACTACTGACCTGCCCCAGATAGGTGCAGCCAACCAAAACCTGGAGTAGCATACTTAAGTACTTAGTAGCAGTGGCGGCAGCAGTAATAACAGAGACCTAGGTACTTGAGTATACATCGTGCCCGACCGACCGATCAAGATGAACAATTCACTGCGCCATGGTCCCGCGGGCCTCTCGTCTTTTCTTCTTCTTGTTCTTCTTGTTGTTGTTTGGTGCAACGATGCAACCCAGGATCTGGGCCCAGGATCTGGCCCGCGGTCAACGTCAGGCTGGGACTAGAACCTGCGGCCTTACGAGAATGTCCAGCCCCGGAAATCATCCACAAAGCGCACTGCCGATGCCAGGTACCGCTCATGAACATCTCCCCAGGTCCTTGCCGCCTCGCGCATCGCCCTCACCGCCTTGACAAAGTGCGCATCCGTGGCATATTGGCCATTGAGAGCCTTGTCCTCGACGTACGCCCACCCCTTCTGGGAGGACCCCTCGGGCCAGGGCACGTAGTCCGGGTCGATCTTGGGCCTCAGCTCGGCAATGTAAGTCGACACCGTCAACAGCCACCACTGCCGCACCAGGGGGATGTGGAACTTGGCGGGGATCATCGGCAGCAGGATGCGCACCGCGTGGCTGGTGGTGAGCAGGTGCACGACCAGGAAGTTGTACGAATGCGCCCCCGGGGGCACGGTGGCCACCAGCAGGGCCGTGGCCGCCTCCTGGCTCTCCTCGAAGCGCCTGGCCGGGTCGCTGCCCACGTCCCACGCGTTCCAGTACTCGAGGGCCAGGTCCTCGTGCTTGTCGAAGAGGAGCTCGATGTTGTCGAAGCCCTTGGCCTTGTCGAACAGGCCCCGGAGCCTCTTGTCGGCCCTGGCCCTGTCGAGGACCTCGAGGGGCGAGGTCGAGGCGAAGGCACCCCCTGGGGGCGGGCGGGTGTATTTGGGGTCGTCGAGGTACTTGTGCATGAAGTCATACTGGGTGGCAGCCATGGCCAGGGCCTCTATGGCGAGCTCCTTGTTGTCCAGCTCGTAGGCGTAGCCCAGGTGGATCAGGGGGTGGCCGAGGCCTGCGATCAGATTGTTGCCCAGGGGCGGGCCGGCGGCGTCGGCGTGGCCCCAGACGTAGTCGTTGACGACCTTTGTCCAGTCCCAGGACTGGGTGCCGAGGCGCCTGCCGACCAGCTGGTCCTCGAAGAAGTCGACATAAGCCCTCTGGTAGCGCCTGTCGCCGAGATAGTCGCGCCAGTCATCCTGGACGATCTCCGCGGGGCTGTCGGACCAGGGCTCGAGCTCTCTGGACTCGTAGTCGTAGATGGTGTGCAGCTGGTCGGGGGAGGCGCCGAGGAGGTAGGCGGAGCCCAGGATGTGTGGCAGGTGGTTGTGGAACCGCAGCGTGTGGTAGAGGATGGCGTGGTTGGTGTGGTTTGCGCGGAGCAGGTGCTTGAGCGTCCGGGGCCGCTTCTCGGGGGCCGCCTCGATGCGGTGCACCTCGACGGGCTCGATGGGGATGGCCTGGGGGGCCGCCGCGCCGACCAGACGGCCGTATATGTATGAAAGCATTGCCCTGCGGTGGTGTGTGCTTCGCGATGTGGTTGCGAGGGCGGCAGGGGAAACGCGGGCGCGGGCGCGGGCAAGCGTCATGTTCCAAAGGTCCCGTCCGCCCCTCATGACTTGAGGCCGGCAGTTAGCTCATTGATCGGCCGGCGTCGCGTCCATCTGCGTGCAGTACCCTTGAGTACGTACCCGGGTACCAAGGTACCTAAGTTGCTAAGGTACCCAATGGACCCACCGACGTCACGGCACTGGCCCCCGCCAGATGTGGTGAGCTTGAAACTCTGTCTGGGGCCGTGGGTTCTACGGATGCCTGGGCAAGTGCTCGCATACCTTCAACGCCCATCACCGGCGCCGCTTGCCCAGATCAGTTCTTTGCCCACCTACCTACTCGGTAGGTATCCATCACAATGGCTCCCAACGCCATCATTGCCCCATCCATCCTGTCCGCAGACTTTGCGAGGCTCGGGGCGGACTGTGCAAGGACAATGGAACAGGGCGCGGACTGGCTTCATGTCGACATCATGTGAGGTCTCCCCGAGCCCCTTCCCTCTCCTCCGCCTGTCGCTGATGCCAGCCCGGTCCAGGGATGGCCACTTTGTGCCAAACATCACCTTTGGCGCCCCTGTCGTGGCCAAGATCCGCCCCCATGTCGACAAGCCCACCACCGCCCACGGCCGGGGCACCTTTGACTGTCACATGATGATCGCAGAGCCGAAGCGATGGGTCAACGAGTTCAAGAATGCTGGCTGTGATTTGTACTGCTTCCACTACGAGGCCGCCTTCTCTACCGCCGCGGAGACCCCCTCGGCCGAGAGCGAGCTAAAGACAAGCCCCAAGGAGCTGATCCGTTACATCCACGACTGCGGCCTGCTGGCCGGCATTGCCATCAAGCCAAAGACGGGCGTTGACGTGCTGTGGGACATCCTGGACAACCCAGACGCCAAGGAGAGGCCAGACGTGAGTGCACACACCCGGATCGCCGGTAGCCACGGCCACGGCCACGTTGGGACGTTGGGGCGGGGGTGATGAAGCTGATGTCGTCGCAGATGGTGCTGGTTATGACGGTCGAGCCCGGGTTCGGTGGCCAGAAGTTCATGGCCAGCGAGCTGCCAAAGGTCCAGGAGCTCAGAAAGAGGTACCCTGAGCTGAACATCGAGGTCGACGGCGGACTGGGGCCGGCCACCATCGACCAGGCTGCCGACGCCGGCGCAAATGTCATCGTGGCAGGAAGCGCTGTTTTCGGAGCCAAGGACCCCTCCGAGGTCATCTCGGTACTGCGCAAATCAGTCCAGTCCAAGTCTGGGAGGCTCTGAATGAGACATGAGAGATGCCGTCACCCAGCCAGTTGTAGGTCCCAGAGCGAGGCCCAGAGCGAGGCCCAGAGCGAGGCCCAGAGCGTTCAAGTTGGGAGGCGCATTAGGTGGCGGTGAGGCCTCATAAATCTTGGAAATTGTTGGTCAGATCGAATTCCTCGCCGTCACACACCTTGCGAGGGCCATGGTGGCTGTGCCATTTGCCCCCATCTTGTCACATCAGAACACATGCCACCTCAAACCCGGGATCGCGCCTGCTGGGACCGCTCCCAAACCTGATGCCACGCCTCTCCCTGATGACCATGCGCGTGTAGTTCCGGTCATAGCACCCTGAATAAATGTGCAAAGGGCACTGGTAGCTTTCGTATTCGTCGGGGGGTAACATGGCGTCCCCATTGCCAAGATGAGGGCATTGGCTGAACCCGGCGTTGGGAGCGCACAACTCGCTGATCTGAAGCCACTTGCACTTGCACCTGGGCGACTTGAACATCGCAACCTTACACATTGCTGCTCGCGGGTCTCCTCTTTGACGGTGACTTCCCTCGACCTGGGGCAGTGGACAAGCCGTTTCTGTGTTTCTGTCTCTCTCTCTCTCTCTCTGTGTGTGTGTGTGTGTGTGTGTGTGTGTGTTTGTGTAAGAAACAAAAACTGAAGATTTGACCTGAAAAGTTCAAACTCCAAGGCGGAGGGATCGCGGGCGAGGAGGTGGGGGGAGGCGTGTTTCTTGGAGTCGGAAAAGGGCGTGACGACCCTGGGTAAGGGGAGGGTGGACTGTCTGTCAGCACCCTTGGGTGAGTTGGTCTTGGGCAGTGGACGGTGACGTCGAGCTCGTTGTAATTCACCTGCCTCACCAGGATGGATCACCGCCCACGTTCGCAGCCACCAGTCCCGGGCAACTCCAACATGGCATTGGAGCTGATTTTTGACTTCGACGGCACAATCACGGAGGCCGACAGCATTGCGTCTGTCGTTGACGCCGCCCTGAGTCACCACAAAGCCTTGTCCCCCACCGAGACTTTTGCATCCTTGACTGATGCCTGGCATCACATTGTCAGGTCATACCTGGCCGAACTTGATTCCTACCACGGGATTCTGGACTCTACCGTCCTGGGTCATCATCACCCGTCGTCTCTACAAGTCGCCAAGGCCCAGTTCTCAAATGGCCAACGCCGCCGCATCGAACAGGCCTCGCTGTTGCGAGTACAAGACGCCGGGTTGTTTCGTGGCGTCCCGCTCCAACACCTTTACCGCTGCGGCCAGGAGCACGTAGAGAAACAGATCATCAAACTCCGCAATGGCTTCTCCGAGCTCATTGATCTCGCACGCGGCCCTTCTTCGGTGAGCGCGTCCCCAGCCGTGGCCGTCAGGCCCGGTCGTATGCCCTGCCCTTAGTAATGCGCCTGCTGATTCCCGGGCCCGGTCTGCTGAGAAGATGCACAGCACGAAGGTGCTCTCGGTGAATTGGTCTGCTACGTACATCAGGGGCGTCTTGACCCGAGTGGGCACCTTGCCCGTCTTTGCGAACGAGACAAACCCGGTCGACGGCTCCATCATGGCTGTCCCAGCTGCGTCTGCTGACATCGCCGCGGCTGCATGGCCCAGCGTCCTGACTGTTGGCTCGGACAAGTTGTCGGCTCTGCGATGCCTCCGACGGCAGCATCACGGGGCCAGCACAAACATCCCGCCTGAGATTGTCTACTTTGGTGACTCGACTACCGATCTCGAATGCCTTCTTGAGTTTGGCGGCATTGTGATCTCTCCAAGGGCCGAGACAGTACAACCACCCGGCAACATGACCTCGGATCCCAGTAGCAAGGCAGTCATGGGAAGCGACCTCCTTCACGTGCTACAAACAACGTTTAGATACAGTGTCCCTCATGTCTCCCAGTACAAGGACGAGCTCGTCTGCTGGGCTCGCGATTTCGCCGAGGTAGTGCACAGCAATTTCCTACAGAAACGGGCGGCCAACGTGCGGGCGTGAGTGGCAAGACCAGCCTCGTCGGCGATCGATTTCCACCCGATGCAGAGCATCAGCGTGCCTGTGGCGGGTTCGGGCTGAGTGTCCAAATCGGATAAGGAAGCTACCAGGTTCGCAAACATCAAGGAGCAAATCTCTGGGGCCAAGACTGGGCTACGGATGGGCACGAGAAATAATAGGGGGAGCCAATACGGGTGGATGGCATCGGAACGTCCAGTCCACCAAGCATCAGTTTCTAAGCAACAGGACGGTATGGCCTGCCCATCCGGCCATTCCTACCGGCATGTCTTGGAGTGAGTACCTAGGTAATCGAATCGCCAATCCTGTCCGTCCTCGAAGTCCCGGACTTTTTGCATCAGTGACCATGAAGGATTGGTGCATTTTGCTAATCATGGCACATGTTCCTGTGAATCCTTGGTGTGGACCCCCCTACCCAACACTGCTTGGGTGACTCATTAATGCACGGCACGCTTCTTACCATGAGCATGCCTTGTCAACCGCCCAAGTACATGCTTCGCTCTCAACGACCTGTCCCGCCAACACAGACATGCCATGCCAAATCGAACAATCCATCCATATGTGCGAGCTTTGTTCAGGTGCACATGTAAAAGACCACAGAACCTCGTTATTGCATACACTATGAAGACATACCGCATCCCCTATGGCTCATTTACTTCCGTTGTGTTGTCTCATATGCCCCGTAAGATAGCAGGACATTCTTTTATAGGTCATCCTGGGAGGGTGGGGGGGCAGATGCTGTTGCCGCGTAGCGAGCACCTGGGCAAAGCGAGTACTACTCTACCCGAATAGTATTCAAAACCTGTTCTCCTACAGGTTGATCACCGCGGAATCACCTATAGGACAGCATGTCATGGGATAGAATCATCTATAATGACCCAGGATGGTGGTCTAGGTGCTATCACCCCAATGACCACGAATTTCGCCTGGGTGCCCGCCACGTGGTCACAGAATCTCCATGGGGCAGCGCTTAATCTTGACCTCCCGTGGGCTCGGCCTCGAGTGGGAAGCTAGAGTCCCATGGGATGATGTCGTCCTCAAAGATGACCATGTGGAGTGGCAAGCCGCAGCGGCCTCTGAAAATCGACGAACTTTTTTAGTGTGTGTGGCTCACTTGGCGATAGTCCAAGTCCAGGTGGTGTTGCGGCTACCTTGTGGCCGAGGAAACCCAAGCACGCGAAAGTATCCTCACAGAGCAGGATAAGGCAATAAATGAAATCTGGTGCCAGAAGGCGGTTCCTGGCGGGATTGGTGCCCGGGAATCATCACGGCAGCAAGAGAAACATGAAACGCGCATCAGCACAACTGTGACTGCCTAGGCTTCTGTGCCCTATCAGATTGTTTTCAAATCTGGTATTCAATCAAATTCACAACATAGGATGGCAATTGGACACTTCACCCGCCATCGGCCAGAGAGCAACTCACGTCCCCCAGGGCTCCTCGGCCCAATTTCCCCGTTCGCCCCACGTCGTTTTGGGAGAGAGAGACAAAAGAAAACACAACAAGAAAATAGAACCGTGACCTGTCTCCGACCCGATCGGCGGTTCCTAAAGGTTGCTAAATTCAAGTCCTGTTTTGCATATGGGGGTACGGTTGATTGTTGGCCGCGAGTTGAAAAGGCCGGATACGAGACAGACGCGTGCACTTATTCATTTCCTCGTGCGTGATCTTTTGCCACTGCTCAACCATTCCCATGACTCGGAGACGCGACCAACGGACAACGTTCTCCATTGTACATCACTCGGATTCGGAATCACCGTTGTGATCCGAAAAGCCCTGGAATTCTTCCTCTGACTCATCATCCGGCGAGACTCCATTTGAAGGCCGGTCGCCGTCCTCGTCCTCGTCCTCTTGCTCTTCAATGTCGTAAGAAGCGCTGACATCCCACCGGTCCCCCTTGGCCTTCCTGCTGACGTACTTGACAAACCGTAGCGTTCCACTGTCACGCAGCACGATGGTCAACTTGTTCCAAGCCGCTGCCTGGAAAAACAAGATATTGTCATCGTCAGCAGATGACTTGTAGATCGCAGCGTCCTCGTCGTCGCCGTCATCGCCCGCCATGTAGACCTCGTGGCCGCCCACCTCCTCGGGCAGCTCCTGCTCCTCGGGCTCCTCGGGGACCACCAGCCCCCTGGGCCTGGCCTTGGCCTTGGCCGCCTTGCCCTTTGTCCTGGGCTCCGAGCTGCTCCCATCTGATGCCTTGCTCTTGTCGTGGTCTTCGACCTCGTGCTCCCCTCCATCATCATCCTCATCGCCCCAGCCGGAGGTCGGGGTGAAGCCAAGATTGAGCTCCAATCGGGGCTTACCCACATGACCGGTGGCGAGCGTGTAGTCCAGACCGCGGCGGAAGCGGCGGGCAAGAATATCGGAGCTCTCAATGGTGCAATTGGTAGCCATGGACAACCAGGCCCTGAACTGAGGGCTGGGGAGGAGCTCATCAAGCAGCTCCCGGACAGGAGAGTCCTTGTCCCTGCCGCCCTGCCCCGGCTGCATATACAGGAAGCGGTGCTTATGGGGTGGCTTGGCGACCCTCCACGGTGTCTGGCCCTCAACCGCGTCGCTTGCCTCGGGCAGCCCCTCGGCCTCCTTGCTGACGACGTAGTCTTTTAGCCTGGCCGCAAACTTGTTGCCCAGGATGTTGGGCAGGGTGATGCTCGAGTTCTCGTCAAAGTGCTCCTGCATCTGCTCCAGGGTGTCTGGGGTCAGATAGGTGGGGTGGAGGAACCGGAGCAGGAACTCGATGTCGGACTCTTCAAAGTCGTCGAAGGTCTTGGCCTGCCCGGCGGGGACAGGCCTGGGCTGTGGCTCGTCGTGCTGGTCAGGGTTGCCCTGCAGCTGCATCAGGCCGCTGTTCTTGACCTGGGCCTCCTCGGCGCCCTCGACGTAGCCTTCCTCGCCGACCTGGGGGATGTGGAACCAGCCGCTGATGGCCATGCGCACACGGGCGCCCTGGGATTCCAAGTGGAGCTTGGAGTCGGGGTGATAGACCTCCTCGACGTCGTGGAAGCTCTCGCCGGGCTGGACCGCGAAGAAGCTCAGCTGATTCCAGGCCGGGGGGATGACCTTGACGACGTCAGGGCCGGGGGTCTTGGCAACGGCGCCGCCCTTGCCCCTGCGGTCAAAGACTGGGAACAGACGGAGGGCACCGCCCCACTCGGGCTGCCACGGCTGGTCCGGGTCGGTGAGGTACAGGATGTAGCTGACCTTGCGGCTGCCAATGACGTCGTCGTGGCAGAGAAGATAGCAGCCGGGAGTGTAGACGTTGATGGCCATGTCGGTCTTGCGGCCGCTCAGGGGCCCGCAGCCTGTGATGTGGGAGACATAGCTGCGGAAGGCCTCGGAGTATATGGCGTCGCGCAGGGAGAGGAGGCTGGGAAGCTTGGAGAGGGCGTCGTCGTCCAGGCCATCGAGGTTGGCCAGGTCGCCGGACTGGTGGATCTTGTAGATGTCGGTCTCCTTGGGGGTGAAGCTGACGTTGTCACGGATCTCGTTGCGGACGCTGCGGAGTAAGGAATCGTCGACCAGGGAGTTGATGACGCTGTGCTTGTAGGGCGAGGATGCGGCGTAGGCCTTTGTGTAGGCGTCCAGGACCTGACGGTCGAAGAGGCCTTGGCGGAAGCGAGCCTTTGCTGCAGGCTCTGGAAGGGCTGGGGGTCACGGGTTGGCGCGGGTCAGCGGTTGAGGAGTCCAAGGCGAGGCAGAGGTAGGTAGAGTCTGACTTACAGGTCTTTGGGCGCTTGGAGGATGCCCTGTTGGGACCTGGCTGCGATGCCGCCTTGCGCTTCATGTTTGGGCAAAAGAGCCGGAGGCACTGGCAGTGCAGACAGAAGCAAGGCAGGGGGACAGGATGGGCGGGCGGCCGAGAAGATATAAAAAAAGAAAAAAGAAAAAGAAAATAGACAAAAATCAAAACAGCCCAAGGCAACCAACCAATGCTGTGTGTGGGCTGATGTGCCCGGCAAGTTTTGGAACAATGAGACGATGGCGGACGGCAGAATGTTTTTAGTGGGCCCCTGTGATCTCATCATGCTCGTCGTCGTCGTCGTCGTCGTCGTCGCGTTGTGGCCCCACCGCCCTGGCTGGGTACGGCCTCATCGCCCAAGCTCACCTAGGCAAGCTAGGTACCTAGGCAGGTAGGTACCTACCTATCTTAGGTAGGCATGTACATACCTAGGTACTTACTCAAGTATGTAAGCTGCCGTGCCTCCTCCACGTGACTGACTGGCCGACCTGTTGCGAGCTGATGGCACCCGCTGCGGCTGTCAAGCTCTCGGCCCGTGTCACACGCCCTGCCTCTACACAGGACATGACACGCAAGAGGGCATGCACGTCCAAGGTGCGCACTGGGTGCATCACTTGCAAGGAGCGCCACGTCAAGTGCGACGAGGCCAAGCCAGCCTGTCTGCGCTGTGCCCAGGCCGGGCACGTGTGCAGAGGCTACAATCCCCTTCGCAGCCAGCAGAGGCCGCCCAGGCCCGAGCCCGTCACACGGAGGCTTCTTCCACGCCAGCATCCTGGCCAGCCAGCCGCCCTCGCAATCACCGTCGGGAGGTCCCTGGCCCCGGTCCGCCTCCATGGGGATGATGTCCTGTACTTCGACTTCTTCCGCTCCCACGCCGTCGCCGACCTGTCCGGCTATCTGCCTTCCTCCTTCTGGTCCCACACCGTCCTCTGCCACTCTCTCACCGACCCTTGCACTCGCCACGCCATTCTTGCCCTGGGTGCCGCCTCGTATCCTCTGGTGCCTCCCGGCCATGCCCACGCCCGACTGAGCTTCCACGGCAGCGCTGCCGTTGGCCATCACACAAGAGCCCTGGCTCTGTTTCGTGCCATGATCGCCGACGGCGTCGACGGCCCCCCCTCCCGGTCCTCCCGGTCCGTCTTTATTGTCACGCCCTTACTCGTGGCATTCGCCATGCTCCAGGGCGACAACCACGCCGCCGACGCACTGCTGTCTGGCCTCAGCCTCTTGGGGAGACACATCCGCCGGGCCTCCAAAGCCCCTGTCGTAAATCAAGAAATGGAGTCACTGACCTGCCTCATGCTTCAGGTCTACAGTAAGGCCCCTCTCGATTTCCGGCGCTGGCCGCCGGTCGTGAGACGGTCAGCCTGCGGCACCCTCGTCTTGTGCTCTTGCTCTCACCGGCCAACGCCTCCACTCGGCTTCCGGGGCTGACTCTGACTATCAATCCCATAGTGCTTTGCGGCCATAACCCACTATATCAGTCTCAGAAGGGCAATGTGCTTGCCATGCCGAGTAACATGTCAGTGCCATCCTCTCGTGTCCTGAAAATTCGGCCGACTAACTCGTGCTAGGTTCCTCGACTCCAGCCCTCCTCCAGATGCCGGCGAGCGGCCCGTGACAGCGTCTTCGCTGGAGCCCATCCTCGCCGTCTGGGCTTCCTTCACCTCCCGCTGTCTGGTCTGGCTGCGCCATACTGACTACACTAAGCATAGCATAGCACCTGGGATTTACGCGAGAGCATGTGCGGAGCAGGCTGACCTGCTGGCCCGTCTCCTCCGCTGGCAACAGTTCATATATGGCTTGCGCCCTGCGCCGGACTTGGACCAGGCCTACATGCGCGGCCTGAAACTAATCCGCCTGCAATACGAGACAATCTTCGTCTGGGCCTCGGAAGGCTTGGACCGTACTCGAATGGGTTTCGACCACCACACTGCCAGGTTCGAGAGCCTTGTCCAAAGCTGCGCCGAGATCCTGGGGCTTGGCCTCGCCGAGGGCGGGGACGATACGAATGACCAGCGCACAACCGGACACTACTCGCCAGCCCCGTACACAGGTTATACATTCGAGGGCTTTGGGGTTGTGTCGGTGCTGGGGTTTGTTGTCACCCGGTGTCGGCTCGGCCCGATCCGACGCAGGGCCATGAGCATACTCGCGCGGATATGGTGGCGCGAGAACGGCTGGGACACGGTCGCGACCTACCGGGGCGCCAAGGCGTTGATGGAGCTTGAGGAACAGGGCGGAATCCCTGGTGCCGATGGGGAGCTGTACATTCCGGCCGAGTCCAGGTACTATTGGGGTGATGCCCGCTGGGAGCACGCCTTGCCCGCGAGCCAGAGGCTGATCTGCACTTTCGCACAACGCAGGCCTGACGAACTAGGGGATGTGTGCGGTGTCCCGGTTGTAATAGGCCTGTCATCCCCGCGGCCCAAACAGTGATGGACGGGAAGCTGCGGAGATTTGATGGGGTGTTGCATTGGCAAATAGGGGGGGGGGTGGACTTGGGGGCATCCCGCTCGCTGTCATGACCAAGCCTGTACCAGGTCCACCAGCAGCTTTCCGGTGGGCCCTTCCTCTCTTCTCCATATTGCTTCATGGTACGTGTAAGCCAACGGCGTTGCACCGGCTTTAGATCCAACACTGTGGGTACGCACAAACTGACGATGGGGACATCCATGGCGGATACATAGGGTCTCATCACGGACAGTGTGACAGCAACATAGCCGCACATTTAAATCATATAAATGCTATACGTCAAGTTTACTGGGTGCTGAAATATTGTTGGTAGAGTTACTGTATAAAATATTACCAGTCTCACAAAAACGTCGCTGTTAAAGCCCTGTGGACTACTTGCCTCTCATCTAGTCAATTTACACTACGCGTCAATTCGCACCATGCAGCCACAGCATCGATGTAGCACAACCTCTTACGTGGGCTAATAGCTAACACCCGTTGCAAGTAGGCTGCACCCACGCAGGGAACCCGCCAAACCGGGTGATGAGAGATCCGTTGGCGGTGAAACAAAAGCTGTACAATCATTGTCATTTGCCATTGGCGATGTTCCCCTTTGATGTCGCGGATCTGCAAGCCGTGGTAATACCTGATGTCCCCTGGGAGGTTACCCGAGAAGAATTTCCCATTGAAAGTGCAACTTGTTGGTCAGCGCCCCCGCAGGCTTATCTCCAGGATGACTGCGTGCTACAGAGGCATACAGAGTGCTCTGGCATTCTTTCTTGTTCTGCTTAATTTTCAGACTGCAGCCGTGTTGCTGGAAGTCTGAGGTAGTGTGGACTAATACGCAGAGTAAAAGGCAGGGCCTGACCAGGCTACCTGACAAATTGACTTGGATGGTGTCGGAAGATTCAAGGCAGCGGGGAGTCACAAGGTCGTCTCTTAACCTTCCGCTCTTACTCTTGAAGGCATGCCAGGTAAGTGCCACGCCAGAACACACGTCTCCACCTATCGCGAAGAAGGGGGGGGGGAGGTCACACACCAGTCTAGGCCAAGTTCTCTCTGCAAAGATGAGCCGGAGCGTCGTTACTCTGTTATTTACTTATTTACTATATTTTTATTTTTATTTTTATTTTTTATGTTTATATATATATATATATATTTGGGGTTGGGATGGCTGTGTTTTCAAAGACTGATTTCATTTGGTAGCCCGGGGATATGGCATAAAATCTCTCGTTGGCTGTTTGAGCTCCCGCTGTTACAGTCGCGCAATTGGGACCTTCGCCCTGGGCCCTTCCTCCCCGGCCTGTTGTTCGTCAAACTCTTGGACCAAGGTCCAGGCGAGCTCCGCGACTGGGCCCCTCGCGTTGCCGAGCATCTGGGCGTTTGTGCTGCTGGCCTGCCTGACGGCAGCGCGGGCAGCGATTCCCTGGCATATGGCGCTGAGGCGAAAAGTGGCAAAAGCCAGTGTCCACTTGAGCTCCTGCTCCATGCCGTCCCACCTGCCACTGCCGAGCCCGGCGGCGGTCGCGTAGGTAGAAGCGAGCTGTTTTGGGTCCGGGAGGCCCGGGGTGGCGCCGGGCAGGAAGGCGGCTTGGGCATGCGGGATCCTATTCTCGGGTGGCCCATTCACAGTGCGGGCCGACGAGAAGGGCATGAGAGCATTGGCAAGATCAGAGAGCGGGTGGCCAATGGTGGACATCTCCCAGCTGTAGGACGGGCGGGCGGGTTCGTGTTGTCAGCGAGTGTCGCCCTTACGGACAAGGTACGGAGGGCCGGGGATTCGACAAGGGGAGAGTGTGTTGGGGGGGGGGAGTACTGACTCCAGGATCCCTATGACCCTCGGCTCCGTCTTATGGAAGACGAGGTTGTCGATCTTGTAGTCGCCGTGGATCAGCGTGCCCCTGTCAGTCGGCTGGCTGGCGGGGTTCTCGAAGAATGTGGTCATTTCTGCAAAGTGCGGCAGGTGGCCGACCTTGAGGCCGTTGTCGAGGTCGGTGACGGCGGCCTGGGCCTCGCAGATGGTTCTCCAGGTCTTGACCTGACGGTTGTAAAAGCCGTCGGGCCTCCCGAAGTCGCCGAGCCCGAGGCGGGCGGGGTCGACGGTGTGAAGCTTGGCCAGGGTGCGGATGGCGTCGGACCACATCTCAGAGCGTTGTTGTGGGGAGACGCCGGGGATGGAGGGGTCCTCAATGATGCGGCCGTCAAGGAACTCCATGATGTAGAAGGGGGTGCCGATGACGGCAGGATCCTCGCACAGGATGTATGCCCTCGGGGCGGGGACGTCGGTGTCGCGCAGGGCGTGGATGATGCGGTACTCACGCTCGACCTTGTGCGCCGTCTTGGACACCAGCTTCCCGGGGGGTTTCTTGCGCAGGACGAAGCGCTGGCCGGTGGGCCTGGAGGTGAGCAGGTAGGTCGGGTTGCTCTGGCCGTATCCAAACTGCTTGACATCCAGGGGCGGTGTGATGTCGGGCACCGCCCGCGAGATGTAAGCCTCGAGGGCGGCGACGTCAATGGGCTGGCGGACCGGCCCGGCCATGTCGGGGCCGAGTGAGCGAGTGAACAAGTCTGAGTGTGTTTGCTTAGGTGTGTGTGGGGGGGACTGTTTGCAAACCACAGAGAGCACGTTGGAGAGACAGATATGGAGAGAGTGAGGGTGAGGGTGAGGGTGAGGGTGAGAGAAACGGCCCAGCCCGCCGGCTCCGCCGTGTCTGTGTGCCGAGGCACACGGGGGCGCGTCCTAGGGTGGAGGTTGCCGACGGAGCAATTGAACGTTGGCTCTTGAAGCTGGGGTAAGCCCCACCTCCCCAGCAGGGGTGGGGGCTTTTATAGGAGTGTACCTCCAACTCATCTACGCTAAGCCAGATACCTAGGCACCTAGGTACCTAGCCTAGCCCTACTGGGGCTTGGGATGCACTCCTGCACGCCAGCGCCAGCGGAGGCCGCTGACCCCACAAGTTCCTGATCTGCTCGAATCACTTACATGCTTGCTGCTCTTGCCCAGAACATGAGGGTGCATGTGGCTTCAAGTATCTTGTTCGTCCCTTTCACCGTGACTAGCACTCCAGAATAATATACAAATTAATCATGGCTGCTGCAGGTGAGCTTGAATCGTATCCTGTCCCCACAGTGCTCCCTTTGATGGCACCTGAGCCCCCGGTTCGCATCATCATTAGGCCCCTACCTCGCAGGTCCATGCCATGTTATCCGCAAATTCTTCGTCTAACCTTTCCGTTATCATGCATATCCTATTTGTCTCGCCACAGCCAGCAGGAGGGTGCCCCAATAATGGCCTCCATGCTTGCTTGCCTGCTTGCTTGATGCGCACATCAACCTGGCCGTCTGTAAAACAACGTTGACCTAAACGCCTCTCATACAAAACCACCCATGCTGACTCTCTCGCCCCCCTCGACCCCCTCATGACTTACCTACTCGGACTCACCTGGTTGGTATACAGTTACCTAAAGTCGCCCGTGCCTGGCCTTGAAGATGGCCACCTTGTCGTCGTAAAAAAGAATCTCCCTCAGGCGCAGTCGCGTCTTGGCCGCTGGTTCCACAAACGAATCGTCGTCGTCTGAGTCTTCGTCGCTGTGGTGTTCCTCAGACTGGGTCTCGTCCGGGTCTGTCGGGCTTGTGGGCGTGCCCTCCTCGTCTGAGTCATCCGCGTCGTCAGAATTGTCTTCTGTGTCGTTTTCGTCCTCGTCGGTGGCCTCGTCAACCTCTGCCGGCGATTGTCCCATGTTCGAAACGTTACCGCTCCCTGAGTTGGCCGCCCCACCGTTGCCATTCAGGAGGCCCGAGCCTGTGACATCAGATGCACGCTGCTCCATGATCTCAAAGCACTTGGTCGATATGCCCACATAGCAGAGCTGGATCTCCGGGCAAAGTGTGATGATGTCTGCCACCTGCATCACCAACTCCTTGGGCTCGAAGTTGCCCATGACGTGATCCGCCATGTATGGGATATGGAGCGACCGAAGCTGGGTCATGTGAGGCAGGCGTTGCAGGAATGTGTGCTAAGTCTGCTGTTAGTTATCAAGGACCCCTATAGCCAAGTGATAAACAAGATAAAGATTACCCAGTCCTTATAGTCGATGGAGACAGAGAGCTCCTTTAGCCTCCTCATCCGCCCACTGGTCACATACTGCAGCAGGTCGCTGGTCAGGCACCAGGACCGCCACCTCATGGTCTCGGCAGAGTTGGCCCCTGGCGACGTAACCTTGTTCGAGCTGTCAAGAAGGAGCTTCTTCAGGCTATTCCGGTGCCGCTTGATGGCCCCCTTGAAGATCGAATCGATTGTGACCTGGGGAGGGGCGCTGGCAGCGGTGCCACGCCTCCGGTCTTGCAGGAACAGGCACTCCAGGGAATTTGGAGCCAAGGTCTCCTTTATAAAGGCAATGAGGGACGGGGATGTCTGATCCGTGTGGATACTCTTTAGGCCCAACTGGTATTCCAATGGACCGTTGGGCACCGGCTTGCTCGAAGTCGGAGAGATCCCGAACCCGGACTCCAGAGGCCTGGGCTCGAATTGCTTCTTCAGCAGTTTCCACAGGTTCTCATGCTGGGCGCAATCAAGGATCGTCAGACTGGCCAGCACGGTCCAGTCAAATGCCTTGCTGCAGACCTGCATGGAGAGGGGCACTCTCTCCAGCTCCAGGGTCGTCAGCCTGAGCCTTCCATCCAGTCTCTTCCTCGCCGGGGTGCCAGGTCCTGAGCCGCCTGGTACCCTCAGGGCCGAAGAACGCCTCGAACTCATCTCCGTGTCGATAGACGGTGCCCCCGCTGCGGGGCTTGGCTCGCCTGAGAATGGCGGGGGTGAAGCACCAGCCGGTAGAGTTGGGGCGCCGGACTCTCCTGTCAACAGAGCTTGCTGCCCGGGGCTGCTTTCAGGCAAGGGCAGGGGTGGGTTTGGTTTCGTCTTGGGTAACTTCCTCCGGATGTCATATACACGCCCGATGAGAACGCCCAGAATGCCGCCGAGTCTCCTCTCTCCAATGGCGCTCTCCCCCGGCCACCTCGCGTTGTGATCTACCTGCTGTAGCTCGGGACTGTCCCAAGTCTGCACAAAGTCCTTGTGGACAGCCTTGGCGGAGACACCCAGCCTGAGCTCTTGGAGGATATGCTTGGACCGCTCGACCAGAACGGCCATCTCGTCGAGATAGGCCAGCTCATCCACATCCAGCACCGTGAGGCTCTTGAGGGGGGGCAGGACACTGAACGTGGGGTATTCAACCTGATTTTCCGAGTAGGTAATGGGTGGGCTTGGGGCCGGGTGCGATGCAGTTGAAGGGAGCGCTATACCAATGGGCGTGAGGGTACTACCTGCTGGCACGACGGCTGCCTGAGGAGCAGCGGGAGCGGGGCTTGATGAGGAAGAAGGGGACGCGCCAGTGTCGTTGTTGTCATGCCACCGGATCCAGACGCGCTCTAGCATGCACTCACGGGTTTCCTCATCCGGCAGGGAGCCTAGCGCGATGAAGATGTCGGACAGGACGCCTGTAGGCATGTCCCAGATGAAAGTCTCAAGACTCTTCATCTTGGAGACGGCCAGAGCCACCAAGGTGCCCAGCATCTTACCACTCTCCTTGTTGATCATGTATTCAGCAACCCAGTCGTTGGGTCCGTTGCCAAGCGAGAACTTGCGCGTGTGCTGTGCATAGTTGTTGTCTCCGAACTTGATGGGCGCCGGGGTCTGGTCGCCGTAATTGCGGAACCGGGTGGTCGTGCGTGCGAAGGAGCTTCCCAGGCAGAGCGTTGACAGACCGTATGTTAGGGCGTCAACGCTCTTGGCCTCGGTGGTGGTGGCGTGGGCATCGGGCCAGACGATGTCGAACCGTGAGTAGATGTGAGGGATTGCGAGTTTATAAAGGGTCGAATTGGTCAGGGCCAGGGAGGTAAGGTCATTGGTGTGCGTGATCTGCGACCGCCCGCCGTTAGCATGACTCTGGAGCTCGGAGCTGCGGGTCCGGACGGAGGAATACCGCACAGAGCCGCGAGGGTATACTTGCCTCTTTGACAACCAGGCGGAGGATGTCCTCAGGGAGGTCTAGCAAATTTTTGGTCTCGGGCGGCTGAACGTCCCAGTCCGGGTCCTTGCTCTTGAGGTATTCCGCGATGGGGTCGTGGTCAGTGATGTCGCCGGCCTCGTCCTGATAGACCTGGGAGATGTGCCTCGGGTCGCCGGTGAAGTCTTGATCGAGACCGGGACTGTCGAAGTCACCCGTAAGGGTATCATCTGGATACGCGCCGTGTTGAGGTGGAGGGTCGTCATAGTCCCGGTTGTTGTAAGCATTGGGGTCGTGGTCGTCGGCATCGTTGGGTGTATTGCGGTCGTCGTAGGAGTCTTCAAAGCCGTTCGACTCGTCATAAGCCTGCTCGGGGTTTGGGTAGCCACCGTCCTGAAAGTCTTCGTCGACGTACTGATCGTGGCTCATTGTGACGGTCGGGTTGGCCACCCAGCTCTCGTCGCCGTGGGGGGGGCGGGCGGTGGGGCAGGGCTCGGCTTTCAAGTTGAAGAGGCGGTTTGTGGCCGAGCTGCGACTTCAGACCAGTTACACAACACCTGGGGTTTGAGTCGGTATTGGTGTTGGCAATGGTATTGGCAGCGGCAGTAAATACCCATATGCGTCAGGCAGGAGGTGGGAGTTTGACTGGGGTATTTATGTGGCTGTCGTGTCCGAGGTCGAGGTACTATGTATACAGACAATGGCCCGGCACGACGGGGACGTGAACACAGGAGTCAGAACTGCGTCTGAGGAGAGAGCGGGCAGGGAATGGATAGGAAACCGGCCGGTATTAGACGAGATGCTGCAAATGACAGAAGGGGGGGGACGAAAAGGACGAAGACACACGGGTGCAAGTCAAGGCCGGGAGCTCGGAGGGGGGTTGTAGTTGGCCTGGATTCGGATTGGACGTTGGGACGATCGACGGATAGCCTTTTCTCAGAATAGCAGCCGCGGGAGCAGGGAGACGAGGAGGCACTCAGCTCATATCATCCAACCCAGCCAGCCAAACGGTCGACAAGCACTGCCCGGCCCAGTCCAGTAGGCCGCAGCAGGGCCCAGCAGCCCTCGCCGGACAGAGCCAGTGGCCAGTGGCCAGTGGCCTGCAAGCACCAACCCCAACCTCCAGCCTCCAGCCTCCAGCCTCCAACCTCCAACCTCCAACTCCCAACCTGCAAACCTCAGCAGGGGCCAACAGAAGAGGGCAAGAGAGGAAGGGACGCTTTGCGGGTCAAGGGGCCTGTGCCATCCTAGCCCGCCCCAACTCACTTTGCGCACAGACCAGCTGGTGGCCCGTCGCCCTACCTTGTCCACGTTTTTGGCCCCTCGCAGCAGGGATGGAGACGCCCGCGGCGCTTGGGAAGCTTACCCGCGAGCGACCCCACCTCTCTCTCAGTCCAGGTTTTGCAGACCACCGTGTATGGAGAGCATGGCCTTGCAGGAACAGCACCTGCAGTGGGTGGAGCAGGTGGACGTCGGGAGGACGAGGAGGCTGACCAAGATACAGTAAAGTAAAGAATTGTTAAAAATGACCACGACCACCCGGCCCGGCCTTCTATACGGCCGCTCCGTGTCCGTCTTGTTTCACTCCCTGGCTGACAGGATGGTGGAGTAAAAATAGACGGCAGGCTGCCATCACACAGTATATACCAAGGACGTACTTACACACATGCGTGCAATAGCAACAAGAGCGTAGTATGTACGAGCTCTGCTCGGCTGTCCGCTATGCAGTCACTCCATCTCCTCCCCACAAGACGTCCCCTCATATGGGAGACACTACTATAGGATCACGCTCTATAGAGGAACCTCGTAGGGTAGCTCGCCTAGCCCAGACCAGGCCCGTTGCATGCGCCGACCTGCATCTTCGCCAGGGGCTGGCCTCTACCATGCACGCGGCCTTGAAGATGGACAAGATGTTGTCAGTATTGTGTCCACTAACCTCCTCTTGGCTCTTACAATTGAGCTCGTTCGTAGCCCCGCATTGTCTTCTGCTACCGCACATCGCCCCTTGGAAGGGTCACAGAAAAACAAGACAGAGAGGGTGTGGGTGGGTGGTTGAGTGAGAGTAAAAAGAAACAAAAGTCTCTCTGCCCCCCTTCCCACCCCCGCCAACGCCATTCCGAACGCAACACTGAGGTACAAGTGAATCGGCGGCCACCGTGATTTTGGGTTCTTGTTGTTGTCTTTTTTCTAAAAAAAAAAAAAAAATGAAAAGAAATTGATCAGTCGTCCTCGATATCATCATCGCTGAGAACTAGCTTGTTCTGCAGGCTGCTGATCATCGAGCCCTCGCCCTCTTCGCCGCGTGTCCTTATTGCAGGCACTCGTCTCTTCCTCGGTGATGCGTCTTCCGTGGGCCTGTCCGTCGCCCAGGCCTCGCCCGCCGGCCCCACACTTTCGTCCACCTCGGCGTCCGATTCCGCGTTCGCCGGGGGGCCTATCCCCTGGAACGACACCACCTTGTCCAGGTCGCGCACGTCCATCGAGCAGGACGAAATGCGCCGGCTGCGCATGATTTGTACCATATATGGAAGCCTCTCGAGAACCATCTCCTTACGCGCCGAACTTCCTAGCGACAGCAAAAACGGGGATCCGGGATTCCGCATTTCCTCGCGTTCATTCTTCGCTGGTTTCGGACTCGTCGCGTTCTTTGTCTCCGACTGGTTGCCGGCCCAGTCACCCACGCTGCCGCCCTTGGCCTTGCGAAAGGCAGAGGCGCCACTGCTGAGCCCCGGATTCCCGTCTCGCACCACTGCAGATGCCGGCATCTGGTCATCTCCCTTGAGCATCTTGGTGGCCCACAGATCAACCAGACCTTCTACTTCCTCTTTGTTTCGCCACAGCTTTATGCTGGTCGGGTAATACATCTTGAAAGCGTCACCGCCCCTGCCAGATGTTGCGCTCTTCCGCTTGACAGGACATGGCAGAGAGAACAGAAGCCCGCGAACCGCCACCTCAAAAGCCATCTCGTCCTGCCGGAGGATATGGCTACCCTGGTCTCTCCCCATGTTCGAGAAGCCCTTACCGCCAAAGAAAATGTCCCAGGACGGATTGAGAAGATCGCTCTCGGAAAGATATTCAACGCATTTGTTGGCGTAGTCCATGGATGAGCACGGGTCGGAAGGGCCACTGCGCTCGCACGACAAGGCGTAGTTCTCATGTAGTGCGGAGATGAAGGTGGAGGTGTCTGTTCCCGTCTCGTCAATCAACGCACCCACCGCTACCTGCGATCGCTTCGGTCGCGAGAACTGGTCTTGATACGGCGGCATCTGTTCCGCTAGGGCCTCCTCCGATCCTGCTGCATACGGTTGCTCGTCTCTCTTGTTGTAGACGACTTTGCCGACCGCGTGGAATATCCCCAGGCTCGCCTCTCGCTGTGAAATTAATTCTAGGCTCTCTTGCTCTCCTTTTGTCAAGACCTGGTCCCTGCTGGCCTTCTTGGTCTTGGTGAATGCAACCCTTGAGCCCCAGTCTCCGTCGCCATCGCCTTTCAGACAGAGGAATTCAAGCGATGAGATCGCACTCCTGACGTCACCGATCTCGGCCAGGCGCTTCAGAACCAACGGCCCTGGAGTCCTGCGTCGCCCGGAGATTCGCGCTTCCTTCTTCACGATCAGCTCTAGGGCCTTGACAAGCAGGGTTGGCGCGACATCATTGTACTCAATAACCCCGGTGCCGGGGTGGCGAAGGATCTCGGGCCCAAGGAGGCGGTGTGCGGTAAAACTGTCGGCAGATGCCGATGTGGTTGTAAGAAGAGTCTCAGAGATGATCATTACGATTGGGATCGATGGTTGAGAGGGCCCGCGTTGCCCAAAGGCGGTCATTGAAGGCGTGCTGTTGGCGAGGTACTGCATCACTGTTCTCCGGAAAGATGTGAGGGCAGTCCCGGAGCGCATGAACGTGTTGGGGAACTCTTCAACCAGGATGACTCGTTTCTGATGTACCCGCGACTCCTGTGACGTCTCCGCGGGGGCCTTAGCTGGCTGATTGGCAGGTTTGTCGCCATCGTCCAAGTCCAGTTGGCCGAAGCGACCTCCCCGTCCTATGAATTCTTCAAACTGAGACGCGGCGGACTGGACACCTCCTGTATTGGCGGCGGACAGTGTGGGGTTCCTCCACTCTAGAATCTCGAAGCCGAGGTCTTTCGCCAGTAACTGAACAGTAGTGGTCTTACCTGTGCCTGCCGAGCCCTTGAGGACAAGCAGGCGCTGGCGCATACGACCGCTCAGCACGTCGTCCAGCCACTTTTGCACGTCAGCCACCTTCTTTTTGTGTACCACAAGCTCATCCATACTCAATGGGCCAAATCGTTCTGACCAGGGCCTCTTGTCTTCGCCATCGCTTGAAGGAGCCGAGCTCAGCCGTGGGGGTTTCATGAACCTCTGGCTAGCAACGCCGCCGGACCCGGAAGATATGCCAGAGTTAAAAGCGTCGCCAATTCTCTTGTGCGCCCTCTTCCCAATAAGGCTCGAACCAACAGCTCGATGTGCTTCGATTTCTTCGTCATCTGAGAGGGGGTCGCTCAGAATATCCAGTGGCTGAGCGTCAGCCTTCTTGGCCACGCCGTTTGTTCCGTCCCCTGTCGCGGCCCTCTGACTCTGCTTAGAGAACAGCGCCTGGATATTTGCCGATTTCCCCTTCTCTTCGATGTTCTTCCTGCTCTTGGCAGGGCTCTTTGCATTGTTTTGAGCGGCAGCTGCGCTGCTTGGTCGGTTCCGACCTCCAGTGGCCTGGACGTGAGTTGTAGTCACAGGTGCACGCGCCGATCGAGAGGACTTGCGGGTGGGGCTCGGCGATTGTGGGGGAGACTTGTCATTGTCCGTGTTGGAAGCCTTGGCGGGTGACGAGAAGTAGAAGTTGAGGTTGTTCCTCTTGGGGGTAGTGGCGGACGGGGGCGGTTTTCTCTTGTCTTCATCATGGTCCCCGTCGGCGACCAAATCCCGCCTGCGACGTTTTGCAGGCGGCGGCGCCATTGCAGACTGATGGGCCTTGTGGCATCTGTCGTGTGCCCGCTGCGGTGACTTTGTAGCGTGTTGGCGACGGATTGTGCCGGGGCAGGGCGCCCAGCAACGCGGCGGAGACCAATTGATGATATGAGGCTGCTGACGAAGCTTTGATGCGCACTAGTACATGCGTCCGGGATGGCATGGGGCACTTTGGCACCTTGTATGGGTACGGGGAGATCTGTGTGGGGATCAGGACGGGTTGCCTGCAGGTGGAGTCGCCGTACTGCGTAGATGGCCGGGCACTGCCACACTGGCACAGTGGGCAGCTGGGTAGGGGGGGTCCAGGGAAGTTGTGACTGTCTGTTGTTGCCTGCACCACGCTACCCATGTGACCTGGCGCCTGGCTGTGGGCGTGGTCAGCCCGCGTCGCGTTATCAACCCGCGTCAACACTTTAGCATCCTGACAACTTCGCCCATCAACTTCACCTCCGCTGTTGAAACCAAATTACGCATCACTCCATACTGTGACTGTGGGATTCTGGGCCCCATCTGGTTCTCTTGATCCATGTATTGTCGAGAATCTGCCCCATAAATCGTCGCAAGAATGACCCAGACAGAGGAAGAGTACGATGAGGCGCAGGCGGGCGATGAGAGCATGACTGGCCCGGGCGCGCCCACGCCGCTGGCAGCTCTCGAGGTGAGTCCTGAGGGGCACGGAAAACCCCAGAGGGGCCCCAGAGGGGGGATTCTCAGGGTTTCGTTGCTCACAAGTGTCGATCGTGCAGGGCCTCGGTGGTCTCACCAAGCGCGACATTCAGCTCATCGTAGATGGGGGCTACAACACCGTCGAGTCTGTGGCGTACACGCCGAGGAGGAATCTCGAGCAGATCAAGGGCATATCCGAGCAGAAGGCAAACAAGATCCTCCAAGAAGGTGAATATCCTTTTCCCACCTTGGCAATGCCCAGGCAGGCATTCGTGAGGCGATCCTTCCTGACCAGACACTGACCTCCACCGGTACAGCATCGAAGCTCGTGCCTATGGGCTTTACCACTGCCACCGAGATGCATCAACGCCGTAGCGAGCTGATTTCCATCTCTACCGGCTCCAAGAATCTCGACACCCTTCTCGCTGGTGGTATCGAGACTGGCAGTGTCACCGAGATCTTCGGCGAGTTTCGCACAGGCAAATCGCAAATCTGTCACACCCTGGCCGTCACCTGCCAACTGCCCTTCGACATGGGTGGCGGCGAGGGAAAATGTCTCTATATTGACACTGAGGGTACCTTTCGGCCCGTGCGCCTGCTATCTGTCGCAAATCGCTATGGTCTATCCGGCGAGGAAGTGCTTGACAACGTTGCATACGCAAGGGCCTACAATTCAGATCACCAGCTGCAACTCCTCAACCAGGCTGCGGCCATGATGTGCGAGACCAGATTCTCCCTTCTGGTTGTCGACTCAGCCACGTCGCTGTACCGGACGGATTTCCTGGGCCGAGGAGAGCTCAGCAGCCGGCAGACACATCTCGCAAAGTTCATGCGCACGCTCCAGCGGCTGGCAGACGAGTTCGGAATCGCCGTCGTCATCACCAACCAAGTCGTTGCTCAGGTAGATGGAGGCCCCTCTGCCATGTTCAACCCAGACCCCAAGAAACCGATTGGCGGCAACATCATTGCCCACGCCTCCACAACCCGTCTTAGTCTGAAGAAGGGCCGTGGGGAGACTCGTATTGCGAAGATCTATGACAGCCCCTGCCTTCCCGAGGCTGACTGTCTGTTTGCCATCCAAGAGGACGGCATCGGCGACCCCTCTCCTAAAGACATGGAGAAGATGGACCGATAGCTGAGTGAGACTGAGAAATTGTTACACTGTGTGAGTCGCTGGCACGCTCGAGGTGGATTCGGCTGCCTCGGGCATGGTGGAACTCAGGGTCTAGGATGGCGGGCAAGCCCAAGCAGGGAACGGGGAACGTTGGAGCTCTCATTATCAGAATATCTGCCTGGCTTGTTGGGCCGCCCCACATGATAGCTAGGCGCTGTCGAATTTCGCTTTGGAACTTTTTCGTATCACTTTACTTCGTATCGCATAGTAGGTAGGAGGAGACTGTGGCGCCGCCGAGCGTCTTGCAATCAAGCTTCTAGGTCTACGACGAGGGTTTCGGAAAAGCGGTGTCCCTCGGCCCAAGTATGGATGCGTGTCATCCTATCGAGCACCCTTGCACACTCTTCGGCTCTTTCCCTAGCGGTGAAGTGACTACCTAGTAGCTCCTCCTGGTCATAGACAGGTAACTCCCAATGGGTGATTGTGTGCCACCCTTGACGGTCGAGCTTCACCCGTTTGTCCTCCAGGCGGCACAGTATCTAATACCCTAGGGTAGCTACCATTGGGGCAGTACTCACTATATAAACTCTAGCAGGGTAGTTCCACCGATCTATAGCACAGGCTGGGTTGGAAACCCTCCAATGGGCAAAATAATAGTCTATGAGCAAGTTATAGGATATCCTGATAAAGTTTTCGGGTTCTTTTGAGCGCTTGTTATGCATAATGGGTGCTGTTGATGAATATCTTGATGTTTGTTGAGAATGAAGAGTAGGTTTTTTCAATCACATATCTCATTGGAGGTCCTCCAGTGACCGCAGTCGCTGGGTGTACTGCCCTTGTACTTATGGAGGGAGTAAGATCAATCAGAGCATTAGAACAAGTCTGAGTACCATACTGAAAAGTTGCTTAGCTGTCCGCTACTTGGCCACGGTCTCTATCCCTCAACCTTGTGTGCGACAAACAACCTCATACCTCATACAATGAAACATCTTAAAAGATGGTCTCCCAAAAGTAGACCTCGTAGAACACAACCACCTGAGGGCATAGTGCCTCGCACGTATCGGCTCAGGGTTTCTCTACCTCCCCGACAACGTCCTATCCAAAGCAGCAGTGAACGCGTTCACCTCATCGACTACATCCTCATTTAGTCAGGACTTTGCACATCTGCAGGCACGGCAGGCAATCCATATTTGTTCTTGGAAGCGGGCTTTTCTTGGGCGTGGGGCAGGAGGGGGTGGGTAGCAGGAAAAACTCACGAGTGTTATAATGTACCATACTCACCCTCACAACGCCATCTTTTCCAAGACCCATGATCTCGTTCACGAGCCTATTTGAGTAGAAAGCACCCCATCTGAAGCCAAATCTTGTCTCTTTTTCCACCGACTCGACCAGCTCCTTCGAGTCCCAACCCTTGACAGTGAAGCTAATCGTCGGTACCCTGACCGATGCATCGTCGCTCGTCTCGCCGTGCACTGTGACGCCTGGTCTCCCGTTGAGGTACCGCAGTAGCCTACCCTGTAGCTCTGCCTCCTGCGCGAGGATGGCCTCCCAACCCAGTGACCCAACATACGCTGTTACGGCCCCGATGGCCCCGACGAGCTCGTAGCTGGCGCCAGCCAGCCCGAGCTTGTTCTCGAGCGTGGCGTGCGGGTTGAAGAAGTGGCCGAGACTGTGCATCTGCGCCTGGGCAGAGCCGGACGCCGCGAACATGATGGCGACATGCGGGCCGTACACCTTGTACCAACTGAACGCGTAGACGTCGACCCCGAGAGCACGGACGTCGACCCGCCGGTGTGGCGCGTATGCAACCGCATCGACGCACACCAGCGCCGAAGGGCTGGCCGCGTGGGCAGCAGCGCTGATGGCCTTGATATCATGAATCGTGCCTAGAATGTTGCTTGCGTGCGTGCACGTCACGAGCCGCGTGCGCGACGACAGAAGGGGCACCAAGTCCGAGGCAAGGAGCTTGGGTGAGGACGAAGGGGCGGTGGGCTTCCACCACTTCAAGACCAGGTCCTGGCGCTTTGCGAGGTCGACCCAGGGCGCGATGTTTGCCTCGTGATCGATGGCTGAGACGATGATTTCATCGCCCGGCTGGAAGGCCAGCGCGGAGGCAAAGTTGCGGAAGAGCTGGGTCGTTGAGGCGCCCAGGACTGTATGGCCAGCTGCGTCAGCAATGGCTGCCTTACGGGGTGTTGATGGCAAACCGAGACGTGCCTATCTCTTCGCGCGAGGCGTTGATGTACCTGGCCGCTGCCTGGTAGCCGTCTTCATATCTCGAAGTAGCCTTCTTGCCAACATCATACGTGGCGCCGAGCTGCACGTTGGAGTTGACCAGGTAGTCACGTATGCTAGGTCGCAGGCGGAATACTCTGTCAGTCGGGTTGCAGTCGGGGCAGTTGTGCAAAGGCCGGGGCTATGGTGTACAAAAATGTCCAAGACGTCACCTACGACTCAACGACAGTTCCAAGCACTTGGCTACCACCGGCATTATCGAAGAACACCTGGTCCTGGCTCAGGGCTGGGAAGTTGGCTCGAACTTTCTGCACGTCCATGGTCGGATCTGATGATTTGTGTTTGTGCGTGTGTGTCCCAGGTTTCCAAGGATTGCGAGCGCGGCACAGGCATCGTGACGGGCACGATCTGGCGAACGCGGGGCAAGACACCTTCCAGTTCGGGAAATGGCTCGGTGCAATCGAGGGTTTCCACACCGTTGACGGCGGCCCGCCATCGGCTCTGCCCGGCGCCGCCGACGGATGTTCCCCTTGTGGACCAGAACCAAACGACAATGCCCGTGGACGTCTCGTCAACCACCATGCATGATCTTTTCTCGGGTCGGCCACAGCATCAATCTAGTGTACCTCAAGGGTACATGCAGGACTCTACGACCATGTCTCATAGGGCAACGGGAGGTTTCGCAGAGGCCAGCCTCCCACCGGACAACCTCTTCAGTTTTACCAAAACATGCTCTTAACCTCATCAAGGACAACCTCCTATAGAATGACATCTTGACTTGTGTCAAGATAACCTCTTAACCTCTGATTAGATAACATCGGATAACATGATAAGTTCAGAGGGAAACTAAGTCGTAAGGACTCTGTATGATGTGGTTCTTGAAGATGTGGTGCTGCAACGGTAATAATGTATGTGGCTAACTGCTTCTTCCTCATGACATGTTTTCAGTCCTGCCTGGGGTGACTTGCGAGAGTGGCCGCGCAGTGTGGTGAGATGCGGTGCGCAGCGCGTGTTGACCAGTCGGCTAATTGATGCAGCCACGAGCATACTGTCGCCGGGAGTGAAACCCTGGAGGCTGTGCGCCGGTCTCGAAAATCGAGCCTCGGGCCACCAATCGTAATCGTCTTGTGCTGGTTGTCAACGTAGCGCGCCGCTGGGTGCCTTGCCTTGTCTTGAGAGTTCTCGACAGCCGTTGCTCCATTTCCCTCCATGCATCATGGGTCGACCGATGGAGCAAGGTTGAATTTGTGAAACCAGCGATTAAGCGTTTTACCGCGGGACACCTGCCCTGCCAGCTGCCAGCTTGGTTGTGTAAGGTCCGTTGGGTGATCATGGATCAAGGAGCCTGCGCGGAGACTGAGCACAGCAAGCAACCTGTATTTACGGCAGGCGCAGATGATGACCACCCTAGAAGAGTGGTGGCCATCGTGCAATTTGTGGGGGACGGGGGGGGGGGCCGCGCGACGTCCAAAGTTCGTCGAGAGCATTTCGGCGTCGCAGAGGTCGTCCTGGTACGGCGGTCCCGCGAGAGGTCTCGGCCGGCTTCGGCTAGAGCTATGGTGGGCGCAGTGCCACGACGCCTCCGCCCCCAGAGAAATCTGGGCCGCCCAGCGCCGGCCGGGGTTCATTGGCCCGCCAGCCCACGCACCACCGAGACGGGACTGCTTGGACGAGGCTTGACCGGCTGGCTTCCCAAGCAAGAGGGAGAAAGCATGGTCGCAGCAACCGGTCTTCTTGGTCATGCTTGGGCCTGCCATACGCTTAAGACTAAAATGCAGGTTCGTTTGCAGGATTCATGGGTGCCGGCTCACAGTGGCAGATCTCTGTTGGGTACCGCAACGGCAGATGAGATGACGACAAAAAAAAACAAAAAAACGAAGCGGTCGACATCATGCTCCGTTGCTAACGGTACTGGAATGTGGCGTGCATTCGCGCATCTTGTTCGCGGGCCGGCTCTTCTCAGCACCGTGAAGGGAAAAGGTCTCCGGTGCGGAGGATGAAGTTGCGTCAGTGTGTGGGGGCCAACCGTTTTCAAAGCCGCGAGCCGGAATAGGGCTCTCCCAAGATGAACTGGCCGGGCCTCTGGGCGGCACTCATCAGGTGAGCGCTGGAGGAAGATTCGTAACATGCGGACAAATGTGGCCGGCGTCGCGTCGGGTTGCCTGCCAACGCTGCGCATGGGCGTGCTCCTTGGGGGGCGGGTCTGCCGTCCAGCAAAGGGTGCAAAGGGATGGAGATTGGACAAAATCAAGTCGTCCTGCGGGGAGCTGAAGGAGACACAGTCAGATCTGCCATAAACTGTACGCCAGGTGTCGGAGAATGAGACGACGGAGTATCCGTTGTTTTGTGACGCAGCCTGCGCAGGTTGGCCCAGGCGAATACAACCCCACCAAAAGCCAATTATGCTGGGTCAGACGAGTGATGGTCGAGTTTGCCTGCCTTGTCTTCCGCCATGCCTGCCTGTGCAGGACCGAGGGCTGTCATGACTGGGCTGTACCGAGCATTGGCCAGTCTGTTCCTGTTGAGCGCGAGTTTTGCTTCTTGGTTCCGTTTTGGTGTCATGTGTTTTTTTGCTTCTTGCCCCCCCCCCTTCATTCCTCTCTCCGTCTTTCATTTCGACCCCAACCCCCCTCCCCTCTCTTGTCCGGCACTATCATGGCAATCTTCCGATGCGTGTCTGGTCGGGAGGACCAGCTCGCCAAGGGGGTGAAATACCAAATGTCGGCCCAGCATCGAAGAGTCGTAGGTACCTACCTAGGCACCTAGATGGGTAGCCTGTTTCCACCTGGTCGCGGAAGCACAAGTATGCTGGGCCGAGCACCGAGCCAACCACTGGCGGGATCTGGGCGCCGTGCCCGCCTTGCTGGCTGGCTGGCGGGCGAGTTGCTCGCAGGCAGGCAAGGTAGGTCAGAAGGCACAAGGGAGTGGAAGAGGGTTCTTCGCGGGTTGAGAAGTCGACTGGGGTGCACAGGACGGACCAGCACGTCGTAGTGGCGGATCCGCCTGACTTCTTATAACACCATCAATGCGCAGGCCGCCCAGTACGTGTTGTACGAGCGTGCTATGCATGCAGCCAGCCTCATCGAGCACCGTACGTTTTGTGACGCATCACTGCTGTCTCTGCTTCAGAAGACCTCGGGAGGGGTGGCTCCTGTTGCTGTTGCGACAGGGGAGCGCTGGACCTGCAGAGAGACGAGTGGCCTCGGAATGGTTGTCGGCTCTTGTTCCCGTCCTGTCTTCAAAGTGCATCACGAGTCAAGACTCGGCAGCGTGGGCGGTGTGTTTCCCCAGGGCGCTGGCTGGTCGGGGAAGGCTGGCAGATAGATACTTAGTACCTACCTACCTAGGTGCCTAGGGTGCCTAGGTAGGTAGATAGGTACCTAGGTGCTTGAGCAGGCAGTTGAGTGCGGATGGATACACACGAGTACATGTTCAGCCTGCTTGGACCTATTACTGTCATGACCGACCCCGCAGGAGTCGAGCCCTTGGCCTGCCTGGAGCTAGCTGGCCTACTGAACCTGAGCCTGAACCCGAACCCATTGCACTGCTGGGGTGCCAGCGGGTGAGTGTGGTGCTCGACTGCAGCTGACGAGCGGGGCCATGGCGCGGTGGATCGTTGTATGCCGGGCTGAGTGCTGTGATGTGCTGTCCTGTGATGTGTTGTGATGTGTTGTGATGTGTCGTGATGCGTTGTGATGTTTGTGTGTTGTGCCACGCCGTCTGGAACGGTACTTGTGTGTACGGAGTATCTACTTGCGTGCGGATACCTTTGGTCCTCTGAGTGCCTACCCAGGTGCCTAGGTAGGTACTTGAGTACTTCCCTAGGTAGGTAGAAGGGAGGGCGGCAGGGGAGGCACCAGAGCTCCTCCCCGTCTGATGTCGCTCTCGGTACCCCTGTCGATGATCCCTCTGCTGCAGCTGCACGGGCCAATAGATAAGGATGGATTAGCCTCGATCTGGGAGGTGGGGTCCAGCTGACAGGGGGGTTAATTGATTTTCAAAGGTTGTCCCAGCGCACCAGCTGCGCACATGGACCTATCGAGATGAGGCGAGGGGCCCCAGGGGTCCCAGGGTCCAGGTCCAGTCCCAGTCCGGGTCGCAAGTGGCAGGCGAAGGGTCTGAGTGCATCCGGATGCAAGAACAAAAGACGATATTCCGACCGCTTCAAAGTTCCGAAACCTGGAAGTGAACCTTGCCGAAGCTCGCAACACTCGGCTGACTTTTCCCGTCACCAAGACTGCTCTGACTCGGCAGCGACCAGATCGTATCCCCAAACAAAGTCGTGGTCCACGGCGATCACCACCGCTCATCTTCCGCGGACGAGGCAGGCTGGCATGGCAGGCTGGCATGGCAGGCTGGGCGGGGCGGAGGGGAGGGATCAAGGATGGGCCTTGCCATCGCATCGCCTCACAGGTCCAGCGGTTCAGTAGTGCAGCTCTGTGGCCGCCAGGCCAGCCAGGCCGGATGGTTGATGGGTCCTTGGGTCCTTGGGTTCTCGGATGCGCCAGTCTTGTGCTTGTCCTCTGCACTTGTGTGGCGTGCTCGTGAGCAGCCCCATCCCCAATCCGTACCCAAATCCATGTCCTTGCCCGTGTCCATGTCGCTGGCCTCAATGTCCGACCATGCGTTGCGCCCCCCCCCCTTGCTCACACTACCTACCTAGGCATGTATGTTGTACGGTTGCAATGTAGTCTGATGTAAGTTAACTCGGTTGCTTTTCAGTTAGTTATTAGTCAGTTTGATCCGTTAGTCAGTTCAGTCTGCCAGTCAGTCAGTCAGTCAGTCAGCCAGCCAACCAGCCGGTACATGCATCCCTAGGTAGTTTGTAGGCAGTTAGTTCATTTACGCAGGCTGTCTCTCCCGTCAATCCTGGCCCTTGTCTGGGCCGACGACTTGTAATTACTGCGTCAAGTAGTAAGTAGCCCGCCGCTCCACCTCTTTACATCCCTGTGCGCCTGGTCTACCTTTCTCTCCCACTGGTGCCCCCTCCCTGGTTCCCGTCTTCCTGTCTGCCTGTCCGCCGTGCCGGGGCTGGGCTGGGCTGGGCTGGAGTGCTGTGGTGTACTGCACTGCACTTGCAAGCACCTCGCTGCGACACATGGACCCCTCCTCCCCACACATGACTGACTGACTGACGGACAGACAGACTGCATTGGCATCTGAGACTCCAACTCCCCGTCTCTCCCGCCCTCTGCCCTTCCTCCTTCTTTCTTTCTCACCTGGTCTTTTCCTCTGGCCTCCTCGGAACTGTCTCTCACCCTGCTGGCCTCACCCCGTCTCTGCAATCCTGAGGGCATCACCGAGCAGCAGCCGACGCGCCAGACAAAGCTCAACAACCCGCAACCCGGTCGCCCACTCCAGTGCCACCGCCCGCCCTGCCTGCAACTCCCCCTGCCTCATGTGGTGGGTGTCGAGGCCGCATCCGGCAGCAACCTAACCCACCTTACCTCGGCCATAACATCACCACAACCGCCAGTACCACCACCACTACTGCCCGGCTGGAAAACCCCCGTGGACACCACGCCTCCCGTCCGAGGTCATTCATGCTCACCGTCTCCCAGAACAACAGCAACAACAACATACCTGTGTCTCACCAGGTGGCTCTCTTGCGCTGCCGCCCCCCAACCCTAGCCGTCGACCTGAGGCTCATTCCGACTGGCATCCCCGTCCTGCTGGGCTGCACAAACACACACACACACACACACACACACACACACAACGCGGTAGCATGGATGACGATGCCATGGACTATGAGATGCAACGCCACGATCCCCACCCTCACGTTGGACCACGGCTAGGGGGCGGTTGCCCGGCACTGGCCGGTTGGCGCGGCGAGCAGTATCGAAGCCCGTGGCAGGCACACCGGGGCTGGAGCCCCCAGTACTTCCCGCCAGTCTCATCGGATGCCTTTCTGTATACTAACCACCACCCCCACACGCCCTCCTTCCTGCAGCACTGGCCTCAAGGCGGCGCCATAAACAACGCCGCCAACAACGCCGCCAACAATGCAAGCAACACCACGCCGCACCTTGGCCTGCCAGCGGCATCGCGTCCGCCAGATTCGAACCACGATGGTTCCTTCAACCATCAGATCCCAGAATTTAGCCCGCTACCTCCAATACCGGCCCAACAGCCATACTCTCCAGTCACCTTCGTCCCGCCGCCACCACGGCCCGCGCAGCGAAACCCGCAAATCCCCCAGGGCCCAGGCGACTTTCAGCATATCCTGCACTCCAACCAGGCCAGCCCGAACCCCGCGACGGAGCCCTTCGACGGCGGAGCACCACGCTCGGAACTCCAACCAGCGTCCAGGCCGCCCCAGCCCCCTGCGTCTGCAACCCCCTCTGAGCCTGGAAACGCTGCCTCTGGTCATGACAATGACGGGGGCATGTCTGCTCGCCAGTCTCACAACCCCCTGCCCCGCGCAGGTGGCCACGGACCACCCCCGCGTCACCCGGATGTGAACGTGCAGCCACACGCCAGGCCCCCCCCGCCGGCCTCAAACCTGCGGCCTTTGCCCCCGGATGCTGTCTCGAGGAGGTCCTCGGCTGCGGCGTACAGCTCCCGCGAGAGTTTCGCGTCCCCGGCGTCTGCTTCCGTTGGTCTGAGATCCCGGTCAGGCGTGATATCCACCGAGGGGAGCAATGATGCACCGGCGTCTCCGGGGTCTAGTTTGGACGACGACGACGACAGCGATCCGGACGAGAACGGCCCACGTTTCCACTATGCCGGCCTTCGCAGTGTCCGGCAAGCCCAACTGCTTCGTGGCCAGATGTCCAACAAGCGCGTCGCTTCCCAGAGGGCCATCAAGGCTCTACAGAACGTAGACATCGAGGGTCTGCCTGAAAATGAGAGAAGTGAGCGATTACCCCGATCGATTGATCCCCGATCCTTCGGGTTCATTCTGCGTTGAAAGCTGACCCATCCAAGCCTGCGTCATTTGCTACAATGACTTTGGCGTGCTCAGCCCGGAAGGCGTCACTGAGCATCCCCTGCGTCTGCCCAAGTGCAAGCACGTCTTCGGCAACCACTGCATCCTCAAGTGGTTTGGGGATGCCGACAGTTGCCCGTACTGCCGGGATAAGCTGCACTCAGAGCCCGCACCCCCCAGCAGGGAACTGTTGCGTAGGACATACCAGGTCGCCAGGGTCGACGCGGAGCTGGGTGTGCCTACATACCGCCGGGTGACACAGTCTCTTAGGAGGGACACTCCTGCCGTCGATATGTACCATCAGTATGCCATGCACTCGCATGGTTCTCAGCCTCCCGCTGAGGTCTCTCATCGGGAGGCCTCAGTTGGTGGCGAGCGGCGGGCGCTGCCCGAGGACCCGAGCGATACACAGCGAAGACAACGCCCTCGGCACGATCCTTCGAGGGCACTCGATCAGCGGCACGGAGGCTTACTCCTTACTGGCGCAGTCAGTGAGCAGAGATTCGATCCTTCCAACACTGCATCACAGCAGCACAGTCCGGTCCGTCAGCCTTTCTCCCCTACCCAGTCATATAGCCCAGCCCAGCGTCATCACCTACCTCATCTCTGGCCCCACAGGACGCTAAACGCACCCAATTTCCAGCAGTCAATCTTCCCACGCAGGCCCAACATACCGCATCAACCGCATAACCCCATTCACCCTACCGCTCTCGCGCCACTCGGGCCCGCTTCTTCAGGCTTCTCGAGCTACGTTCCCCCCAGCCCTCCCACAAACGGCTCATCAACTGGCTATCTTGCGCCGTTGCCACACGGCTACTCTGGCCCGCTTGGTGGCAGCGGTCTGCAAGCACTATCGTCAGCCGAGCTTCCTCTCCCAACACCATTTCCAGGATCACCTCATGCAGCCTTCGCACAACAACCACCCCAGGTCCAGTTTCGGAGCTCTGCCTACGCGCCGTTTAATCATGGCGCAGGGTATGGGCGACCAGGGCACGGTGTGAGTATGGAGAACAATAGCTTTTATCCTCCGAACTAGTCCCTGAGGAATACCGAAACTAGATACTGTGGCATCTCTTACGAAAGTTGTGTACGCAGGATGGGCTCATCTCAGCACACTGCCAGTGGGAAGAATGCAAATTATCCACTGGGGGGCTTTTCATCCCTCACAAAGCACGTCGAGCTGGGTCCAGGTCAGCACTTGAATGCCCACGCAACCAAAACAACCGTCCCCCCCCCGGGGGGAGAGACGGGAATCGCTAGAAGTAAGAGCGTACATGCGAACGAAGTGGAGCGGAACGGTCAATCAGCCAGCCTGTCAATCCGCTACCGAACCCACGTCTAATGCGGTTGACAAACACGGGCTCTGACTTTCCAAATCGAATTGTGGCTGCTGTTTTTACTTCATGTCTTTTGTTCTGGGTGAGGGCATAGCACAACCAGGGCGTCCTCGGCATATAGATCGCATGTCTTCTTCATCTCTTGCACCTCAAGCATCGGAAAACTCCCGCGGTACGGCATACGAGCTTCCCCGTGTCGCTCACCGGCCGACCCTCAGGTGGGCTTTCCCACATCATGACATTGAATTTCTGTCTTTCAAGCGGCATTTGGGGCGGGCATAAGCAGGGTAGGGCAGAGCTTTTTTGTTTTCCCCCTTTCCATCATACATACCAACGGAGTTTCGGATTTGAACAGGAACGGACCCACATGGTGGTTTTGTGCTTAAGGAGCTTCGAGTGATCGAGAGCCTAGCCTAGGTTGATATATCACAAATACAGGAAGCTATTACCTCCCTAAGACCAGCTGGATTTTTTTCGGGACGGAGAGAAGAAGGCTGGACTGGAATAGGGCACCGTGTATGTTAGGCTTGTCTTCTGTATCTCTTAAGCGAAAACAAAGGCAGGGGCCCATTTACCATGAGAAACGCAAAGTGTGTGGCATTATGGTGTGGACAGCGGTCGGGCGTGGGGCCGACTCTGACAATCCAAACGCGGCGACAAGACCTCTGCTCCCCTGCCGGGGCGTGTCGAGTGCTTCATGGGCCTAGCTTGTTCAAACAAAGACCCAATTAGAGTGCTTTGGCGGAAAATCATTCCACCAACATTCTTGCAGCACATGGCCAGCCAGCCACATCAACAGGTATCTTAATATACGTGCAGCCGCATACTTTCTTTTAGTGCAACACCGCCACGCCTGGCAAAATCACAGCATGTTAAACTAGAGCCCTTGTGGCTTACCTGTCTTGTCTGTTAGAAGTTGTTCTACGGCCAAGTGTGTAGAGGACTGGTGGCCGAAGTAAAGACTAGCCTCGGCCGACTGAAATCCTGCATAAAGCGTACAACCGTCTCTGCATTCGTGGGCCTTGCCTGAATTGGAGGCTGTGATGTTGCATATTCTGGAGCCTAAACGGGCTGAGAGGAGCGAGGATGGCTCTAACACATCACGTGCCCAGCAAACTTTTTTCCTGTTTCGGTCTCGACGACAGCAAGTGCAGTCTCATCCGGACCTCGACCACCGCGCTTCCCCTCTCTTTTCGCAAACACAGCAAAACACCCGCGTGGGCAAGCCAGCCATGCTCCCCACGCCGGACACCTCGCACGTGCCCTACTCTAGAGTCTATGAGCCGGCAGAAGACTCGTTCCTCCTCCTCGACACGCTCTCCTCCCCTTCAGAAACCGCCTTTCTGCAGCAGCGGTTCGGCGCGCCCAGCAACGACGCTGGCGACAACCACCTCGCGACGCCACCCCCGCCCCTGGTCGTCGAGGTTGGTACCGGCTCGGGCGTGGTGGTGAGTTTTGTCCACGCGCACGCGCAACCCATCTTCGGAACCCGCGACGTTCTCACACTGGGCGTGGACGTCAACGCCTTCGCATGCGCGGCAACGGCGGCGACGGCAGCGCGCGCTACCGCCGATAACGCGACCACACACGGCATGTTCCTGGGCGCCGTGCGGGGGGACCTCGTAGCTCCGCTGCGACCTGGCAGCGCTGACGTGTTGGTCTTCAACCCACCGTACGTGCCGACAGACGACCTGCCGGCGCGGGACGACGCGCGGCTGGCTGCCGAAGGGGCCGGGGAGGCCGGGACGGACGGCCGCACGTTGAGCGCGAGCGCCAGGTTTGACCGCGACTCGTACCTGCTGTCTCTATCGTACGCGGGCGGCAGGGACGGGATGGAGATTACGGACCGGCTGATCGAAGCGCTGCCAGGGGCGCTGAGCGCGAGGGGCTGCGCATACCTGCTTCTCTGTGCAGGCAACAAGCCCGAAGATGTCAAGGCGAGGATTCGGGGCTTTGGGCCGACGTGGCGGGTGTTGACGGTTGGGGAAAGCGGCAAGCAGGCCGGGTGGGAGAAGCTTCAGATAATTAGAATTTGGATGGACGGCAGCGACGAGCACAGGACTAGCATCTAAGGGGAGGAAAGAGGACGCACAATGAGACGCTTTCTCTTTCTTCTTGGGATTCGGGCAGATACATCCTTCTCTCATTTTTCGACGCGACGCTGCGTGATTGCCCTGATGAGTTCAATCTCCCTGCTCTCCGTCGCCCACGCCGGGAAGAGGCGCCGGACCACCGGCAAAACATGACCCGTACCCAGCGAATTAAAGCCACCTTGGTGCCTGTCAAAGTCGGGTTGTTCGCCGTGTACAGGAATGCAGGGGTGGCAGTCGGCCCGAGATGCCATGCCCACGTCGCATGAGCTTGGCCCAGCTCTGGCAACCATTGATGAGGCCACGCGCCGGGCCCCTGCGCGCCTGACCTTTTCCCGACCCGCCAACTCCGTTTGTCGCACGGACGGCTCGGTCTAGACAAGATTACCTTCCACCTACCGCCCCCGGCCAAAGCCCCGGCCGCGGCCTCCCCCTCTCCCGCGACCGCCGCCCCTTCCGCCGCGGCCTCCGCGCATGCCACCACCTGCTCCACGATCGGCCTCCTTGCGCGCCTTGTTCTTCGGTTTTGGCGCGTCGTCGATGAGCAGCGTATCAAGCGGCAAGGAGTCGGGCAGGATGTAGTACCGGACGGTAGAGCCCCTGATGTTCATGGCATCGAGCTGGACCGGGTCCTGACCCTTGGGGGTCATCTTTACGTTGCGCAGAGCCGTGTTCATTTGTGGGGAGACGGACGTGATTGTGCCGTGGACGATGGTGCCTGAGCAAGACAGATCAGCATCGACATCCAATGCAGCCACCACGGCGCGCGCCCCCCCGGGGGGGGGGGCTGGGAGAACTACCATTCTTGAGCTCGATTGTCACCGTCTCGTTGGCGCATTTCATCAAAAATCTAGCATGGGGTCCATGATTAGCCTCGAGGTATGGCACGGTCGGTTCGCGATGCTTGAGGCAGCTGGTTCAGCACAAACGGTGCAGAGGATGGAGACAAGAAGAGAACGGAGGGCATGGGAAGAGCTTACCTGACGAGCTTCATCTTGGGGTGGGCGGTTGGGACAAGACACCTCGCCTGTTGACTGCTTGTTACCGGGTGTTGAAATGGTCGCGAGCAAGGCTGCCTGGGCAATGACTGGAAGCCAGAGACGCGACCCGAGAGCTCCAAATTCAGAGGCAGGCGGGCGGGCACGGACCATGTCTGGAGTCATGTGATGACCTAGCTACTTTGCAGATACTTCGGACTGTCTGACAGGTGCACACCAAGTAAGGTCCTTCACAAGTAGCCCAGCCAAATGCCATTCGGACAGAGACGGGAGTATTGTTTCTATGTACAAAGGGGCGCAGAGAAGATAACCTGGTGGTTGCAAGGGCCGTGTGCTGTCCCAGGCCAGTCTTGTCCGTCCAAGGCCCCAATCCAAAGTCCATCGCGTCTCGGCCACCAGCGGGACCATCCCAGCCGGCCCCGTTGCTCCGATCACTCTGGCCCGCTCACTTGGTCTTGTCGCTCTCGTACTCCGAGACCTTCTCCCACTCGTCCTCGGTGCTTGCGCTCGACTTGCTACCCTGTGACTGCTGCGACTGCTGCGACTGCTGCGACTGGCGCGGCTTCACCTCGCCGGCGCCGGGCCCCTGTACCTCGACGTCCCTGCTCGTTGCCGGGCCGGGCTGGTCCTTGGTCTTGCTTCTCTTCAGCGCCGTCTCCACCTCGGTCTCACTCTCGGCAGGCGTCCTGTGGGCGGCCTGCGCTTTCTCCGCCACCTCCCGGTCATGGTTTGCCTGCAGCTCCCGCGCGAACCAGTTGATGGCGTACCAGAGGCCACCGCTCAGGAATGATAGGACGATGAAGTGGATGCTGTAGGTCGCGAGTAGCAAGGCAAAGAGAACAACCTGTAGGCATGCGAAGGTGACATTGGTCGCGATCAGGAGCGATGGTGTGGGCCCGGGGATGAATATGGACTCCCATAGGTCTTGCAGGAATTGCGACATGCTGACGGTGTTGTTGGTGTTGTTGGTGTTGCTCTGCTGCTCTGATGAAGGGGCGGGTTCTCGATCGACTACAAGGCAGGCCCGACGTTAGTTCAGCGTCCAGGCTGCATGCAGTTGTGGGTGGCCGCAGAGGATTGCTTACCCGGCTCGATGCCAGCGTGCTGCCTTGCGGGTTCAGCAGAGGGGCAGTGACGGGGCCGAGGGTGTGAGCCTGTCGAGATTCCGCCTCGTGCCGCAGGGCTGCCGGAAGCGGGAAGTCAAGTTGAGCGAAAGAGGTCTCGAGACCGAGGATTCAGAGTCCCGTGCCGCCAGTCACTCGTGAGTTGGGAGTCGGGGGCGTTGGCTCTACGCCCGGAGGGGTTCACGCCAAATAAATCAATGGCGGGGAAGTCGCCTTGACAACACAGCTTCCTTGCCGCTCGGCAGGGGTTGTTTTGGGACGTCCACCCCCGGCCCGGCATCCCACTCTTTCGCGCCTGGAGTCTGCACGTCAGGAGTCGCCATGGCCGCGTGCACTGTTGCAGTGCCCCACACCCTCATGCTTCGTGTATCTTCTCATCTTCGTCTGCTCGTTCAAGACCTGGCTTCCAAACATATACTGCACCATGTCCGATATGCCTGAAAACACGCTGTCTATGCCTGCTAGGTAGTTAAGGGGTATCTAATAGGTATGGCGCGCAACTTCCACGGGGCTCCCATCGCTAGGTTGCCCGCCCACAAGGCTGTAAAAGCCCCTCATGTCCCAGATAACTCACATTCCATGAATATCTACAGCTATGCCTGAATTGTGTTGAAATTCGTCATCTAGGCTCCCAGGCGCCCGCCCGCCCCGGTCCCCCACGGGGCTCGTTCACGAGTCTGACCCGTTGAACCGAGAAGCACATCCAAACGCCCATCCCAATGCTTGAAGAAACGCCATCGATGCTGTCATCCTTGCTCCGCGTGGGGCACCAAGGCCGCTGTTGTGCCGCCGGTACTCTCAATCTAGGAGAACTTGTCCTTCAGTTCGTCGTCATCAACCGTGCTGACAAATGCGTGCCTGAGGAAGTGAAGCCAGATCTTGTTGGGCTTCCTGCCCTTTTTCTTCTTCTTTTCCTTCTTCTTCCTCTTCTTCTCGGTTTCTACGCCACCGGGTTCAGGCCTGTCGGTGCCCTCTTCGTCATACTGTTCGGCCGAGTCGTGGCTGTCTTCATTGATGACAAGATCCCCACGCTCTTCAACATCAAAATCTTCCAGGTTGCCAGCGAGGTCGCCACCAGGCAGGAGCAGTTCAGTAGTCTTGGTCTTTGCAGTTTTGCCCATCCGGTACGCCAGCTCAACAAAACTCCTGACCGTCAGGTCGGTCAGGTTGTAGAGCTTGTCGTCGTACGTCGTGTACTCTATGTCAAACTGGAACTCCCGAGGCTTGGGTCTCTTGTTCTTTGGCACCTTGTTGCCGTGCTTGCCTTTGCGCCACTTTTCAATATCAACATCCTTGGACTGTGGCGCGATATCATTGTTGATATAAGTTAGGTTCGCGTAGTATTGCTTGTAGCCAGTGAGGGTCAGTGACTGTGGTGAGTACGCAGGTCCCGGGGGCGATGACTTGGAGGGGGGCTCAGGGACGACCAGGTTGGGGTCCTTGTGCTTCTTTCCCTTCTTTTTCTTTTTGTCGCCCTTTGGCCTCTTCGGCTTCTTGCCCTTGTATCTGCTCGTCTCAACATCATCGTCCAAACCGCGAAGTTCCAGCTCCGTGCCGGTCATGTCCTCCGGGTCATACTCATGGGGGGCCGTCGGTAATCTCTTGGTGTAGTCCGCCCATGTCACTGCGTCCTCAAGCCCGGTGATGTTGTAGTCGAACACTCGGAGTGTTGGGAAGTAGTTTGGCACGATGCTCGGGCTGACAAGGGCCAAGTGGTATCGCTCGGCCCATTCGCTGTCAAGCTTGCCCTTGCCCTTACCATTCTTGCCCTTCTTCTTCTTCTTCTTCTTCTCCTCCTCCTCCTCCTCCTCCTTCTTGTTGCTGTTCTTGTTGCTCCTGTTACTTTTCGATTCGAAGTCTAGAGTTTTAGGCCGGTTTGGGTTTGGTAGCTTGGCCCACCCCTCACGAAGTTCCTCGAGGTAATCGGTGGCTGACTGCAACGAGACCTCATCCTCGAGGTTCTCACGATCAGAAATGAGTTCATCTCCATCCTGGTCCCCATCCCCGCCCTCGATCTCATACTGGACCTCGGCGGGCCGAATGTCGATCTCGCTTGTGTCCATGAGGACAAAGTGGTCAATGTTCATGTGGCCGTAGAGACCACTGATGACAACGTCGCGGTACTGTTTCAGCCATAGGGTGTATTTCTGCCAGCAGGTCTCATCCCAGAGCATTTTGCTGTCGGTCCGAGCTGGTGGCACGTGGCCCATGAGGATAGCTTTCATGCCGCGATCCCGCATGAACTGCAGTTGAACCCTCAGCCACTCCATGTGCTTGAAGCCAGGCTCGGATGGCTTGACACAATCGTCAACGCCGGCATTCCTGTCGAAGAAGTACAGCGTGTTGAGGCTGAAGACTGCGAGCCTGTTCGGGATGACCTCGACGTAGAACCAGCCTCCAAACTCAAAGCTGTGGCGCTGCTCCTCGGGGATGAAGTGATGCCAGATGTCGGTGTAGTACCTCAGCCACTTGTTGGGCCCGGGCATGAGGACATTATGTGGCAGGATGTCATTGTTGCCAAAGGTGGGGATAACTGGCACGTTGACGCCGTTTTTGTCGTCGGAAAAGGTCTCGGCGAACTTGTTGGCCAGCAGGCGGTTCGTGCCGAGGACTTGAGCGGGCGACCTTGGTATGTCCTCGTCAGAATCGTGGCGGGCACTGTCGCCGGTCCAAATGACGAAATCGATCTCGTCGCGGAGTTTGGAGGTGACTATCCAGTCAAATGTGGCATTGACGAGGGATAGGGGAGTGTCGCAGTCCGAGGTCTCGGCGCCGTATGTTCCTGCAGGGCCCTTGCCACTATGGCAGGCACGGCCCTGAGCGGTGGAGGTGTGGACTTTGTAGAATTCGTCAGGGTGGAAGTCTAGAAGGCGATCAGTGTCAGGGCGGCAGTTCTTCAACTCTCGGGGACTTACCTGTGATGTGCAGGAACCGGCCATGCAGCTTTCTGGACTGGGCAGCCTTCGTCTCTTCTGTAATTGGCGGCGGCGGCGGCGGTGGTATGTCGCCCAGTGGGTGCTGCGCGAGTGCGCCAGCTGCAAGGGGCAGCTGAGGTGTTGCCGGGGCGGGCGCAGCGATGACGCCAGCGCACAGGTGTGTCAGGACTGGAACAAATAGCATGACGCCGTAGACCATTCTGGGGCTGTGACCTGGCGCGGAGGGAGGGCCCGAGGCAAGGTCGGAAGCGAGAGCAGAGTCGGAGTCAGGGCTCGTGAAAGGTACTTAGTATGTTCGAAAAAAAAAAGGTGGGGGGGAGAGATGCATAGGTGTTGTGGCTCCTAGGATTATGCCGAGCGAGACATCGCAGTGCTGGATGATGTATGATATACGGTGAGAAGAGGGTAGAATTAAAAATGATGCTGTCAGTAAGGCCGACCGAGGGCCACACAGTCAGTCGGTCAGAGGACCCTGTTAGACCTGGAGGAACTGAGGCGTGGTCGAGGAGAAGGCACGTCTTTTGAATGTGCCGGTCGAGACTCGGGCCACCAGCTGTTAGAGACAGGGACAAAATGAAGAAATCCCCCCTTCCCGAAAAAACCAAAAAAAGCCACCCAAAAGCCACCAAAAACCCGTGCGGGATGTGCTGTCCACTCGCAGCCTGACAGCCTAGTCGGTGGCCTACTTTGGTACCTGAATAAGGCTGGAGGAGGCTGCGAGGCCGAGACCCAAGACGGTGTGCGGACGGCAGTGACGGCAGCTTACAAGCGAGGTGATACGTCACTGGTGTGTGGTCAGGGCTTAGGGGATCCCGCCCGGCAGATCCAGCCAACCGCCCAAACCTTGGAAGTAGACGTCTCGGTCGAGGAGTCCAGATGGACGGCGATGTTTCGAGGTGAGAAAAGTCGCCCAACGAGCGAGCGAGAAGGAGGAAGGAATATGTATATATATATGTGTGTGTGTGTGTGTGTGTATGTATACATACACATGTATACACATACATATGGACAGACGACAGTCTGTGGAGAGGCAAAGAAATGTGGGGCAACAGAAAAAGAGGCAGACATGCACAAGCACGCACGCACCCCAAGGTACTACATAGTATTCCGCATACTCCGTATCGACCCAGATGCCCTGGCTGTCTGACCCAGTCATCCGGCTTCGAGGAACACGAAACTTGTTGACCGCGGATCGTGACTGACTGCGTGGCCAGCGTCCAGTCCCGGAGCCCCCGGTAGCTGGGTAGCTGGGTACCTACTACATACCTATGTAGTAGGTAGCTGCCACCTGGCCTCGTGCCGCACCGCGCTACCCGCAAGGCTGAACCACCCGCAACCACATACATCAGCACTGGGATTCCCTAGATCCCGTCTCGGGCCAATGCCCGTGGACCATTCCCACACGTGTTGGCATCCTCAACCTTGGCTCCAAACACGGCCAAGCTCTGCACGATTCGTATGCGAGAACCTGTGTGAGCACGCGACTGGAAGAAAAGAATGTTAGCGACAATGCGGTTGCGGCAGCCCAGCTGCCCAGCTGTCACGTCACGTCACACACTCCCGTCATTCCCCCCGTCATGTCATCCCCCGCCGCCCCACCTGGCTTGGTCCGTGCGTCATGCTTGCAGAAGGCTAAAAAATCCCTTCCAGTCCATCTCTCGACAACGGCTTTTCCTCTCCCTTGCCTCAACATTCATATGCAACCGCTTCATAGAACGCCCTGGCCCACACATATGGCTCGGTGTCTTTGCCCTCTTGGAAGGGGAGAGTTGCAAGATTGACACAGCCGTATGTTTGAGGGTGGTTGTAGCACTTTCGCAGTGACGACCTCCTATGGTTTTAAGCCGGCGACAGCACGTCTCATTAGTCCATCAGTTTTTTTTTTTTTTTTTTTGAGGGGGCGTGGTTGCGTCCTCTCGACCTTCCGACTCCTCACAGGCCGCTTCTCATGGCTGGGGTATGAGGACGCCAGCGGTGTGGTCACCCAAGTCTCGTCAGTCAGACGCCCAGCATCGTCAGTTGGCGAGGACCTCAGGACCCCAGGCACGAGGAGCAAGTCCATCTGTGGCTGCCAGCAATTGTAGATGTAGCATTTGGTCATGCCGTCCGGGCGGCAATTTGGATTCCAAGGGAGTGCTGCTGTGCTACGCACGTGCTGTACACAGTACACCTAGGCTAGGTGCTCCGTGCCCACAGGTACCTACCTATCTAGAAGCCCGGCTAGGCATCTACCTATTCAGATAGGTAGGCACCTGGCTGCAAGAGTTGCAGGGGTCGATGGTTGGCGGGCCCCGGCGGGCAGAAATTCTGCCAGCCTCAGCAGCACTAGAAACCGCGTCAACGCGCCGACACTTCGACACAGCTCCCACCCCAAGCAACCCCGGCCCTCTGTCGCCCGTCTGGACGTAGCCAGCCGCCCGTTGGACTCTGCTCTGCTTGGACTCTTCGAACGCAGGAGGCAGCTTTCATGATGGACCCCGAGCCGCCAATCCTCTACAAGGAGACTCGCGTCAGTCTGGAGCCTGCCTCCAACGCGTCCATCGTCCACATCAGGCTTCCTGCGCCTACCAGGTCCAGAGACCGCCGTTCCCTCGGGCCCGACAGGTATGGCGACGATGAGAGGGTATATCGCTCTAGGAACTTGGCAACCGCGGCATCCGTATACCACAGGAAGCACCACACCTCGCCCCGCAGCTTCCTCTGGCGCGTCCTCGAGGACGGCACCGTCCTGAGCATCCGTGCCGCCGACGTCTCCAAACAGCAGACCGCCCCCGACGCGAACCTCATCTTGCACCTGCGTTTCCCCAACCCCCTACGACCTTCATGCATCGCCCTTGCCGACGCTCCTGAGCACGACGCCCTTACCATCTTCGCCCTCGACCACACCAACCATCTCTTCACCATAGTCCTGCGGCCCGATCACTTCCGAAGGCGCTCCGCTACCGACAATGGGATTGGCGACGCCTGCAAGACCCATTTGGCCGGCACCTTCAGCTTCAAGCATCCCCACCGCCTGGCCGCCATCAGCGCCCACCAGGTGGTCGTCACCTTCCATGACGGCGGCCTGATCAGGTTCGACAGGGACCGCGCTCACAATGGTATGGCATCTCTTGTTGTAACACGGGCATCACCCCGGCTGACGTATCCCTCGAAACTAGTCAACGGCCAGCCATGGAAGGAGACCAACTTCAGTGCTCAGGGCTGGGCAACGAGCTTTCGCAGCCTTCTGCCCCTACCGTTCCAGGGCGGCCACACCATAAAGCACGGCAAGGCAAACATGGAACTAAGTGCCGCCACCTCCGTGGTCACAGACTCCTTGGGCGTGGACTACGCCCAGTTCCTGTTCTCGGTCTGTTTAGATCACCGTTTGCGCATCTGGAACGTCCGCTCAGGCGCCATCCTGTACACAGCGGACATGCTGGGCGTGGAGCGCAACCCGCAAGAGATTGGAAAGTGGATCATCGACCCGGGATGCCATAATCTAGTCCGCATTGTCGGTCAGGCTGAAGGCAGGCGTACCTTGGTGACTTACTCCCCGGTTGCCAACGAGTTCAAGTTTTGGAAGGTGGAGACCCAAGATGACACGACCATATTTGTCCATGACATGTTCCCGGACCAGCAACTCAGGCCCCCCGGTCTCTCCTCAGGAGATGTGTGGACCCTGGCGGACTTTGGTGTGGCGCAACCTACCGGCCAGGCCTTCCACCTCTGGATACTGACCAAGAACAACCTTACCTACCGAGTCCAAAAGCTCGAGTTTCGCGCCTCTGACTCCGAAGATGTCTGGATGTCCGGGTGGATGTCTGTCTACATCGATAACGAACAACCAACCGCCGAGTCATCGAACCCCGGCGACCCTACCGACGCCACGGAGAAGTGGCTCCAGACGTTGTTCTACCCCGGGCGATTCTCCAAGGCCACGCTCGAGGCTGCCCTCGCCATGTATGAGCGAGGGCTGGGGTCCAAGGAAGCCACCTCCCGGAATGGGAAGGGCCTGGTCGAGGCAGTATGCTCAGTTTTAGGCTCAGCAGCTACTCTTGACAGGCTTGCAAGCGGCGAGATGGACTTCGACCAGTTCCGATCACACAGTCAGGTCTCGTGGCGCCGATTCTATCGCCTGGTCTTGGAGCTGGACAAGCAACGTGGCGAGGCACTCTCACTGGCTCTCGACCACAACTCGGGCATGGCCTGGGTGCTTTGTGCTGACCTAGTCGCGGCTGTTCACCCCTGCTCAACTCTCGACCAGATTTACCACAAGTCCCAGGGCTCCATAGATATAAACAACGAGAATGTCGCGGCCCTAGTATCCGCTGGACTGGACCTTGTCGATGACTTCTCAGACAGTATTATGCAGCAAGCTGAGGCCGCCCTGCGGTTGGAGTTGTTCGAGGCGTCGCCGGACACGGATATGGAGAGGATACAGCGCTTTTTCGATCATTCAGCGTCATGGCGAGGGATCTCCGAAGAGGACGCCGCTCAAGTCGTCGAGAGCCTAGGGAGTGACTTCAGGATCGTCACACAGGAGCTGTACCGACAGCTCATTGATCTTTTCGCGGCAAACGAGGAGACTCGGTCGCGGGATGTGCGACATCCACTCACAGAATTCGGCAGGAAGGTTGTTGTCAAGTCGGTCCAGGAGACTGCACGGTTGCAGTGGCAGGTTCTGCTTAGCCAGCTGCTCCTCCTGGTTCACATGGAGTATGAGTATGATGAAGATCACGAAGAAAGCGCACTTCACTCCAGACTCGATGTCGGCTATGTCTACCGCCAGCTCATCGAAGCCCTGAAACGCCTCGATTTCCTCAGGTGGCTAGTCAAGACAGAGATCAGCGTTCCTGCTCTGAAACCGGAGCGATCTAACGGTTCGCCAACAGTTGCAAAACGGCCAGATGACACGCGGACAATCACCGTCTTCGAAGTCATTATCAGCCACTTGCTCGGGCTTGTGGATGTTGACGGTCAGCCTTTGGCATCAAGCCTGGCGGATGTAGTCATCGATATCTGTGCGCCAGACAGCGGCATTGAGCTGTCTCCGGAGCTGATACAGTGTTCACTGCTGAAGGCGGACCGGCCAGATTTAGCGCTAGAACTGACGAGGTTTTGTGGGCAAGACCCGTTCCCTGTCTACATCCAAGGCCGCGTCTTCTTGTCGCTCAAAGATTATACCGCGGCCGCACTCCACTTCACGAAAGCAGCGGTTGGAATGAGTAAGTCCTCCAGAGCCAGGCTGCGGGCAATCCCGCTCACTAACGCTCTATCAGGCGTCCCGATGAAGCATACAGAACGGCACACTGGTGGGCTGCTAGATGAGACCGAGAAGAATCTTCTGAACAGCGGTCTTGCCAACTACTACTCCCACATAGTCGCATTATATGACCGACACAAGGCATTTTCCTACGTCATTGACTTCGCCCGCCTCTCCCTACAGTTCGCCCAGGCCCCAGACGCCAAGGGGACGAGGGCTGAAATGCTCAGCCGCCTGTTCGCGGCATCGACATCTATCTCACGATTTGAGATGGCACACGCGACCCTTCTGTCCATGCCAGACCGCGCCCTGAAGCTGTCTTGCCTGAAGAGGCTCGTCGAGCGCATGTGCGAGACGGCCCAGACGTCAGAGCTGACCGCGCTTCCATTCTCAGGGATGCAAGAGGAGGTCGACTCCATACTACAGCAGAAATGCAGGAGCACAACGGACGTTGTCCGTGGGACCCCGTACCACCAGATACTGTACGCGTGGCGCATCACGCACAACGACTACCGTGGCGCCGCGGCCGTTCTCCACGACCGGTTGCAGAAGCTGCGCCAGGCAGGGGAGGGCGACAGCCTCAACGGCGGCGACGTGCTAGATACAGCGGTGACGAGACAGTTCCTGCTGCTGATCAATGCGCTGAGCTGCGTCGACCCCAAGCAAGCCTGGATCACTGTCGAGGAGGCACACTCGGCTGACCGCGTTGCGCAGGAAGGGGGAGCCGACCACACTGTGGCCGCCGCCACTAAGCCGAGGAGGAAAGTGGTCACTCTTTCGGACCTCAGAAGGCAATATCAGACCGAGCTGGACCGTATTGCGGCGATCCAGAATAACCAGTTTGGGTTCATGGCGGACGATGCGGACGATGATGTGATGGTCATTGATCAATGAGCGTACAAAAAGGCAGAACAGCTAGGTAGCAAAGACGAGATTCGGTGCGGACTCTGTATGATTATGAGGCACATGGGGCACAAGCACAGCACAACTGCATTTCGGGCCTGGGTGATGATGCCGAAAAGGCGGGCAGAAATGAATATCAGGAGCCGAGCCAACAAAAGGGCTCCGTGGCCATGAATGAGCTGATAGACAGTTGCATCGAGCGCGACAGTGACACCAAGTTCAGGGGCAGCATCCACGAACGGTCCACAAAACGGGAAGTGCACAGGAGGGAGAAAGCCCATGCCTCGTGTGGGTGGTTGCGCCTAGTTGCATCACGGTGCCAAGGGCCGGGAAGAGAAGGTTTTTACGGGCCAGGGCGCGAAGGCAAGGTGCTTGGTCGGAGTTGATGCAATATGGAAGAAAGAAGTCCCGTTGAACAAGACCTATCATAGTACGAGAACGCCGTGACAATGCTTTGAATGGGAACTAGATAGAATCATGAGCCGCCACACTCGGTGAGCGAGTCCCAAGTGCGGAGTACCCGCAAGGACTCATGCATGAGCCGCCGCGACCTTGCTCGCGTTCTCGGGGGGCGGCGCCGGTAGCGCTGTTCCCTCGGCGCTGCCGCCATTTGCGAGCTCGGGTGCCTGACGGTATAGTATTATTTCTGACTGTTTGAAATATCTCCGCGCATCTGGTAGCACGCGCGGGTCAGTCAGGGTCCCCGGAGCGGTGTGACTGATGGGGTTCTCCCGGGCACGATGGCGACTTACCCTCGTCAATGAGCACCAGACTCAGATAGTATCTAGTGGAGAACTTCTTGTTGACGTCGCGGAACGTTGGGGTCAGATCGAAGCCGCCCAGGAAAAGTCGGATCGGGATGGTCTCTCCTCTTGATGGCGAGCCGTCCATGATCTGTCCACGGCAGGACCCAATTAGCATACGCAGCGGGCGAAGGCCGTTGTCTGGCAGCAGCATCACTCACCTCGAAGCGCACCAGCGTCTCACTCTCGTTGTATTGGTTCGGCGCCGCGCCGGTGGTCTCGCGCCGGATAATGCTAAGCTCCATGTGCTTGATCTTCAGGCGGACTAGCAGGAAGTAGATCCTCCCGACTATGACGTCCTTCAAGTGGTACTTGCTCTTGGAGTACTCGAACTCGATGTGAAGGCAGTCCTCGATGCCGACGTCCATCTTGATGCTGCTGTTCATCTCGGGCGGGATGCGGTAAGAGTACACCCATATGTCTTTCTCGCGGATGACATCTGCCATGCGGCGGCTGACGGTGACGCGGACGAAGTAGCGCAGCTTGACGTTGATGCCGTTGTAGGACTCGTACTGTTTCTCGACATTCTTGAAATTAAAGTCGTAGGTCTGGGGGTGCTGGAGCTCGCCGGGCGCGGCCAGCTCCTGGACCAGGGAGAGAAATTCGTAGTGGTTCCCGCGGTCGAAGAACATTTCTGCAGCGCGACGGCGTCAGCAGGTGAGGCTCTTCCGAGGCGAGGACAAGCCCCCGAGTGCTCCTGTGCCTTCCAGGAGGCGGGCCAGCATACCTATCGTGCCGATGAATTGGACCTTGACGCCGGTGTGCTCCAGGCGCTTGCCGTCCTTTGGCCTGACTGTGACGGCGCCCTTGACCGACTCCCCGTCCATGTACAGCGGTGCCTTCTCGCGGCGGTTCTTGTCCAGCTTCACGTCGACCATGGCGCGCTCGTCGGCATCCTCCAGGACGACGTCGATGTCGACGGGCGTCGCGAAGAAGTACGACATGTTGCCGGCGCCCCGTGAGCTAGGCAGCTTGACTGACGCTGGGCTGGTCTGGCGGGAAGGCGTCGTGTGCGGAATGGGTCGGGAGCCTTGACGAGCGGCGGCGCGTCGACGCTGACGACGGTGACGCTGACGATGGTTGCGCTGAGGTCGGGGTGTTGAGAGGAGACGAGAGGTTGCGCGTGCGAGTGGCCGTGGCAGGGGAAGTGGGATGGGCCGTTGTCGTGGGCGAGTACGTGCAGATCGATCGCTCCTGGTAGGTAGCACGTAGGTAGCACGTAGGTACCTGATAGGTGCAGTGCACTGTTCCGTACTCCTCGGACGGACGAGGCGTCACTGCCGGCCGAGCTCCCCGCTGAAGACTGCCTAGGTACCTAGGTACCCAGGTCGGCACTCCGTACCTGCCCAGGGGCATAAGGGGAGCTCTTACACCGCGGCTGGAGAAGGGAACGAACGCATGGACCAACCAAGACAGACAAGCACGTCTGCATCACACATGCCCACATGAGAAGCCTGCGCGTTGTCTGCTATCTATCCTACACACGACACGAGAGGGGAGCCTTGCTACTGTGGCCGCGTCTCCAAGTCGAGGGCCACATGGCTCCAACGCGAGACGCAACTGCATGCCAGGGTCACTGAACGCCCAAACAGCCAGTCTCCACAATGCTCCATGTGCAAGCGTCAACGGCGGACGCCGATTAGGAGATGCAAGCTGCCCGAATGCCTCTCATCTATTAGAATTGGGCATCCTAGGTACCTAGGTAGATAGGTAAGGTAGGCAGGTGGTAGTGGTGTATGCCTTGGGTAAGCAGGGAAGCAGAACACATGCGCAGAACCATGCCTGCTTCCTGCCACAGATACCTGCTTACCTACCCACCACTGTAGGTAGAGTAGGTAGACTGCTACATAGTAGACACTCCCAAGGTCGTGCCAAGCAAGGGTGGGTGGGAAGGTGGGAGGCAGACCGGGCTGGCAGGCTGGCGGGACAGCCTCGAGCTGCTTATCGCTTATCGGGACCAGCCCGAGCCGCGCCAAGTGGGCCCCACACCAGCGGCGCAAAGTAATTCCAAGCTCCGGCCTGGGGCAAATCCCAGCAGGCGCACGAATTTCGCTTGGCCCAGTGGGTGTTTCTCAAAAGTTGCATTGCAGTCGGGAGAGAGAAGCTCGCGGCCCTTTGAAGATACCCTCATCGACAACCATCTCGCCACACCACCCCCGAACCGACCGGCAAGATGAAGTACATTCATTCCGAGGAGACGCTGGTGATCCCAGAGGGAGGTACGATTAACCTTCTGCGACGCCCCAACCCCAGCCAAAGCGAGCCAAAGCGAGCCAAAGCGAGCCGTCAGTTGCCAGGAAAGAGGAGGAAAACCCGACACACCGCGACGCCCGAGAAACAGACCGTTGGGACACGGGCATGCTAGCCCTCGGTGCTCTTGAACCCTTGCATGCGCGGACTGCTGTGATCTCCTCTGCTCACCCAAGCGGGAGCACACGGGGATGCGACACATCTGGGATCTGTTCCTGACAATTGACTGGCAGTCGCTGGTGCTGGCTGGGCGGGCGTACAATATGTATGGGTCGGGCTGTTGTATCAAATGCTGACGAGGTTTTGTCTCCACAAACAGTCAAGGTCCAGATCAAGGCCCGACAGATCACTGTCGAGGGACCCCGGGGCAAGCTGGTCAAGGACCTGTCCCACATCGCCGTCAGCTTCTCGACGCCCAAGAAGAACGTCATCGCCATCCACATCCACCATGGTGTCCGCAAGAACGTCGCCGCCCTCCGAACCGTCCGCACCCTCATCAACAACCTGATCATCGGTGTCACGAAAGGCTTCAAGTACAAGATGCGATACGTCTACGCCCATTTCCCCATCAACGTCAACCTGGACAAGAACTCGGACGGTGTCTATGAGGTCGAGATCCGGTACGTTTTCAAGCCAGACGCCATCAATTGACAGTGTGCTGCGCTGGAGGTCTCCCCCCTGGCGGAGAGAAGGCACCTCCGGCCCCCCGGGGGGGCTCGACCATGAGAATTCGGGACGCGGGCCACACGAGATGCCATCGCAGGCGACGTGGTGCAAACATGGAACATCGAGGCTGATTATCTCGGCTTGAACAGGAACTTCATCGGCGAGAAGCTCGTCCGCAGAGTCATCATGCAGTCCGGTGTCGATGTCGAGATCTCCAAGGCCCAGAAGGATGAGCTGGTTCTGTCCGGCAACTCCCTCGAGGCCGTCTCCCAGTCCGCCGCAGACATCCAGCAGATCTGCCGGGTGCGAAACAAGGATATCCGAAAGGTAAGATTCCGCCCTGGTGGGGGCCCTACTTGGATGGTGTTTATTTCAGAGGGTGATCGTGGTGGGCTGACCTTGTTGATAGTTCCTTGATGGTATGTACGTCTCGGAGAAGGGCAACGTTGTCGAGGACGCAGCGTAAATGGAGACCAGGGTCCTCGGTCTCGATTTCTTTGTGCTTTTCTGGGTTCACGGAGTGGCAAGGGGTTCATCAATTTGGGGCACATGCATGTCAAGTAGCATAACGCTACGGAATGGAAAAGAATCGGAAATTTGACGAATCGATGCTTTGCTCCTAGCCAGAATGATGGCGACCCAACGACTTGATTCCTCCCGAGCGGGACGTGACAGATCAAAGATGGGCGTGATTGGAGTGCTTTCAGAGATGGCATGGAACGGTGTGCTCTTGGTGCCTCTTGCCGATGACGAAGCCGCGAGCAGAACTAGAAAAATGCATGGTACCTCACCAATCAAGGCCTCGGGGCTGTCTGACAGGCATGTTGAGTGGGCTGGATCCTCGATGGTTGTCCACGGAGCTTTCGAGGTTTCGAGTTGAGCAGCTGGCATGACGTTGACAAGCAGCTGATGGGACCAAGTCCCGGAGACCACCGATTCGCATTCAAGACCCTGCCGCATGAGACGGGCCTACAGGTCCGGGCCAGTGGTTTTCATGGGGCTACGTTGGGCCGGATAGCCTCTACCTTTGTAAAGGGCCCGCACGGTCCCGGAGGGAGAACTGGGGCGTGGCGGGAAGCTGTAAATCTGTGAAAAGAGTCTGGCCCAGATGAGAACACATGAGATGCGTGTCACTTTTGTACGTGCCATTGAGCGGGGCTTGTCGTCTTTGTACCGGATCTCTCTGGTCGTCCAAGACAGGACATGTCTGAATATATGACAAGGGTTTTCGGGTCGGGCAACACGGTGAATGTTCGAATTCCTGTCGTCACTGCATGTATTGTTGAAGGCCACACACATCGAGTAGGGCCTTAGCAAAACTGGCTACTATACAGACCGCATAGAGTGCCTAAGGTAGGCAAGGTACCTACTATAGCGCTCCCCTAGGGGTTTTTAAATATAGTCTCTAGATTATCCCTTCTACTTTAAAATAGTACTTTAAATAGTCTTTAATACCTTAAAACTATTCCTTTATTAATACTTTTTAATAATAACTATAAGATATATTAGTATTTTTTTTAAAATTAAATTTTCTTTAAAACTAAAAGGTCCTTTAAAACTACCTTTTTTCTTTTAAAGGGCCTAAAGGACCTCTTCCCTTAAGGGGGGAAGGAACCCAACTAAGAGCTAGATAGATAAGTAAGCAAGTAGAGGGCTAGCTAAGGGTCTCTTCTAAAAGAAAATACTATAAGAGGAATAGAAGAGGAATTCTTTTTTAATTAATCTTTATATTAAAATAAAAGCTTAAAGTTTAAGGATTTTAAAGATTAAACTTTTTAAGACCTAATTTTCTTCCTAAAAACCTCTTTTTTACTTAAAAAGAATATTAAAGAAGGAAGGACCGTTAGGAGTTATAATCGTCACTAAATTATAATTAGGTGGAGATGATTTTTAAAAACCCTAGGGTGTACGGTACAATAGGTATCTAGACCTAGGTACCTAGGTACTTGCTTGAAAGGGCTGTGCGGGCTGTCTGGAAGGTGTTTGTCGGCCAGTTGGCCGTTATCGGCCGCGGGACGCCCGATTGCCCTGACTAGTATCAACAAGCCCGGGACGGCAAGCCTGTGATAGCCGGTGGCACACGAGTGTCGGGGGACCAGGCCATCTGGGCAGCTGGGCTGGGTTTTCGTCCTCTTTTGACTTTGTGTCTCCTTTCCTCCTCTCCTGCTTCCACTTTTCCCGATCCCACGAGCACGCCGAGCGCACAACATGAGGAGAACAGCATTGCTATTCAGGCCCCAGCCCGGCCTCGGGGCAAAGGCTGGCGTCAGCAACTCACCTTCAGTGTCGCGCCGCGCCCTGTCCTCATGCTCCTCCTCGTGGCGGCCCTCACCACCGCTGGCTAGCTCACCCCACAGATTGCATTCCGCAGCCACCAGGCCAAGGGAGAGCCTGGTCGCCCCGGGGCCCGGCCGCAGGGGCTACTCGTCCGAGCCTCCTCTTCAGAAGACCGCCCTGTACGATCTTCATGTGGCCCACGGCGCAAAGATGGTCCCCTTTGGCGGCTTCCAGATGCCCGTGCAGTACTCTGGCCTCTCCGTCTCCGAGTCACACAAGTTCACCCGCACCAACGCCTCGCTCTTCGATGTCTCGCACATGGTGCAGCGCATCTTTAGCGGGCCGGACGCGGCCGCCTTCCTGCAGACGGTCACACCCTCCAACCTTGAGGCCCTGCCGGTGAACAAGAGCACCCTCTCCGCTCTCCTACATCCCGAGACGGGCGGTATCGTCGACGACACCGTCATCACCAAGCTGGCAGCCGACCGCTTCTATGTCGTCACCAACGCCGCCTGCCGCGCCAAGGACGACGCCTACCTGGCCGCGCAGCTTGCATCCTTCCGGGGCAGCGTCCAGCACGAGAAACAGGACGACAAGGGGCTCATCGCGCTGCAGGGCCCGCTGAGCGCCGGAATCCTGGAGTCCGTCCTCGTGGACCCAGAGTCCGTGGCCCTGACGGGGCTGTACTTTGGCGGCTGTACTACGGCCAAGATCAAGCTGCTGGGCATGGATGTGTCCAGCCCCGTGCTGATCAGCCGTGGTGGCTACACCGGCGAGGATGGTTTCGAGATCTCGGTCCCTTCTGCCCAAGAGACCGTGGCTGTGGCCGAGGCGCTGCTGGCGGTGGGCCCGGAGAAGCTCCAGCTGGCCGGCCTGGGCGCCAGGGACAGCCTGAGGCTGGAGGCGGGCATGTGCCTGTACGGGCACGACCTGGATGACACAACCACCCCCGTCGAGGGAGGGCTGGGCTGGATCATACCAAAGGAGCGGAGGGGCGCCGAGGCGGGCTACCACGGCGCCGAGCTCATCTCAAAGCAGCTGGTGCTCAAGAGCAAGGGCGGCCGAGGTGTCGACCGGAGGAGGGTAGGGTTCGTGGTCGATGGCGCACCGGCGAGAGAGGGGGCAGAGATTGTGAGCAAGGAGGGCGACAAGATCGGCCAGGTCACGAGCGGGTGCCCCAGCCCCACGCTTGGCAAGAACATCGCAATGGGGTATATCAAGGACGGATTCCACAAGTCGGGCACGGAGGTTGATGTTGTCATCAGAGGCAGAAGGCGCAAGGCCACGGTGACCAAGATGCCATTTGTGGAGACAAAGTATTGGAAGGGCACGGCTCCCGCGTAGAGACGAGCTTACTCGGCCCTGTGGGACAAGGTCGACGGCGGCCGAGGTACGGGGCAAGCCTCTGGACCAAACCAGAGCTGAGCAGAGCAGCAAAGCAGCAAAACCTCTCAACTACCTAGGAACTCACCCGAGCCCCGGGACACCGACAGCGGCTGTCCTCAGTGCTGAAGTTGTCGCTCCCTGGGAGAGTGCCCCCCCCCCCCTCGCGCTGAAAGCTGGCGGTGGGGAGTGCTCGTAGAGAACGTAATGTATGCCTCTGGGGCGCATTGTCATGTGGAGCTGTCCTTTGACTGCACAGATGCTGTGGCGGAATAGCGGACAGCTGGATATAACTCACACGATGGCATCGGCGACACTGGGCTGGAGCAGTGAGCACCCGGGTCGTGGCTACAAGCGCTTTCTAAGGTTTCGCTCTGGAGCGAGCACACCTCAAGTATCTAGGTACCTAGGTACCTAGGTACTTACTGCTTACCTACTAGACTAGTCTATGTAGTAGACAGTAGGTAGGCTGAGCGACCCCTGTCACCCGAGGTTATTGCCCAGGCAGTGGGGGTGGCAGCTCCCTGGTTGGCGGGACAGCAGGCTCATTGTGTGGGCTAGCTGTATGGGCTAGCTGTATGGGCTAGCTGTATGGGCTAGCGGTGGTGTTTGATTGTGCAGCGGCTATATCATCGTCGTCTACTGTGTATCTGTGCCTGTGGTGGGGTGCCCTGCCCCGTGACGAAAGAGCCGTCGGTGGGTGCTGGAAATGGGCGAGGTTGGGGACTGGGGCCGAGGTGGCTGGTAAACAAGCTCCCATCCCACTTTGGCTCACACCCCAGCTTTGACATGGCTTCCTTCCTATGCGCCTGCTTGTCATTACCCTGCTCTCCTGCCTGCCCGCCTGCCTGAGTACCTCCTAGGTAGGCAGGAGTACTGGAATCGTTCGGAATCCCTACCTGCGACTTTGCCAGCCATCCTAATAAAAGTCCTTGGCCCTAGATACGGAGTACACACACACCATACGGACAATACCCGGCCATTTCCTCGCCCTTCTCCTCTTCCTCGCCCGTCTTCTGCCTCTCTACACCTCCCCGGGCAATCTCACAGACACCTGCAAACCCAAAATCATCATCCGACGCCTCGACTTGCCCCAGCTTCATTCCTGCCCCAAGCCCCGTTCTCTCCTCGTGGGTTCCAAGACACGGCACGGCACGGCTCGAAGCCTCTCCCCCACAGGCATTGGCCAGCTCTCACTGCTGACTGCACATTCCTGGGCTCAATCACCCGCTGTCGTTGGAGGCGTGAGGTGCCACCACCAAGGAGGGGCTGCCCATCTGCAGCGCTCTTTTGCCTCTAAGCAAGCCCTCGACGGCCACGGCCACGGCCACGGCGACAATCTCGGCCAGCCATCATTATCATCATCATGGTCTCCTCAGCTCACCGGCGGCCCCGTCTGCTGCTGCCCTCCAACATATCATTACGAAGCCTACTGCTGTGTCTGAGCGCATCGTCGCAGCTCGCGCATGCCGGCCCGTACCCGAGGGATGACCTGCATGATGTCCTGGGCTCCGGGTTCCTGGTTGACCGCAGCTGCGCGACATACTGCGGCGTGGACAACCAGTATTGCTGCGCTCAAGGGCAAGCCTGCACCACCAATGCAGGAATCGCAGGGTGCACCGACACCGCCCTGGGCGGTGGCTTTGGTATATACACCACCACCTGGACCGAGACGGACACATACACCAGCACCATCTCGAGTTACTACCCTGCAACAACAGGAGACAACGGTGCCGATTGTGTGCCTCCGGCCGGCTCGGGCCAGATCGCATGCGGCCCCATCTGCTGTGCGAGCTGGCAGTACTGCGCCTCCAACGGCCAGTGTGGTGGGGGCCCCGGCCCCACCACCACTGAAGCCGCCGGAGGCGGCGGCGGCGGCGGCGGCGTCTTTCCGACCACCATCACCACGGGTGGGACCACCATTACCACCCAGTATAGCGCGCCATACAGGGTGACTAGCGGCACGACCGGGACCGGCACGACCACCTCCACAGGGACCATGGAGAGCGCGACGGCCACGGGCAGTGGCAATGGCACTGCCGTGACCACCGGTGGGGATGGGCTGAGCGGCGGTGCTATCGCCGGCATAGTCATTGGTGTCATCGCCGGCGTCGTCATACTACTCGCCATCTGTGCGTGCTGTATAATGCGTGGCCTGTGGCACGGCCTGCTGGCCATCTTCGGCCTTGGCCCCGGGCGCAAGAGGAAGTCTCGCAGCCGCGACCGCGAGACCATCATTGTCGAAGAGGAGCGCTATAGGCGCGGTGGCAGCGCCGCGGCCCATTCCAGGCGGGACACACATGGCGGCTGGTTCGCAGCACGGCCGCCGAGGTCAGCGGCGGACAGCCGGCGTGCGTCTGGTGTATCAGAGAAGAGGAGAGAATCAAGCAATGCTGGATGGTGGGGAGCCGGCGCCCTGGGCACGTTGGGCCTGTTGCTGGGCCTTCGACGAGACAAGAAGCGCAAGGAGCAGGCGAAGCGGACGTCACGGCCGAGAAGCGACGTGAGCAGTAGCTACTGGTCGCACTCGTACACGGCCAGCAGCCCCAGTGAGTTCTCTTCAGACTACACTTACTCCAGCGTTTACACGCGGCCTCCGCAATCCCATGCTCCGGTTCAGGCCCACCGGGGCCCTCCTACTGTGTACTCGGCATCGGGTGCCGGTAGGGAGAGGGATGACTATTTCAAATCTAACGTGCCACCCGATTATGCAGGCTCCGCGAGCTCTGGTGGCAGGACACGAGATACACGCCGCAGTCGCCGGACGGAAACCACACGCATCTCGCGTGCTCCGTCCAGGCGATGATGAAAGGAAACAGCGGTCGCCTTCTGGGGCTGCCCCATGTTCCAAACCTGTCCAGACAAATCAAAAGTCGTGTATCTCCTGTTTTCTTTGTCAACAGCCACCAATAGCGTCCGTCCTCTCCTCCCGGGAGCGACCCGAACCTCTTGCCAGAGAGGCACTACCACCGCAAAGCCCCATGAACCCCCCAAATGTACAAAACACGAGATCAAATACCCCAACCCCACGAAGAAGAAAGTCGCCCGCCTGATGGCTGCCAACATCCGCAAAGCTTTGCATGTATTAGGCCCAGGCCGCTTGTCAGGTCAGCGACCTGGAGTTCGTCGTATAATAACACTAATCTTCGACCATCTTCCACCCCCCCTCAATCAAACAAGCCTGCTTGCATGCCTTTCTTCTTCTTCTCTGATTGGGCTTCCCTTTGAGAATACTGCTCGGCGTGCGCGGAAGGAACGAGGAGGATAAATACAGCGAAGGAGATATTGGACCACTTCTCCCTTTCCACGTCGGTATAAGAGACGAGATATGAGGGCGGGTTGGCGGGATGACGAATGACGAGATGAAAGGAAAAGAATCATGAAGGAATGTTCATGATGAGATCAGACCGGTCGGGTCGCAGAGTATGGTTGGAAGTAGCGAGGAGTAGAGCTTACGGACGATTTGTCCAGGTAGGATCTGTGAAAGGAGAAACATGATAAGGGACGATATTCTATAGTGAAGCAACTTGGGACCAGGTTGTGCGACAAGACATTTGGATACCCGTAAAGTTAATAGATGAATAATAAGATATAATTTAGAAGAATAATAAATAAATACACCCAAGCTCTAATAGGAGCTTTATAATAATATACTTATTATTTTTATTTTTATTTATTATAAATTAAATAAAGAATAAAAATTTATATAACTTTAATTAAAAGGTATATACTCTCTTTATTATTTAATTAATTAGAGTATAAAGCTTTAAAGTCTTTATAACTTTAATAAATAAGGTGTCTTTATAATTAAGGGACTATAAATAGGGTAAGTTAGTCTTTTAGGAACTTAAGTTATATTTATTAGCTCTATTTATAGCTCTCCACTATACTTCACACTTTAAGGTTCGCTCTCTTTACCTTAGTTAGTTTTTTAAAAAGAAGTTATCTTATATTCTATACTTTTTAGTTAGTAGATAAGTATATATCTTTTAATTAAAGGTATATAAATTTCTATTCTTATTAAATATAAAGTTATTTAAAAGTATATAAAGATAATTAAATATAAATAATATAAATATTTTTTAAAGTTTATATAAAGTTTTTATTAATTTAAATAAATAATAATATTTATATATAAATTAATTTAATTAATAAATTTAAATAATTAAATATAAATAATTAATTTTAATTTATTATAATTATTATAAAATTAATAATTATAATTAATTAATTATATTAATATTATAAAAACTATTAATATTAATATTAATTTATTAATAATATTATAATAATTATAATAATTATAAATATTTAAATTTATAATTATATAAAAATAAATAATATATTTTTAAATATTTAAAAATTATAATTTTTATTTAAAATTTTAAATTTAATTTTATTTAAAAGATATATTAAATAAATTTATATAAGAATTAATTTAAAATTAAAATTAATTTAAATTTTAAAAATAATTTAAAAAAATAATTAAAAATTATAATTATAATATTTTTAATTTTATATTTTAAAAATTAATTTTAATATATTTATATATATATAATATATTTTAATTTTATTATATAATTAATATAATAAAATATAAATTATTCATATTTTTAATTTTATTATTAAATTAAAATAAATAGTTAAAGTTTTAAGAAAATAAAATATAATATATTTTTAAAAATTAATTTAATTAAGTTTATTATATAAAATCTTTTATAATAACTTTATAATTATTTATAATATTATTTATTATTAAAAATACCTTTTATATTAATATATTAAACTATATTTAATTTATTTAAGTTAATATTATTAATTTATTAAAGGTTAAAGTTATTATAAACTATAAACTATTTAATCTTAACGTTATTAAGTATTATATATAAGATCGCTATATAACTTAAGCCTTCTATAAATATAAGTTAGCTAAAATAAGTAAAGATAAAAGCTATTATTCCCTTAAAAGTTCTAGCTCTACTTTATAAGTAAACACCTATTAAGTAAAACTACTTAAAAGTAGTCACTTAACCTATTATATAACCTATTAAATTAAGAGATAACCTTTAAATAAAGTAATTATACTTTATTACTATATATAATATTTAAGTTTATAATTCTAATAGTCTATAAATAGAAGAAAAAATGACTATTAATAATTAAATTTATAATTATATAAAAATAGATCTTTATTTTAAAGAAAAGTTATTATTATTTAAAATAATTAATATATTTTTAAAAAAATTAAGAAATTATATATCTAATTTAAAGTATATTAAAATCTATAAGAATCTTAAACTTAAATTTAAGAAATATAAAGCTTTAACTTACTTAGAGATAAAAAGAATAAAAAAACTTAAAGAAAAGCTTAAATTAAACTAGATTAAGTTATAATATAATAAAATAGTTAAATAAAAATTAATTAGAATTTTATAATTATAGATCTTTTAACCTTATATCTGGAAGGGATATAATAAAATATATTATATATTAATAAATTTATATTAAAATAATAAACTACTTTAGAGTAGGGAAAACTTAGGGATGCTTATAGGCTGTAGGTAGCCTGGTAGCTTGACATGAGGTGGAGAAGGAGCGCCCGCCAAGCTCAATGTATGGTGCGTGTGCAGTTCAAGGCAGCTAGCTGATGACCCATGCCATTTCGTAATCATTCTCCCCAGCTTCTCGACCACGACCTCGACCACGGCCTCGATTAAGAAGCCTGTTGTGACGGTGCACCGTTTCTTTCAGCAACCAGCGAGAGCGCCACAGCTCATTTTTTGCCTTGTTCCTTTTCCCGGTTCCTATTTCCTGCTGCAAACCTCCAACCAACGACTCTACTCACCAAACCCGAGGAAACATGTCGCTGGACCCACCAACATACCTTGCCTCTCTGCAGAACAACATCCGTCAACGGCCGATCCCCTGGGAGGGTGCAGTGCGGGCTGGTACCCTGACGGAGAACCAATTGGCCAAGATCAAGGCCGTCGAGCGGGCGAAGAAGGACGCACGCACGCAAACTGTTCAGGGCGATCTAGATGGATATCGCATACTGTTTGTCGGCGAGGAGGGCAAGCCCAGTGTCCTGGAGCTTGCGCGCAAGAGGACAGAGGTCGTACAGTACATCTTGGTCCTTCTGAGCGACCTCCTCGACAGTACGTTGGACCTGGATCACCTGACAGCGGCCCTCACAACGGCCTGGGCATTGCTGAAGCCGCTAACTGGTTGCTCACAGGCGTCCCCCCTCTGTCGAAAGTGCTTTTCAAGAACGGTGACCCATACAAGCACTTCCTCCCGCTGCTCGCACACTCCTCCAGCTCCGACGACCCCATACCCCTCCTCACCTCCACCGTCCTGACCAGCCTGATGGCCAGCTCTCGAGACGAGTCCGCGGCTACTGTCAACAAGGCCCTGCCACACCTTTTCAGCTACCTGTCCTCCCTGACCAAGAGCTCGGACGCCGGGCTGCAGGACATTGGCGTGCTCGAATACTCCTCCTTGCTCTACGGGAGTGCGTGCAGGAGGCAGTTCTGGGCCCAGCGGAGCGAGACTGTTGCCCCGCTGGTAGAGATCCTACAGAAAGCATGTGGTGTCTCCAATGGTGATGTATCTGCGACCCTGTGGATGGGCACTACAGGCGTTTCCAGGACCACCGAGTCTGACGGCTCGTTGGGTGGTGGTGTTGGCCTGCAGCTGCTCTACCACGTGCTGCTTGTTCTCTGGCAGCTGAGCTTCGAGGGCGAGGAGGTTGGAGATGAGCTGAACGAGTAAGTCACGGCCGCCCATACTAGACATTCCTGTCTGCCCCGGGTGATGACGTCCTGGAAAGGCTGTGCTGACACGTGACAGCGAGTATGACATGGTCCTTCTCTACACACAGCTCCTTCGCCTGTCACCCAAGGAAAAGACGACGCGTCTCCTTGTCTCCACACTCTACAACCTGCTACGCACCAACCAGAAGACCCTCCTCCCACAGGCGGTGCTGGTGCGCCTGCCCGCGCTGTTGCAGAACCTCAGCACGCGCCACCTGACAGACCCGGACCTCCAGGAGGAGCTGGCGGCGCTCAAGGAGATGCTGGAGGAGTACACCAAGACCAAGACGACGTTCGACGAGTACGTGGCCGAGGTGCAGTCAGGCCACCTGAGGTGGTCTCCGCCGCACAAGAGCACGGTGTTCTGGGCAGAGAACGCGCGCAAGATCATCGACTACGAGAATGGGGAATTGCTCAAGAAGCTGGCCGATATCATGACCAAGCCGTGGGACAACGACAAGGCCGTCCTGGCCATTGCCTGCAACGACGTTGGCAACCTCGTCCGTGAGGTACCCGAGCGGCGCGGCACGCTGGAGAAGCTCGGCCTCAAGACGAGGGTCATGCAGCTCATGGGCGAAGCGGACGAGAACGTGAGGTGGGAGAGCCTGAGGGCGTTGGGCGGGTGGCTCAAGTATAGTTTTGAGAACAACGACAAGTAAGGGTCGGCGCCAACGGCGATTATGCCGTTGGGGGATGGCAGGTGGAGGACGGGTAGCATATGAGAAATTGTACGAAGCATGGCATTTGTGCTCTGTTCTTGTTTATCCAGTGCCGCCAGTGGGCCGTTTTTGACAACGACTCACTTCCATGGAACAGAATCACGGAGGACATTTCCGTGTCTCGTGCATGCCAGGTGCAATGGTGACCCCCCTTGAGGGCTAGGACGTTGCCTGCCAGCTTCCATGATTGTACCTGCACAGGTAACCTTCTGGCATTCGGACTGGTGTCAGGTTCAGCTTACCCTCAAAAGTCAAACCAGGACAGCCAATCTCAATCTTGCACGGGTGGTTGTTGCCTGCGCCGTCACAGTGATGATCTGTGCAACACATGACGTGTTGTTGGCCATGCACTCGGTGGGAGACGAGCAGATGAATAGATCAAAAGTGGTATTGCCTGCTCCTGAATTCGCGCCGGCGAAGCAGTCCTGAAATCTGAAGGCGGAGGTCAAAATAGTCTCCCAAGATGGCCCCTATATGAGGAGAATCCCATAGGAGTGCTTAGAATCATGCAGACTGAGGTTCAGCTCTATTATGGCCGTACACGGGGACCATTGGCACGTCTCTATCTATTGCTCGCAAGAATAGACCGCTCGACCAAAGGACCATTTCCTCAAGAGACTTCAGGACCAGTGTTCCCGCCCCACCTGCCCACCAGCACAACACATCTCTTGTTATTGTGTCAAGGACTTCTTCAATGGCCTAATTTGAGCGAATCCATGAGTCCGATTCGAGGTGGCATCCTTGCGGAGGATGACGGGTTGGAGTGATGGCTGGACGGCCCTGGCGGCCACCATTCTCCCGCCACCACATTGTCGTTTTTGGAAGTCTCAGCAAGTCTGATGCCATCATCATTTGCCCACGAATCCTCTTGCAGGGTTCCATGGTCCCAGGGCACTGCCTCATCCTCCCGTCTCCCCTGCGTCAAGCTGGCATCCCCTGCCTGACCGCGGCACGCGCGGGCAGCCTCAACCGCAACAACCCAAGCCATATCTCGGTGCGCCTAACTCGCGCCTATTGGGAGCCTTTTTATCCTGTTGCCTGGAAACGCCCTTTCCGTAACCCCTTGCCGCGGTAAATCCTGCTGAGACGCCTGGGCCCCTGTGCGCAAGCGTGCGGATTACATATGTATCCAGGTACGAGTGGTTTGCGCGGGCCCAGGTGGCGGTCGCGTCAACGGCCGCTGTCTCTAACGCCTGGCAGGGCAGCGTAGCTCTGCGGGCTCGAATCATTGCCATGCGGCTGCAACATATTGCACTGTGTGACAGGCTATGGGCCGACCACGGGCATAGGGCCGCGGTTCACACCGAGCACGAGGTTCGCGAGAGCCGCCCTTTTGGGCATACAGAGTCTCGCCAGAACTGGTCATGCAGAGACCTCGAGAGCAAGTTGTGCACAAGATACATGTCCTCCTGAAGAGCCAAGGCACTCTGTTATGAAACAGACCCTGCTCATGCCCGTGGCACTTCGACCTTTCCTCCACGGCCAATGGTCGTCCGAGATCGAATCTGTCTGGCCTAGGCCATGGTGGGCCGGATCTGGCCTCGAGCCCGGGCTTTGGCGGCCAGGGTACGGGAGGGAGAAATCATATCGAGGGTGGGGGGAGCGTGAATTCGAACGCAGCATCAGAGTTCTGTCGTCCGCGTCGTCTTTGTACTCCGTGTGCGGAAATAGTCCTGTGACCCAAGATCCCGCATGCCTAGTCGTGATGACCATTCGCGGCTGCTCGAGGTGGCCAAGCAGGGGTGCCTAGGGGACCTCACTCTCCGCCTGCCACGCTTGATTACCGAGAGATGCCTGGCTGGGCTCTCAGCCAGGATCCAGCACAACGGGTAACTTGCAGGGCGCCAAACTGGCAAGAGGCTCGGTGGTGAGAGGAGGGGGGCCGGTGGTCTCGTGGCGTCGCGGGCGATATTCGGTGTCCCAGACAATCACTCTGAGATATGACATCTCACCGAGGCAGATAACGTCGTACCTGACCGGTTTCCATCTTTAGCAACAGAGACGCCAAAAAGAAAACGGTGGTCGAACCGAACATGATCCGGTTACCCCTTCACGAGGGCCCCATGCCGGTCCTACAGCGCAGAGTGATCACCGTATGCCGTGATTCTCCAGCAACTGCTCCTCAGGCATATCAGATGTATCTCCATAATCACAACGACCAATGGGTATAATTCCATGGGAACAGAGTGCAGGCCCCTCTGGGCCGCGGCTCATCCTGCCCATCCATCGCAGACCCTGCGTTGATTTTCACAATAGCTTTGCTCATCTTGTGCCGCTTCACCAAATATTCAAAGAATGCCACCTGGGAGTCAAGGGGAGTCCGGGGCAGCACGTTGTGGAAGTTCTGCGAATGAGAATACGATGACCCCATCACAACGGTGTCGGAGACCCGTCAGGATTTATTCTTGTTTGAGAATGCCAAAGTGTGCCTGTCCTTGTCAGTGGGAGATCCCACCGACAAGGACGGCCCGGGGGGGGGGGGGGGCTTGCCAGCTGCCAGCGGCATCGAAGCCTGAGCTCTCGGGACACCACAGGTGCCTTGCTCTGAAAGTTGTGGTCCGTCGTGGCCCCGTCTGGACATCAACTGAGGGGGGCCGACGTGGGCAGGGACGGCATATGCTGTCTCAGAATGGAGCGCGTCCTCAAAGATGTGAGACTGCACAGGTGAGCTACTTAGCTGAAAGAAGCTGACGGTTTGTGTCGTAAGGAAAGCTCTGCCCGGATTCTACATTAGCCAGTTGTCCCTCGAATTACCTCGTCCTGTTTGGAAAATATAGTTCTTTGGCAAGCCCCAGGGAGCCGGGCCTCTCGAGCAATAACTGCACGTCCTGGGCCGCGTGGCCCTAGGTCATAGCTGCAACGGTCTACAGTTTCGTTGTGACATGTCTACGAGTCTTTCGTCTGAAAGCTAGACAATGGAAAGATTGGTACAAGACCGAATTAATCATCCTCGATCATCACAAGTATATCGTGACTGGCACACAAAAGGAGTAGAAGAGGAATCAGATTGGCGGCGGCGGCGGCAATCAGAGACCCGCGCACAAAGGGACGGGCGTGTCTCCTCCCGGTGTTCAGCCAGTCAGCCAGAGCTAACCAAGTCCGCAGCGGATATCCCAGGCGATGATAGCTTCACTTGCTAAAAGACAAGCACTGGGCCCCTCCCTGAGCGGAAGCCACGACTGTGACGGCGCCAAACAGTCTCGTGAAAACAGGTGACACCACCTGGGGACGTTGGGTCTTCCTCTCGCTGCGTGCAAGTCGTGTCACCTTACATTCCTGAACGGCAGGACGGGCTTGTGTGACACGCTTTGTTGCATGTGTAACCCCAAAGGACCATGCAGAGGGCAAGAAGCAAGAGCCGTTGCCCGCTGGTCGGGGTTTCTTAAGCCGGTGGCAAGTCAAGTCACAATGCCAGTGGGTGAAACAATATCCAGTGCCGGCAGCGGGGGACGACCAACCCTCGCGTTGGTAAGGCTGAAATGTGCTTACTGTCTCACAGTCCTGTGCAGTGCAAGTCCTGGTTCCCAGAGCACCGGGACCTTCACCAGCAGGGAGGGGCACAATCCCGGGGAGAGAGCAATCAATATCTGAGAAACGCTCCTGTTAGCCTGACCGCCGTGCTTGCGTGCTTCCATCGGTGGGCGAGAACTGTATTCCACCCAGTCGTGGCAGTCTATAAGCCCGTGACCTGTCTGCAGAAGACCTCACAGTCATCCGAGACACATCTGATGTGGTGCTAACCCGCCTCTGAGATCTTGTGCCACCCAAGCACCCAAGCCGTCAATATCGAGGCCAGCCACAGCAACGGGAGTGGCATCCCATCCGGTTAGCAGCCGAATCGGCCGGTGTCTCTGTCACACCCTTCGGCGCCCGGGTCGGACAATTGTTTGTTCTCCTGTTGCTTCTGGCCTTTGCCTACCTCGGATTGGGCTCGCTACTCCAAGGGTGAAGACGTGCTTCTTTCTGCCTTGCGTGGGCGCCGCCGAGGCGTTCCTCGTCTGCGCCTCTTTGGGAAGCGAACAGATACGTGGCTTGCTCCTGGTAGGCACATCGCGTCCTGATCCAGAATGGCGAGTTGGGGGCTGCCGTACCTGTTCCGGCCAGCCGGCGAATCATGGCCGTAGACGTGCCACCATCCATTGCCTGTAAGGGCGGTTTCTTGCGCCAGACGGTCATTCAAGCGAGATCGACGTGTATCAGTACGTGAAGTCACTGCGCAGTCGAGATGACGCTGGTCTCCGGCGAGCGAGCGCGATGACACACAGTCATCAACATCAGCATTTGGCCGGCGCCAAGCCGACCTGCCTACAGCGTCTCGTCTAGTTGGGCCGAGAGAGCAGATCGCTTCACGGCGGCATCGAGAATAGACGAGACGATGGCACAGAGACGGTCGTGCTAGCCCAACAAAATCATCACTTTCATTAGGGCTACAGGGCCTAGACCCGACGAGGACGACAACTTTACTGCAAACCTGGGCCCAGGTGCCCCGGCAAAGCATCGACAGCGGAGACCGAGTCGAACAGGCCAATCCCTTCGCAGCAAATGCATCTGCCTGCTGGCACCGTTGCTCGGCCTCGGGACCGATGGGGGTTTTTTCTATTTTATTTCATTAAGCGGACGCAGCCGCTTAATGGCACGACCCGCCCCAGCCAGGAGTTAATCGAGAGTCCGCCTTGTGGCCGACCCTCGAGGGCGGAGCAACGGCCCTAGTTCTCACCACCCATTTTCACGGGTCCTTGAGTCGGCTCTGGGGTGTGGGACACGGCGGTCCACAACCTCGAAAGCCAGCTCCAATCCCGGTGCTTGCTCCCAGCGTTTCGGAAGCTGCAATCGTATCTGGCAGGTGTGCCTCAGTTTGCTGTGGTCTACCCGCGACCAAAGGAAAAATTCTGGCTCAGACACAAGCCCCACCAAGCTAAATGTCGGGGCAAATATTGGAGGGGCAAGAAGCCGTCGTGATGCAGAGCCCTCAAGGTGCGGTCAAAGGTGTGGGGGCGTCTTGTATGCTGACGATAGTTTTTCGCGATCGTTGCGACCCCCTGCAGCCCCTTTTGGTAGCAACGCGAGAGACAAGAAAGAAGTAGAAGAAGAGCAAGGGGTCGATGTCAACCGAGTACCACTGTAGCATGGCGTGCAAAAGAACCCCCGTTGGATGCATATCTCTTTTTAAGCTGTTGTCACACCCATGTGCCGTGACAGTTTTTCCCTGGTCAGCCGGGGTCGACTTGACACTGTCGAGGCAACCGGATGCTTGCTACCTCCCTTCATTGCATGATCGGCCTGCTTGTAGAACATGTGGTCGCCGCTTTCCCCCAAAGTACTAGACCGTGATCTTGATTCGGCTGTGGGTCCTCATTTCGAAGCATCCGACCAGCGCCGTACTCCGTACACCAACCAGGGTCCAGCTCTCATCTCATAAGCTGTGTTCTCCATTGAAGTGTGCAATCACGCGTCTCCGGTGCAGCAATGAGTTGTCATTTCACACAGGCTTGCACTTCGGTTGAAGGGTGCTCCGACGAAATATTGCTCAAGATCCCACGCGGCCGTGACATCACACTGTTAATTGGTACTGCTGCTGCTGCTGCTGCTGCTGCTGCTGACCCTTGATCAGAGACGATGGCCGTAGGGCTGGAGCCTGTCCGTCCCTTTTGGAAGTAGTCGTCGGCCAAGAGAGTTCCCCCGTGCGGGGATGCCCATGTTTGTCAGCTACGCCCCAGCTGAGGGACCCTTCGGCATGGTGCCAGTGGGTGAGGGATAGCCTCAACCTGCACCGGATCGTGCGGTGTGGTTTAATGGCGGCTTGCT